TATATGTACTTTCATAAATTAAAAGCCTAAATAATTTATATATATCAATCAATTTATGTTTTAATAATAGTATATATCCAAATGTACTTATAAATCCTAATCTAATTTTATGTTTTATATTCTTTATTAAATGTTTAGAAATAAATGTGATCAAAACCTAATCATTCTCACATTCAAAATTATGGATATCCTCCAACCATTAAAATATTATAAATAATTAAAAAAATTATCTTTATTCAATTTGATTTATTGCTAACAACATATATAATTTTTGGACTTCTATCATTTACATCTCCATTGAAGTTGATGCATTCTTCCCACTTACACTACAGTTTATCATGATATTTAAGGTAACCCTGTTTGATATGTACCTTCAACCTATCCCATAATATGACCCTCTTTCAACAGTTTTAAATGGTAGTGGTAAGTAAAGCCAATAGACACTCAAGGTTTATGAACCACTAAGGTTAATATTATACCCTTAGCCTTTATGTTAACCCCAATCATCTCCCATACTTTTACTTTAAGATCCGAAAAATTCTGTTTAAGGATGTCATGTATAAAAAAATTTATTTCTGATAATCCTATTTGAGAAGCATGAAAGGGACCTTTAAGGCGTACTATTCCCTTTTTTTATTCTTTATTTTAAGTTAAATTTCAATTTTATAAAGATCTCTCAATAAATCATATCAATAAATAAATAGAATATGAAAATTATCAACAATATATTTATTTTTAAAGATACAGTATTTTTAATTATTTTTGTTGTTCATTTCTATTTACATCATTTAATCTGCTTGTTTTCCTTTGTCAATATCATCAAATAGGGGTATATATAATTTTTACCTTTTCATTAATATATAATGGCCCTTTTTGCTAATTCTTACAATTACACCGCAATTCTATTAAGCTATAATTAAAAAAAATATATACCTAGTTAAGTTTATTTTAAAGCAACTCAATTTTTCTCCTTTAGAATCCATTCTGTCTAATTTATTGATTTAATTGAATGTCTAATTTGATTACTTTTAATAGTTATTAAATTTTAATTTTATTGGATTAAAAATCAGATTTAATAATGACAATTATTAAAACTTAATTTTAATAATAATCTATTCTGTCTTCTTTTTATCTAAAATAATTGTAATTCTTTTATATGACCTTTTCATTTATGTAAAAATAATACAAAAATAATCAGAAACTTTTAATAGGATTCATAAATCCTTTTAGATAAAAGAGTTTAATGATTATGAATAAAAGTCTAATTAAAAAGAAAAAAATAAATACGGCTTACGAAAGGATGATAAAATTGCTTCAATATTTATAGAATAAAAATTTCTTAAATGTTATAATTTGTTATCATACTTCAAATCAAGTTTTTAATTTTATGATTCAAAAACTAACCTACTATATGGATTCTATTTGAAGATAAGAATTTTAATAAAATGTCAGAATTTTACAATTATTATAGAATTTGAAAATTACAATTACAAGTTTATTTACATTTGTAATTAAAAATAGAGCTAAAAATCTTTATTTATCATAATCAAATTTCTAAAAAAAAGCATAAAAGGAAGCAAACGAAAATTTGATGATATTATTTTGATGTCTTTTATTATATGATATATATTTAATTCATTCTCATTTCTTGCCAAATAGTATCACTAATAATTTTAATAATTCTATGAATAGCATAACTATGTCAACATATAAAATGATTGCTCCTAGAATGTAGTCATCTTTTTATAAAGCATGTCTCTAAAAAATAATGCCAATACAAAATACCTTATCTCCAATAATCAATTGAGTATCAACAATGACGTATACTGAATAGAGGAATATTGCAAAAACTGAAATGAGGATTTAAAGTAAACGACTTGGAAACAATATAGAGAAAATAATTAGCATAAATAAGCATATAACCAAAGACCATAAAAGACCTGTGCAAATTGTGAAATCATCTTTTGTAGTGCAGGCATATAATGTTAAACCAAAGGTCATTAATACTGTCATAGATAATGCAATAAATATTAGATCAACTAATAATAAATACAATATAATACTTCCATTTTCATATTCAGTGGCAACATTACAACAAATAGCTGAGACTACATATCCTTCACATACAGTGAATGTTGATAATAATATATAATTTTTTGGAACTTTCCTTGCATTTTTTGGATAACAAAACAGGGAGCAGATTATTACAAGTGCTGTTATAGAAGCTAACACTAAAAGCCAAACTTAAGTTGCTTCAAATTCTCTCATAGCTGGTAAACTCAATGATAATATTGTAAATGCAGCTGTATAAAATAATTGGAAGCTTAGGATGGAATACACCTATCATAAAAAAATGTAAAAACGAACTTTTTATATGAATCCTAATCTACTGCTCAAAGAGGAATCTATAAATTCGGCTTGTGTTTAATGATCATCTTTGTTAATCTTAATCTATTCTTCGTCTCTTTGCATTTTATAAAGAATTTGATAATAAAATATTGAGTTATAATCATATCCTAAAAAATTAGTAGCAAATTTTTAAATGTTTATTTAATATATTTTCTTCATGATTTTTGATTAAAGAATTTTACATCTAAATGGATAACATTAAAAATATTATAGCTTTTTTCTATAATCTAATCAATTGAATTTTATATTTTATTAATAACTGAATTTACTGAAATATCAATAGAATATATTACTTTAATCTGATTTAATGAATAAAGCAATCATTTACAAATTAATAATATAATTAATATCTACTTGAATTTAATATTATTAATATTTTAATATTGAAATCAAATGAATGAATGACGGAACAAATAGTAAGATGTTTTAACTTTTTTATTTATTCTAAAAATAAGCGTATATTATGTTATGATTAAAGATTTTCCATAAATCCAAGATAGGGTTATGAGATAAGATGTTTTTATATAATACATTTTTATTCATATTTATTATAATTTTTTAAATTAATTATATTTTATTTAGCCAAATGTTTATGAGAAACTTTATTTTCAAAACAAACTCATAAGTTTCTGCTTTTCCTAATATGTCTAAAAATATTACTACATAAATACAATTTAGGAATTTCGAATCAACCCAAAGTAATACATTAAGTATTATTTTATTTAAAATTATTTTGGATTTGTATTAACATCAAAACTCTTTACATTTCTGGAATATTTACTTTATTTTTAAAGTATTTGGAATCACATATTTATTGTCATCAACAGATTAGAATAGTTTTAATTTTTGTTTTAATATATGAATTTTTTAGTTCAATCTATTCAGTCTGTATGACTATATATATAACGATTACTAATTTATAATATTTCAAGAATTCGTAAGTTCTAACCTTTGTATTCTCAATGGTTTTATAATAATATATAATTAATAATCAATATTGCTACTACTTTAAAGTAATTATTTCTGATTATAGAATTGCAATCTATTGGAGCAGTTTTTTTTCTTTTTTTTTCTTAAATTCTAAAACTTGTTTCATTCTTTCAATGATTGTTTGAAATTATTGATTATTTCTTAAAATTATTGGTCTCTTTTTATTTGATTTGCTTGATTTAGTTTACAGATCAGCATAATCAATAGATTTTGAAATATAAGATGAATCGGTAATTTTGCCAAACGCATTTGAAGTAAATTATGATGGTTAATTTGAATTTAGTATTCTAGGCTTATAATGAAAAAAATATAAATACTTTCAGCTTGAATTTAAGAAATGCTTACTTATATGAATCATAAAAAGATGTCAAAGGTTGTTTTTGTATTTTGGAGAGAGTACAATATTAAGATTTTGCTCTTGGTTTTGGTAATCTATCTGATTCGATTGTTTTTTTTGACATCCAATCTGATAATGTTTCATGCCTTTGCTTTATACCAAATCTGTGATCATCATCTGAATGTTTTACTTATGACTTAGCTTGTCTGTTTTTTTTCAGATTCAAATAACAATTATTTAGATTATACATTTTTTCCATAAAGTAAAATAGTTTTTTACAATATATTCCATTTTACATACTCATCATATTCTAAACATATTTTGTTTAAATACTAAATAATAGAAAGTTAAAAACATACATAAATCTTAAATATGCTTGAAAAAAGAATCTTTGCTTAATAAAAGTAGAGTATTTTCAATAATATTATATGATTTAATAATAGTATAGGTAATCATGATAAAAAAATAAAAGTCTAAAGTTTGTTATTTCTTCAATTAATAGATAATAAGTTCTCTAATTCTAAACTCAATTTCAACATTTCTTATTAATTTATTTTATTTTGCAAGACTAACTTCAAATTAATGTATTCCCATTAAAATAGTGCACTTGACCCAAGCATGTTAACATCAACTCATGTTGAAACAGATTCAAATTAGTAGTAAGAAAATCAAGAAGAGATTGAGAATTTGAGTTATATAAAAAAAGAATTAGAAGACTAATAACTAATAACAAACTTTGATTTGAATCTAGCCAATTTAGTTTTAAGAAGAAGTATTTTCAATAATTAAATTAAGGTTATGTTTATGAAGATTAATTAACTAAATTTGAAAAAATTTTAGAAAAAAATCCATCTTGTGTGGAAGCACTTGTTTAAAAGGGTATATATTTATAAATAATTTCTAGCTAAACTTCTTATTAATATTTAAAAATTTGATGATGCTTTAGAATGTTGTAATCTAGCCATATTACATGATAATGGCTGTTTGTCAGCTTATTTTGAAAAAGGTAATTAGTTGTTTGTCCATTTAGCTAAATTATTTTGTAAATAATAAAAGATTGATGATGCAATTAAAGTTTATGAAACTATTTTATCTAAATAACCAAAGAATAATGAAGCAATCCAAGAATTATGTAATTTATGATTGAAAACAAATAGCTTCACTTTAAAATTAAAATCAATAGATTTAGAAGGCACTCAAATATTATGACTAATTATTAGCTTTTGATAGAAAAAATAAATTTATCTATGTAGAAAAAGCTAAATTATTATAAAAATAAAACAAATTTGAATTGGCTATAAAATGTTGTGATTAATTATTGACTTTTGATCCTTATGAAAAATATGGATATTTATAAAAAGGTGCCTCTATTGTTAATTTATAGCCCTATTATATTCATAAATTAATGAACCTTAATTAGCTATTGAATGTTACGAAAAAGTAATAGAAATTGACTCAACAAATAAATATGCTTATTTATCAAAAGGTTTGAAATAATCAAATATTAGTTAAATTATTATTTGAATTGAAAAATTATGAGAAAGCTTTAAAATATTGTGATAAGATTTTAAATTTTGATCCCAAAGAAATATATGCTATGATATAGAAAGGTAAACAAATTTATTATATGAATTAGCAAAAATTTTAGAATTTCTATAAAGATATGATTAAGCAATTAAATGTTGGGATGAGATTATTAACTAAGAATAAAATAAAACAGAACCAAGTGTAGAAAAAGGTAAATTAATTATATTTTGTTAGCTAGAATTTTACTTAAGCAGAATAAATCTAAAGAAGCAATAAAATGTCTCGAAGTTGTTTTATCAAATAATAAAGCTAATAGAGATGCTAATATATAAAAAGGTAAATTAAGTATCCTAATTGTAGCTTAAATATTAATGTAATAAGGTTCATTAGAATAAGCTGTTTAATGTTGCCAATAAATTTTGAACTAAGACCCAGTATCAGAAAGAGCATGGCATTATTGTGGTAAGAGTTTATAAGAATTTTAAAAAGGACAAGCATATAAATTCTTGAATTAATTGAGTGAAGCCTTAAAATGCTATGAAGAGATATTAAGATTAAATAGCAACGATTGGTATTCTTAAAACTAAGTTAAAGAAATTAAAGAATAGTTAAAAAAATAAAAAATAATAAAAAATGATTGAGATTTACATCATATTATTAAATAGATATATTAAATTAATCAATATCAATGGATTAATTCATCTAAACTATTTTTTTGATATTTTCAGGTTTCTCTTTCAATATACTTTTCAAAATTTATTTAAAGTTATTTTTTAACTAAACCAAATAAATAAGTTTTTTTAATTTTCAATCATTTAACCATTGCCTCTTATATCAAATATTAAAAATTAGTTTAATCTCATTATTTTAATATTCTATTTATTTTCCTAGATTTATAGATTGAAGTAAAATAATATCTTTTATTCTAAAATCATATTCAAAGTTTTCTTATAATTACTTACATATTTCAACTGATTTGTATTTATTTTACTATTAATGAACCCTTTTTATAATATAATCAAAAAATTTACAACTATTTATTTTTCAGATTAATTCCTATAAGATTACTTGTATTTTCTGTTTTATTATCATTTTAAGAATAAAATATTTCATAAATATAGCTTAGCACAATACTTCTTAGTCACAAAATTAAAATAATTCACTTTTATCCTTTCTTTTTAAACAAAATAATTATTTATTCTGTAAGCTTGATGTTAAATATTTCATTTCATACCTTTTTCTTAATTATTGAGAAAATATAAATATCTATCAAATTAATTAGAAGAAAAAGATAAAAACATAAAACAGTTTATAAACATGATTTTCAAGTCATATCAAAATATTTATCAGTTTAATCTTAAAAAGCAAAAATGTTTCTGAATAAGGATAATCTGCCATTTTTTGATTTCAAAGATTTTCATAATTAGTTCAGATTCATTTTCTTTACTTCCTAAATTCTAGCAAGCCTTAAATATATATTGTGAAAGTTTTTAAGTTATATTTTTTACTTTTTTTAAAGGTATTTATTATTAATCCTAAAATTTTATCGTTCTTCAAACTCTGAAAATTTGCTATGGTTTTTAGAATAATGAATTTTAATATTTGATTAATTTTCTTCAAACTTTGATTTTATATAAATAAACATGGCTAGTTAAGAATGCTTATGTAAAAGAGTAAACTTTCATCAATTTATTTTTTAGTATATTCTTCTATAATTATTATTTAAATAATTTAAAAGCTTCGAAAGTCTGATTAAAATTAATATCTACTCTCCAATATTATTAGATGTAATTTAAACAGAGTTGGCAAGGTAAATAAAATTTTCTTATTTAAACAGGGTAAATACTTTCTAGCAATATTTATCCCAAGATTTAAGTTGATTACTAATCAAAGAATTGAAAAATTTGAATATCTTTCCAAGACATTCGAAATATACTTTGGATGATTTACAGAGATAATTCGAACTTCTTTTCCTTACATTTTTATATGTATAAATGTATTGACAAAAAGACTGATATTTTAATTATTTCAACTCTATACATATGAATTCATTTTAGAGACATAATTATATATTGATTATTGTTAAAATTTGTTCTTCTCAAATTCTTGAGTTTAACAATTAGAAATAAATAAGATCGTAGAAAATGATTTTAGAAATAAAAAATGAATATTATTTTTTTAATGTACTAAGTATTTCTCTTTTTCTTAGCTTAAGTTTAGTGTATACTTTACTAATTTAATGCTACAAATCAATATTTATTAGTGTAGAATGAAGTAGAGTAATGGACATAAATGAAAATACAAATCTATGAACATAATGTGAAATAGAGTGAAGCAATTGATAATTATGAAAAATATTTGCAGATTTATTAGAATTTGACAATAGGATAGTATTATGAACTAGAAATAGTTATAATTCCAGAGGCAAACTTTAAAATTCAATAAAGAAATTAAAAAGATTGCCCTAAATAATGTTCTAATAATGGAGATTGTATAAATGCTAACTGCATGTGTTATGAATCATTTTGTGGGTAATGTATTAAGTTATTAAAATTATAGATCACGATGCTAATTTGAAATAAAAAGTTACTATAATATTCAATAATATAATATTGAATTAGATTAATTTGAAACTTAGTATTTTAAATTACAGTATCAATAATCAGATTTGATAAATGAACAAGGGTAATTAATATTTATTAAGATAGAGATAGACAAAAAAATTGATTGTGTCAACAAATAATACAATCGATATTCAAGTCTATTTAGTTTTACCATATTAAAGTACATTAACAAGTATTCAAAATGAATACATATTATACAATAAGTCACTTAATGAGATTACTTCAATAGACTTTTCGTCATTTTATTAACCATTTAGTAGTTCTTCAATTATTTACACATTTTTTTTTATATTTCAAAATTACAATACTTCTAAACAAAGATATTTAATTACTTTTGAATTGAAAAACTAAGAGATAACATTTTAAGATTTTATTTTAGTTACTATTCTTAGTGTTGTAGCTTTTATAATATTATTAATTGTAATATTTATAGTCAGAAGAAGATGTCAATATATTTAAATAAGTAGGCTAAAATATTCAGATCATCAATAACCGAAAATAGATATTGTTGGATAATTGCCAATAATATCTCCTGCAAAAGATTAAGAATGTATAATTTGTTTAGATTTATTGGAAAAGTACTAATGTAGATTTACTTCTTGTAAACATATATTTCATGATTAATGTTTGAATGAATGGTTACAAATATAATAAACTTGCCCATTATGTAGAGAAAATTTGTTTGAAGAAGAAGCAATAAAAACTATGAAAATTAGAAATTTAAGTTCTTCATCTTTAGTTGCTGGATAATTTTCTATTATATAAAGTGAAAGACAACCAATCTAATAAATGATACTTTCAAGATCAATGAGTAATAGATTAGCTGCATTTTAATGAATCTGTTAATATAATTATAATTCTAAATTATTTTCTTCTATTATAAGAACTAAAATTGGAAAAATAAATACAATATTAAATTAGTCTTAAAATAGATAGTTAAAACAATAAGAACAATCAGAACTAAAAAATTTTTTAATTATTTATTTATCAATTTTTGTTTAATTTTAAAATCAATTTCTTAACTTTAAGTTTATTCCTGAAAACAGATAGTTATTTGTTTTTCTACATCTCCTTATTGTAATTCATTTAAACCACATAGATTATAGTACTCATAGTAAATTTTCAATAATTATTCTTTTACTAAGTTCCTCAAATAGTATAAAGGATAAAAAGCATTTTATTAGATTTACTATTAAGGTTTATAATTTATATAAATAAGCTATATTCCAATTAAATCAATTAAAAATTTTATTATTAAATAATTAATAAATCTGAGTGAAATCCAGCTTTTATTTAATATATAGAAATATACTATAAAAAACTTAATTTTATAATTATTAAAAGTCACTTAAAATTGAAGTAAATAAATTTTTATGATGAAAAAATAGAAATAGCTTTCAGAAATAAATGAAAAATTTGAAGATCGGATAAATTGTTCATTATTTGGCTTAAATCTCAAATCTTCTTCAGAAATTTTACTATAAACTAAAATTCCCAGAAAAATAAGTTTGATAGAACTAAGGTTAAAAAAGACTAATCTACAAAAAAATATTAACGAAGAAAATAGAAAATATAATTTTACAAAGATTGCAGCTTTGGATATAATTAAAGAAGCTAAAATTAATTTGTAGAATTCTTAACAACTTCGATTTTAAGTCAAATAAAAAAAAATAAAAACTTTAAGTCTAGAAAATATATCAGAAGGGTTGAATTTCACTTTCGCTCAAAATGTTTCCAATAAATAAAATATAATGAAATAATTTACTTCGAATCGATTGAATAAAAAATTTTTTATTTGATTTTATAATAAAAATATTACTACATAAAATTATATTATTGTTTATAATAAGTAGCTATTAATTAAAATGTATAATTTTAAATCTTTATGTTTATATAATTAATATGTGTAGGATGAATAAAAATATATACATTATAGTTTTATGATTTTTTTATGAAAATTATTATTATTATCATATATTGTTGCATACCTAAGGGTATATTTCTTTAGAATTATTGGGTCTTTATAATTTATTTGGATTAGCTGAATAAGTCCAAAAGTGAGCAGGTGATTTTTATGATATGTCACCTATGCTTCCATCAACACAAAGAACTAACCAAGTTAGATTTGGTTCATGTTTAAGATTATCAACTTATGGTAATTAGTATCTAATGATTGGTCTTTCTTATTCAGAAGCATAGAGGGTTATGATAGGTTTAATTTCTTAAAAAATTGGATCATTATTAATTTATGATGTATCAATAGAATGTCCTTGTTATTTTTTAATATTTAATTCTTTTATTTTAGGATCTAGAGGGTCAAAATATACAAAAAAAGTATATTTTCTTTGTGCTAATTGATTGATATAGATAGATTAGGCATTTTAATTTCCATAAAACTTCATGCCACCACAATTATCATTAAAAAAGCCAACTGTACATTCTATATAAGAAGCACCTAATAACAAATTAAATTTAGTATGTTTAGGAGTTTCTAAGACTACTGAAAATTAACCTTTAATAGTAGATCTAGGTATCATAGTCACTTCAAGACTTTTAGTTTATTCAGTGTTTTTAAATTTATTACAATATAAATAATATCCTTTTTTTTCAGCACCAAAATAATATTCTTTAACAACCATATTATATAAAATGCTATCCTAATCTACTGTAACTAAAATAGTAATAAATAAATAAAATACTTAATCTAGATGGGATTGGCTTAACTTTTCCACAATCATTTTCATTTTTATAGAAATATAATATAACATCATTTAATTCTTATCCAGTTTAGATATCAATAATATTGACTTAAAGATTTGTAAATTTAAGATTATTTATATATTCTTTTTAACTTTATGAGAAACTCCTTTCTTCTTAATGATTTCTATGTTTTTACCATAATAACCTAGTATTTTAAGCAGTTTCTATTTAATAAATATCAACTTAAATCTATCTATCAGTATCACTACAAATTTAAACATGATTTTATAAAATATTTTTAATTTCATCTTTGTTTCCTTAAACTCCAAACATTCCATCAGTAGCATCATTTGCTTAAGGATATAGAATATTCTTAATCATTAATTTAGGAATGTATGATACATTAGGAGAATTAACATATTCTGTTACAACAACTTGCATTTGAGGAGCTAAAATAGTTACCCTAGATACTCCTTTTAATTCAATATCTTTATTATTATTTTACTATTTGTAAATATTCAAAAAAGGTTCACATCCAGTTACATTTTCAATTCCAGTTGGATAAACAAGTGGATTTTTATTAGCTTTAATTACTTTTTAATTTTCAATAATAAAATTATCAATTTAAGGAGGTAATTTAGGAACAGAGAATACTAAAAGAAATGAAAAAACACAAACAACAATTGCAATTAAAACAAATATCCAATCTAAAGTTCTATTTGGTATTTATTATGTTTTAACACTTGTATCAACTTATAATAAAGCCATAGACAAAGCAAATCCACTTATTACTAATAATAATATTGAAAATCCTGCTTTAAATAAATTAGATGACATTGAATCAGAAAAAGCATTACAACAAGATACATTTAAACATTTCTAAGTTGAATCTGTTTCCCATGATATTGCTTAATTTTATGGATCACATACTATATTTTCTAAATATTTATTGCATTATGCATTTTCTTTTATCCAACTCTAATGAGTATTTCTCATTTATTGAGTACATTCATCAATATAAGTAGTTCTTACTTATTCACTAAGTCTTATTACATGAAAAGAACAAGCTGCGATTAAAAATATAATAATTAAATTAGCATAGCCTACTGTTTCAAATAAATCTTGTCTATAAAGGAATGTTAAAACAAAAGAAATTAAAGCTGTTATTATTGCTCCTATAGCTAAAATTTAAAATATCGTAAATGTACGATTTGATTAAACAGGAGAATATGGAATTGTTAATTCTGATAATACTTAATTTGTGTACAGAATTGTAAATGATGCAATTATGATTGTTATTAAAGAAAATACATAAATACATACTCTTAATTAATTCTTCTATTGAATTGTGATATAACTAGTAAAAGCTACATACATTAGCATTAAACTTATTATGATCATAATTGGTATTGCTATATACAATCCATAAGTGTAATAACTCATATATTCTGTTGGAGTTGTTTAACTATCATAATGTTTTGCCAAATAAAAATCTTTTCCTATTCTATACCAAAATACAATTAACACTAATAAAAAACAATTAAATAAAATGTTAAGGAATGATCCCAAAAATACTGCAATGGAAATTCTTTAATCAACTTCCAAAACTTCATGTGATTATTGATAATCATCCTATGTTCTCACTGCAGTTGTATTAAACCAATAAAATATGATACCCTAAATTCAAATTAACGATTATTATTACACATAAAATTAATGAGACTAGGGCAGACACTAACAATAGTATCATTAATGTAAAAGAATATTTATTGAAAAATATTAAGGATATAATTATTAATGCAATAGCTAAAAGAAAAGTTAAAATAGTTAATCTTGTTGACAATTCTAAGAAATATTATTATTTAAATACTTTATTTAGCTAATAATTCTCTCTCAGACCATCCTTCACTATACTTATGGCATTTTTAACTGATCACTTCCATATTAACTGTAAATTTTATATTATTATTATCAATATCAAATATTTACTAATTCTTTTATTTATATTAAAATAAAATTTGAATATAAAATTAATATTTCTTTCATGCTTACCCTAATTATCCTTTTTCTACTCTTTCTTTTATTTTTTTAGGATCTGGTGGCATTAAACTAAATTTAGCCACAACACTTTTTGAAATTCTTCTAAATTCTTTATATGTATCTTCATTTCCATGATGTAATTCAAAATTCTCCCAAGTTTTCCATAATCCAAAATCATCAAATCTAGGATCACTGAATTGTGATATATGTATATAAACAGCTCTAGCTCTATCAATTTCTCCAAATTTTCTTTCTAATTAAGCTAATCTTAATCCCATCTAAATTAATTCTGCCTCTTATAAATTTTCAATTGCACTTTCAAAAACAGGTCTTGTTTTAGTAATTCCTAAATATAAAGCTACTTTTGCTATATATATATTGTATCTAGAAATTATAATATATTTATAAAATACGCTTCCATTTTATCTTGATATTCTACATTAAATACCATTCTATCATAGATTTCAATTGCATGATTTAATAATCCATATTATTCTTCAAATTCTCCATACATTAAATAAAATATTCGATTTTTCTAATTAAAATATTAAATTATACATCCTTAGGCACTTATTCAATCACTGTTTCAAATAGATTTCTTGTTCTTTCAATTTTTTATCCTCTATATCTTTATATAAATTTAGTTATATAAACAATCCATAAATCATATAAAGCAGGCCAATCAAATAATTATACACCAGCTTCAAATACTTTAAATGATTCTTCATAAAATGCATTATCTTCTAAAAGTTAAGCATAATTAATAATAATAAATGGAGTAACTACTTTAAGTTCTACCATACGTTTATAAGCTGCTCTTAATGATTTAAAATTTCCGAAATTTCTCTCTAAATCTAAATATAATTACCATAATTATAAAGAATATGGAACCATTTCAGATGGTGTCATTTTATCTAATTTTTTAACATACTTTTTAAATAATCCTTACTTGATTACAGTTAATGAATCATTTATAAATCCATCTATAAGTAATATTTCAACCCATTAAGACCATAAATTAACATGTTCTTCAATATTTTTAAATTCAATTTTAGATCCTTTATGAAAGATTTAATTACAAGTTTTCCAATCTCCTTTATCTCTATAATATTTAGCATAAGCAATCCAAATATCACTTAATTTTCCATTATCTGCTAAATTTGGTTCAACAATTTCAAGTGCTTCAGTAAATGTTTTTAAAGCCATTCTTTCATCACCTTTAACTAATTCAATTCTTTTTAACCATTCTTCAACATTATATTTATTTTATCTTAATATACATGAATTTAATAAAATTGGTCTTCTTTCTAATAGTTCATCTAATCTATCCATTTTTAATAATAATTCATCTTCTATTTAAACTTCATCTTCTTATGATGATTTTATTTTTAATAATTAATCTAATTTGGTAGATAGAATTGTATCATCAATATCATCTTAATTTTCATCATTTTCATCAAAATCTTCTAACATTTAAATGATAGTTTCTTCATATTTAACATATGCATTAAAAACCAAACTGAAATCTTTAACTGTTAATACATTATTTACAGCATCTTCAAAAGTATCTCTTGCTTATTCAAATTATCCTGTTTTTATATAATAATCAGCTAATTTAATCCATAATTAACCAATTTCATCTGAATATTTCTTTATTCCAAATTTCATAATCGATGCTGCATCAATCGGTAAATCATTAGGATGTCTAGCAATTATTTCACATAAATATTTCATAAAATCATATTTTGTTTTTCCACTAGAAGAATTAAATTAATCATCGTTTAAAATATCCACTAATATTTAACATGCTCTTCCCCATAGTTATTTTGATACAAGATAATCTAAATATTCTTCTTTATAATCTGGATTTATTTTAACATATCTATTATATATTGAAATTGCAGTGATTATTGAATCTGTTTTTGAAATCTTAAATTTTTAATTTGAATTTATACCCATTAACAATATGCTTTCCAGATTCTATGATGTTATGTTACTGGTAATGATTATAAAGCTCTATCATATACATTTCTAGTATGAGTATATTTCTATAATGATGCACTATATTCAGCATACATTAACCAAATATTAGGCATTTTATGCATGTAAACTAATGCTTTCTCAAAATACACAATCATTTCCTCAAATTTATTTGATAAAAATGTGCTTCTACCTCCTAAATCTTCAAGTTATTCCTTTAAATAATTGAACCATAATTTATAACAATTTGGAATATACTTAAAGGCTCTCTCATACAAATCCATTCTAGTTGCATATGGTTTATCTCTATGAGCTTAAAGTACTATCCACCATGCTCTCAAAGTAAATCTTGAATATTATTCTGATTAAGTATCAGGAGCAGCAAAAATAACTTCGAATTTTGAACTACCCTTAACTTCTAACTATTCCAATTTATAGTGTAGCAATTGTGCATTCATTAATTTTTATAAAAATACAATTAATTTTAATTAATATTATACATTCTCTCATTCATAATGATTATTATTACAATTATTAAATTAGTACAATCATCAATCTTTTTAACCGGTTCTTTATTATTCTTTTTATTCAAAAAAAATTCAAAATAATAAGAATCCTAATAGTCATAGATCATTTTCAAAAAAATTCATTAGTCTCTTTTATTCCCTTATAAATGTAATTATTATTTTATTTCCAATAACCTTTGTTAATCCATATATATTTTAATTCATTTTAAAAACTCTATATAAATTATATAGCCATTAATTTAGAAAATCTATAAACTTAACTCAGTTAAATCACAAATAATTATTTGTTATCAATTCTATAAATGCTTTATTAAAGATTTCATACTTTTTATTGATTATAGTATTGTTTTTTTAATCAAACAAAGAAATATATTTTATAGGATTTTTATCATTTTACATTATTATTTTTTCATCATATTTTTAAGTTTATGATTTCTAATTCAATTATAAATTAATCTTGATAAGATTTAAGTCAATCAAATTAAACTAATAAATATACTTTACAAGATATTCTTATTTTTTTTTTTATGACCCCCCTCATTATCATAATATTATATTTTATAATTTAGATAGATAATTTAATAAAATTATTAACTAAAAATGTCTCACCTTTAATTTTCTTAAGATTCATGTAGCAGTGAAGAATCAGAAATAAAAATTGAGACTTCCTCTTCTTCTTATGTTAGCAAGAAATCAAAGAAAATTAGAAATGTTGAACCAAAACCCCCTAATTATGGGTATGGAAGACCGGGAAAAGAATCTATTTCTCAATTATCTAATGAGCAAAGATAATTTATTGAAATAAATATGAAAGAAGTCTGGTTTTGTACAAATTTATCAACAAAATGTTTAATCTATCTGTGCAATAAAGGAAACATGATTCTTAAAGTTAAAACAGGAAAACCAGCAGAACATGTTAAGAGGAAATTTTTAGAAGTTTTTGGAAAGCCTAATTTAAAATTCTATAAAAAGTATAAGAAAGACTTCAAGAAAAAGCTTTAGGTAATTATTTGTTTATCACTTAAGGAAAAACATATAACTATATTAAAGCACTTAGGGTACTCAGAAAAAACAACTTATTTATTTTTATCTAATAACAATGAAAATCAAATAGACCTAAAGTTAGAATATTTTTCAGATGAAGCCAGAAATGGTCTAGCATCTCTTATAAAATACTTATCTCCATAATTTATTTACACATTTAAAGTAATTGTTGAATGTTTCGACTGGAGTTTGGCCAATATTTAAGAGGAAGATTCAAACATTATTGATTTTATTGTTGAGAAATTAAAAACTGATAAAAAAAATCATTAAATGATTTTTAATATGCAATTAATTTAAGAACTCTTATATGATGATACAAAACTTTTGAATTAAATTGTATTCCAATTATTTATAATAGGAAAATGATCCTGAACAAGCATATTTATATTTGAAATCTAATATGACGGTCACCATTCCTAATTTCAATTCTAATTCTTACAAAGATTAAGTAGAATCTATTGAATAATATTCTAAATGGATCAATACCTTTATAAGTGAATTTGTTGACATTTTATAATAAAATCAATGAATTATTATAATTATTTCCCTTTCATAAAAATAAATGATAAAAAGTTAACAGCTAAATCAATCATTGAACTTCTAAAAGGGTTCGGAGGGGATCTAGCCATATCCTCTTATTTGGTTTAATCATTTATAGATACTACTTCATAGATATATAAAATTCAGAAAAAGGAGTTATTGAAATTCAAATCGGTAGATTACTTTAAAGATGAAAGTATTTTCTAAAATTAAAAGTACTTCTAATTAAATAGTTTCTAAATTCGAGCTCCCTAATTTTCAAAAATTTTGAGAATGCTTAAAAAAAAATTATATTTTTATTCATCATTTTTGTTAACATCGTCATTTAAAAAGTAATAAAATAATTTATGAAATATAACTAATTCAAAGAGGACCCTTATCTATATTCTTCATATTATCCTTCATTATTAAAAGAATATTTATATTCATTCTTACAAAAGTTAGTTGGTTCAAATTTTATCACTTTTAAGCTATAAAGAATATCTAAAAATAGAAAATATTTTTAACATTGCTAGTGAAGTCTAAATAAAAATCATTATTTTAATTAGATTTATATTATTTCAAAATCATTCGGATTTAATTATTTTCCGGAAAAGTTCTTCACTTAGATTAAAAATTTTAACTATCTGAGAAAGAATGTTATCAAAATAAAAAAATATTTTAATTCTTGTGAAGTTAATTCTTTATTATATCTTTGATTGATCAATAAATAGTTTAAATAGGTAATTATAAAGATCTAAAATTATTAAAATTAATTAGGATTCTTGAATCCATTATTTGCTTTGGCCTATACTTTTTTAATTGATAAGTATGAAGAGTTAGTTTAATTGAATAATTTTGAATACACAAATAACGAGATGATGAATTAACTTTTTCTTAATTGAATAATCTTAATGATTTTATAAGCGGTTTAGCTAAAATAAAAATTATTTTAAATTAAAAAACAAATTCCAATATTATTAAAAAAAAACAGTACTATGAAGGTATAAAGTAATTGAATTTTCTATTCAAAATTGCTAGACCAACAACTTTAAATATAAGAAAATTTATAATGTTTTTAAGTTTACTCTAACTTTAAAAATAGTCTTGATTAGAGGGGAAAACTCTTGAAATGTTAAATAGAATGGCAGCGATATTTGAAAGCAAAGTATTTTTTTAATTAAGAAAGATCAAGATAAAGATTACTTATAATTTGATACAATTTTACAAAAAATTTAATTACATTATTTACACAGATTTAATTAACTTTGCTTGCAAGTCATTATAATGAAAAAAACTTCATATCACTAAATTATAAAAAATAATAGAAAATGAAGCAAATATTATTAGGAATTTTAAGAAATAATATAAATATCACTTTTCTTATTATTTAAAACTTGACACCAAAACTAGATTTTCAAAATTAAAACATTATAATTAATCTAGGAGTTTATAATAAATGCCTCTTGTGAATTAAATATTTAATTATCCAACATAAACATTTGAAATTTATTATAAGCCACTTTTAAAGTTTTTTGATCTATTATAAAAGATTAATTCTAATATTTAAGCATCTTTATAGCCTTTTCTTCTTCAATAAAAATCTCGGTAACAAATTTCAGATTTTCAGCGGAGCATTATCTCAGCAATATGTGGATGTAATAGAATAAATTCTTATAAACTCAAAATTTAATTTAATTGACTTGGCAAAACTTAGATCTTTATTAAATTTATATATTGATTTTAAAGTGGACAATTAATATATTATTAGGAATATTGATATTACTTTTAATAATGCATCTGCTATAAAGTAAAAAGATTTTTTAAAAAAAATATTTTATAAATTCAATTTATCTTAATTATAATAATAAAATTTTTTAAAAATTATAATATTATTAGACTTAATTTAAAGAGAAATTCGAAGATATTTGATATCTCAATAATAAAAAGAAAATAGAATATTATAAAGAATAATGAAAATTTATAATTTTGTAAAGACTTTTTTAGATAGAATTTGATGCATTAATTTTTCATTTGTTTCTCTAAAATTTATTCGCTAGATTTGATTGATTTGTTGTTTATTATGTTTATTATGTTTATTTATATTTTTATTATGGCTGTTATTATTGTTAAGTTTATTACTATTGTTATTATTGTGGCTATTCTTATGGCTGTTATTAAGAAGATTATCCTGTATTTCTGGAATATTGAATTGCTGGTTTGCTTTATGGCTCATTTGAAATTCTTGAATTAATAAATCCTCCATTATTTCTTGTTGGTACCTATTACTAAGGAACTTATTCTAAAGTTTATTATTATTATTAATTTTACGAAACTATATTACTTCTATTAATTATATTTGTTTGAATTTTAGGAGCTCTATCCTTATCTTCTTATTCTTTCTTTTTTTTTTCTTCTTCCTTTCTTTTTTCTTCTTCTTTTTTTCTTTCTTCTTCTTTTTTTCTTTCTTCTTCCTTTTTTTTTTCTTCTTCTTATTTTATTAAGCTTGCTTTTTATATTATTTGTTTTTTGAATTTCTAAGTTATTTCAGTTTTAAATTAATCAATTTATTGTTAAAGTTCTTATTCTTTTATTTATCTTTTCTATGCTAAAATTTCATCATGATATTTAAATGCATCAGTTAAACTTTATTTTAATTTCAAATTTGCTTGATATTATTCTTGATGCTTTTATTATGTTTCTTCAATATTATCTTCTGGCCAACTAGTTATGATCTTTGATTCCAGTATTGCTCTTTCTCTTTCAATATAATCATTCTTTTTAAATGTTCTTAAATATTTATCATCAGCTCCTTTTTTTGCTTCTTCTTCAAATTTCTTTTTAATATCCTACAAAATACCCGTATCAATATTTAATAAATGATAATCCTTTAATAATTCAATCTTTTTTCTTTCTCCATTAATTTCAAATGTAACATATTTACCTCCTTTTAATTTAATAATATCTTGTAATAACTTTTATCTAATAGCTATTTCTTTAGCCTTCTTTGCTTCCATTTCAGCTATTCTTTCTTACTCAAATTTTTTTCTTTCATCATCTTATCTTCTTTATTCTTTCATTTCCTATATAACCTTTTAATTATCTTCTTCAACTTTCTTTTTAATAAGATCTGGATCTGCTAATCTATTCAAACTTTTTAAGGTCTATTATCTTGTTAAAATAACAAGATTTGATGAATCAAGTTATTTTTTAGCTTATTCAATAGGATCTTAAATTACTCTTTAAGGTTACAAATTTATTAATATTGTTGGCAATATTTATTAATCATTTGATATTTGGTTAGAATTAAAGGAAACTATTTATGATTAAAAATCCACTTTACAACTAATAAACTTATTTGAATTAGAATAAATCAAAGTTTAAAATATAGTTTCAGAATTTGTAAATTTTAATAAATCTTTTAATTGATCTAATTTAATTGTCCTATATATTCTAGAGATGCTTTTAAGTACTTATCCAACAAGATTCTCTTCAAGTTGAGGAATAAATAATAAATATTTTTCATTTTATCTTAATTCTGTAAAAACTTAATTTGCTTAATCAGAAACTGTTAATAAATCTTATTAATTTTCCAACAATAAATAAACTTTTTATATTATTGGTTGAACAAACTTGACAGCATTCATTTCTCCTAGAATTTTTAATAATTCTTCCCTTGTTGGTATTTTAGTTCCTTTTTCAAATAAAGAAGTTGTTCTATCTCTTGGATTAAAATCACCACTTAATAATGGTATTACTAATACAGACAATACTAAATGAGATAATTTTTCATTAATTTCAGCATTTTTACTTTTAATTTCTTCTTATGTTTAAACTGGTTTCTTTTTAAATGCCAAATAATGATTATAATAAGCAAAAGCTTAAAACAAACTATTACCAGATTTCTAAAATATTTTGGAAAGTAAATCATAATATAACATTAAATATGATGCTTTAAAATTACCTCTTCTCATTGATTTAAGTACCATAACAGTTTCTAAAGTCTTTGAAGCTTCTGATTACATATCTAAAGCCATTGCTGTTTTAACAATATCAAATATAGCATTTACATGTTTATCATTTGTAGCTGGTTTAGTCAAATCTACATGAGTAGGATTTCGTTTTGTGTCTAATTCTCTTTCATTTAAATCTAAAACAAATCTATAAATCTATCAAATATATAAATAACCTATTTGTTTAATCACAGAACCATTAAAACTCAGCCTTACGTTTATATTTCAAACAAAATTCGCTCACTTTCTTTAAAATTTCAAAATAAACATCTTCTAATTTCTCATTCCATTTTACATTCTCCATCACTGTTCTATACGTTTCCCATAATAACCTTAAACATGATTTTTATTGATCCTTCTATTATTTAGCTTCAGGATCAAAAGAAAGGTACAACAATTCTTCAGCTGGCTCTTCATATGATAATTATCCAACAAATGGTAACTTTTTAAGCTACAATAATTTAATTGTATATATACTTCTTCTACATCATATTATTTAACTTTATCACTAAAAATCTTTTCTACTTTTACTAAATATTCTTTCAAAATATCTGCAAAAGCATCAAAGTGATTATGTTATGTCATTTGTCTATATGCCTTGAAAACCTCTTTCAATTAATTCTATTCATCTGGTTAATTGACTCCAACAAATAATCTTAAATCAATATAAGCTTGCTAAAAAATTCTTTAATTATTTTACCATTAATTTATAAAGATATTAAATATTGCTTGCTACACTCACATCTCCTTAATCTTGATAGGATGTTGTAGTTTTTCTGGTTCTTTAACCAAAACTAGATAAATATCTAAATAGGATCAATAATGCATCATTATTCTTTCCTTCCTTAACGTAGTCTAAATTTATTCATGGAGTTAGTGTACCATCATAAATTTTATAAGCTTATTCTGGCCTTAAAGTTAAATAATTGATAGATGCCATAATTTAAATAATTAAATATTTTTAATTTATATTGAACTAACTAAAATTTATTAAAGGCAACACAACTTTAGAACAATTTGATATTTATATTGAATTGATTCTAAAATAAAATAAATTTCATCTAATAACAAAATAAGAATGTTATGAATTATTAATAAAAGTATTATATTCAATTGCATAATTATTTCATATAAGCTTCCCATTCTGTATTTGGTACTCCTTTTTTTATAACGTCATCATATAATGAACTAATCATCATTGAATGTATTTTATTATTTTCTGGCACTTAACTTTTTAATTTTATGACTAAATCATAGAATTCTCTTTTAGAAGTATTATTCTAAGATTACTCCTAAATAAGAGATTTAAGATAGCAAGCTTTGACTAATTTCTTAACTTCAGGATCTTCAAATTGTTTAGATAATTATCGTAGCAATTTAAAAGTTTCCATATTATCTGAATTATTCAATATCTCTTAAGCATAATGAGTTATTCTTTAATACTGGTCATTCTATTATAATTGATGAATTAAATTTAAAATTTTATTACTTAGAGCACTTAATGTTTTATTTGAAACAGCTGTGCTATCATCTGATTCACAAGAATTATTACTTAATTATTATTGTTATTATAATTGTTATGATGGAAATTATCTTTATTTTTAATAAAAATCATAAGAATGACCTTAAAAAGTATTTGCTCTTACTGGACCTCTTTATAATTTTTCTGACATTGTTTTTGAATATTAAATTTCTCTCTTTTCATTTTATTTAAAAGTCATTTTATCTAAAAACTCTCCAACTAATTTAATTATCATTTGAACTTCATTTGATATTGATTCAACTTCATCAACTATAATTAATAATTATTAATATTCTTCATTTATTAAGTACAAATCCTACTTAATAACCTTCTTTATAGAATTATCTTTGCTAGTTAACATTTAAGAATAATTTTCTAAAGAATGAATAACTTTTTTTTTAAGTAGTCTGGCATGTTTTACTACATCTTCATCATTATCTTTTTCTCTAATGGCTTCTTATGATTGTAAAATCATTAACTATTATTGAATTAATTCATCATCAAGATGATCCTCCTTTAAAGGTATCGCTGAAATATCTAATAACATAGTCTTTTCGTTAGACTAAATTCCAGAGATGTCCAAAAATCCTTGCATGTGCAAAATTTTGATGAGATTAACAAGAAATAATTTATTATATTATTTTATTGTAATAAAACGGAATCTTGATTTAACAAATAAACTTGAACAATGTTAGATTCTTCTAATAATAATTCATTTATGTAAAATAGAATTATCATTTTAAATTTGCTATAGAAAATTGATTATTTTAATTGAAGATTTTTTAAATGCTAATAATAATAGAAAAAATTATGAAAAAAATATTGGAATACTTTTCCTCTTTTAATGTTATGAGATATTTGAAATTTTTAGTTAATAATTTGATTAGAAAATTTATTTAATTTAAAATTATATAATTTATATAAATAATGACTGAAGAATTAGGGACTCTTTATCCTTCTTTAGAATCTAATTGTGAAGATTTAGTTTTGAGTTCTAAAAAATTATTTTAAGCTTAAGAAGGTAAAGGAGTGCCAGAATTTTATGAAACATTGAAGTTAAAAATAAATACAAAAGTAAATTATGAATACTCAAATGTTACAAAAAGTAATGAATTGGCTGATTCTTTACATTAAGAATTTGAGAATATTCAAACAGAAATAAAAGATTAGAAAAAGCCTGAAAATAAAAGATAAATAGATAAAATAATAGAAGATTATTAAAAGGATAAGTAGAAGGAAAGTAAATTATCAAAATTGCCATAATAATTTTTAAAATTTGATGAAAAAACTTCAGCTACTTAAACAAATAATACATATATTTAAAATGAGAAATAAACAGCTGAAAATAAATCTTTAGTTGCTGTAAAATAAAATGAAAATTAATTATCTGTAATAGAGCCAGCTAGACTAGGAACAGTAATGGTTTAGAAAATAAAGAAAATAATAAAACCTGAATGGCATGCTCCTTGGAAATTAATGAGAGTTATAAGTGGACATCATGGTTGGGTAAGATGTATAGCAGTAGATCCTGGAAATTAATTTTTTGTAACAGGTTCAAGTGATAGAACAATAAAGTTTTGGGATTTAGCAACAGGAAATTTAAAATTAACTTTTACAGGTCATATATCAACAATAAGGTCTGTAATAGTAAGTGCAAGACATCCTTATTTATTTAGTTGTGCAGAAGATAAAACTGTAAAATGTTGGGATTTAGAATAAAATAAAATGATTAGAGATTATCACGGACATTTATCAGGAGTATATAGTTTAGCTTTGCATCCAACTTTAGATGTTTTAGTAAGTGGTGGAAGAGATTCTGTATGTAGAGTATGGGATATAAGAGCAAGATAATAAATTCATGTATTGGAAGGACATACAAATACTATAGATTCAATTATATGTTAAGAATTCGAACCTTAAATAGTGAGTGGATCATAAGATTCTATGATTAAATTATGGGATATGACTTCAGGTAAATGTATATCTACTTTAACTAATCATAAAAAATCAGTAAGAGCCTTAGCATTTCATCCATTAGAATATACATTTTGTTCAGCTGCTTCTGATAATCTTAAAGTATGGAAATGTCCTGAAGGTACATTTTTAAGAAATATTTCTGGTCATAATGCTATGATTAATTCTATAGCTATTAATAGAAATAATGTATTGGCAAGCGCTGCAGATAATGGATCATTAAATTTCTGGGATTGGAAATCTGGATATAATTTCTAATCTATTAATACTATAGCTTAACCTGGATCTATTGCTGCTGAGAATGGAATATTTTGTTGTACTTTTGATTAAAGTTAAATGAGGTAACATATTTTATCTATTATAGATTTCTAACTGGAGAGTGTGATAAATCAATTAAGATGTATAAGGAAGACGAAACAGCCACTCCTGAAACTCATCCTATTGATGATATCAGAATTGAATATGCAAATCAAAATTATTGATAATTGTTTATATTACAATTATAGATTTATCATTTTGGAAGAATTTAATTCACTTTTGGTGCTCTAAAAGTCTTACCTCTATATTTATTTCTTTTACTCATTGCCAATATTTAAGATCGATTATTTTCATCTCGTCTTTACGTTAGCAAATTTACTAATTGTAATTTTACATATTTATATTTCTCTAAATACATCTAAGGGAACATTAAATATTTCACTAATTTTTTTCTTAAATCCACTAAATTAGGCTAAATTTTCATTTATTAATCATAAAATTCCTCTTTCTCTAAAACTCTTGAAAAATTATTTTAAGTCTGATAATATTAAAACTCTTTACAAGTATCCATTTGTTGAATTTTAGTTTTGTTGCCAAAATATTCATCTTACAAAGATATTAGCATCTTTATTTTACTACATAATAAAAAAGCATTCTAAACATCAATGTCTGTTAAAATCTCTTTTTTCCCTTATTCAATTTAATTTATCCTAATAATAACTTTTTCCAATATCATTTTCAATGATTGATTTTATTATTAAATATCTAAGAATTTATTTGCCATTGATTTTTTAGTTGATTTCTTTTTTTTCATTAAATTAAGTTTTATAACCATTTAAACAATTTTACGAAATTTCTACAAAACTTAAATTTGTCTAAATCGGCTAAATTCAATTGTACAAGAAGGTCTTAATCGTCTTGCGTTTGAATTTTAAGTACATGATTTAGCTTCTAAAGGTTTTAGTTATTGAATATTTGATTGCCTTCTTTTTGTTCCTCTAATTGCTTATGGTAATTTAAGTTTATTATCATCAGATTCTACTGCTTCATTAGGACTCTCTTTTTTATTCATAATACTAAATCTTTATTATGGTCTATGATATATTGGAGATTATGTTAATTCTGGAGATGGAATTATCATATCAATTTTTTTAATTTGAGAACTTTTTTAATCTTCTTCTTCTTCTGGAGGTTCATCATAAAATTCAGTCCATTTAGAATTGCAACTGCTATAAAATTAAGCAATATCAGAAATCTCTTCTTAATCAACTAATGCATGAAATTAATTTGTAAATCTTCCCATATTTCTTTTAAAATATTTTCTATCATGTTCTATTGTAAATAAATGTTTTTTAATTATGAATTCTCTATCACTAACATAATGCAATAGAGGACAATTCATGACTCTATGAGTTGATGATTAACATGAAAAACATTTCATATGTTATATGTAATCTTGATTAAATAATAATCCATCATGAATATTTCTAAATCTTTCATAATCTTCTGGATAATCTGGTAATATTCTTAAAAAATCATCTCTTGACAATAATAATAATTTAGTAAATCCTAAACTTCTAAACTTCTCTCTAGATCTTTAACCACTAATAAAACTATAGATACCTAAACTAGTTCCCTTTCCTGCTTTACTTATAACTGAAACTTATTAATGTGAATATATTGAATCTTTTTAATCATTTTAAATTAGTATTTACACTTCTCCATGTTCTATAAAACACATAAAAATTTAACCATTTGGAAGTGTTGGGAATATTTAATCAAATTCAACAATATTCTCAGGTTAAATAACTGTTTATTTAATTTATCTCACTAATTTATTTTTTAATTAATCACTAAAATGATTTTTAAATAAAGGACATTCATTTAATATTATAGAATTTGCTTATAACATTAATTATTCTCTTAAATTTTAAGATAATTAATTAATAATATTTTATTCATCTTATGATTCTACCTAACTTTATGATTACCAATAATAATTTAAATATTCTCTTACTTAATATTATAATTCATATCCAATTTTTTTATTTTACATATAAGTATTAATAGTATGAACCTTCTTCATTTTCTCTTGTTCATACGCAGATATTTTATCTAAGATTGTACCAACAGTACTTACACTATAACTCAATTGAATACTACAAAACATCATATAAAATATTGATATAATTCTCTCAATATAACTTACTGGTGTAATGTCTCCATACCCGACTGTGAACATTGTCACTGTAGAATAATAAAATGAAAAAAGATATTAAACAGCGAATGTTTCATGCTCAATATTAAACAGTTCTAACCAACTACCCTAAGATGAATGATTATGGCTATATTCTCCAACCTAAATTATATAGTTATTCTTATTACTTACAAAAAACCATAAGCAAGAGTAACAATGCAAAACAAAAAACAATACCAACATCAATTTTAATAATTCCAACATTGATGAAACTGGCTTAGACAAATTTAACACTTCCTCTATTTAGGCAATCAATTTAGGAATATTTCTACTTTATACATAAAATAATGATATCGAAACATCTCCCCAATTATCCAACACATTTATTGTATTAGAATTTGAATTAAATAAGTATATACTTAAAATTAATAAAGAAATTGATTCCAAACCATAACTTTTTGTTATTACATGTTTAGCTATTATTGCTCTCTAATTTGCTATTTAACCAAATTAATAAAATGAATTATTAAAACTTATGAGATAATCTATCAATAAAATTATAAGTGCTAAAACAGAAACTGGATATAACTAACCATATATTACTGGAATTTCTGTCCATCCCAAATCTATTGGAATTACATACATAAAATATAACCTTGAGAATGCAACAAAACAATCCCAAATTAATTTCCATCTTGACTCAGGAGTTATTATGGGAATTTTTTAAAGTTATTGTTCCATCCTCTAAGAAATTTACTTAATGTTTTATTTTTAATTTATTAAGTAGTTTTTCATTTATTATACAACTGAAGGCTTCTATATTTATTCTACTTAATTAGATCTTCTCAAACCTCTATGTAGTGGTTTAAAATGTAAACTGCTTTCTTTAAATAATTTTAAGTCAAATGATGATCCTTTATCATTTAATAAATCATATTAGTATTGACTAAACTTTGTGTTTATTCTTTTTCTCTCACTAATTCTTCTTATAAACTTTATTGCATTCCAAGATTAAAACAATGTTAATTAATGCTATGGTTCATCTTTTTATTGCCTACTTGATGATTATAAGATCAATCTAGCATCAGGACTATCAATACTCATTCTTTAGCTTCTCATTTCTTCATTCGACAATGGAGTAGGCTCTGATTATTTTTAACCTTTTTATTATGAAATTGGATAATAAGCATCAGACAAAGAATTATTTACAAAATCATGAATTTCACCTATTTATTCATCTGTAATTATGAATTACTGCACTTTATGAGATTATTCAGAATCGCTTTGAGTTTTTTATTGCATATAATTTATATTATAATCTATTATTTTTCAACATTGAAATTCAAAATTAACATATTACTAAACACAGCAAAAAGTCTGAATTAAGAATTTCAAATTATTTTCAAACGTTTCTTTAAGTTTATACTCAAAGGATTATTCCACAATCTAAGGATTTTATATTATATTCAATTTAATTATTAATCCTTCTCATTATTGCCTTTCCAAAAATCTTGTTATTTTAGATTGTCTAAAAAATTGATAATTTAATATTAGAAAGAAGAAATAAAGAATAATATTGATTTATTAAATTTGCTTTATTTATTTGAAAAAAGAGATCTAAATTTGTTTATAAACATCCCCAAATGAATTTTAGAAAGGATATGGAAATTATATTTAATATTTATTAAGAATTGTTGAAAAGAGAAATATAAAAATTATTATATGATTATAAATCAAATTAATTATATAATATATAATTTAATAGAAAATAATAAATGATAAGAGAACATTATAATAATTTAAGTCATTGATGTTTTATGTATTTAGATCCATTACTTGTTTATCCATTTTATAATGAATATGTTTTAGTTTCTTTTCTTCCACCATTATCAATTGTTTCAACAACTTCTGTAGTTCCATCTGGTTTTGTTGTTGTCTTTTTTGTAACAGTCACTTTACGACCATTTCTACATTATTAATGATAGATTTATACTATATTGTTGTTGAAGTAGAAATTGAAGTTCCTCCTCCAAATCCTCCTCCAAAATTTGATGAAGAAAATGATTAAAATGAACCACCTCCTCCTCCGAAGAAATCATCATCACCAAAACCTCCAAATGCACCAAAGCCACCAAATCCAAATGGACTTCTTTAAGAATTGTTGCTATTTTTTTTGCTTCCATTTCTTCCAAAGAAAAAGCCCATATCATCATCTTCATCCATTCCAAAGTTCTTAAAGAAACTTTCAAATTATTTAAAAGGATCAAATCCATCTCCAAAACCACCAAAACCTCCAAAACCTGAGAATCCTTAAAATTAACTACCTCCACCATTTTTTAAACTAAAATATAATTCTTTTAACTTACCCTTCATGACCATATCTATCATAAATGGCTCTTTTATCTTTATCAGATAATACAGAATATGCTTCTCCAATTTTTTTAAACTTTTCTTAAGCCTCTTATTTATTATCAGGGTTTTTGTCCTAAAATATTATTTTATAAAACTTACTGGATGCCATTTAATGGCCAACTTTCTATAAGCTTTTTTGATTTCCTCATCAGAAGCTGTTTTACTTACTCCTAAAATCTCATAATAGTCTTGTTCCTTTTTTGACATGTCTATGTTTTTATTGATTATTATATTTATTTAAACTCAAAGAGGAAGTTAAATATTCAAAGAAGATTCTAGAACTTTATTATAATAATTATATATCATAAATTCTGATTAATTCAAAATACTGTCTTTAAGGTTCAAAACTATCTAAAATTTGTCTATATATTTAAAGATGAATTAAATAAAATAATATTGATAATAATTTCTAGGCTTTCTATTTAAAAAAATAATTCTTAATACTGATAAGAATTTTATCTTGAATACCTTCAATATAAATCTTATAATCTTTTTTGTATCTTGTAAGATAATTGAACAAAACAAGATTAACAAGATTTTAGTTTTTAAAAAAAGGAAGAATTGAAGATGTATATAAAGAGTTTTATAAAACATACATTATTTAATATAAAAATTGATGTTAACTAAATTGCTTTAGAAATCAAGATAAGCAAGATTTTGTGGTAATGATAGGAGATGAATATTTAGTTTATATAAAGAATTCTGTAAACTATCATGTAGCTAATTCTTAAGATCCAAATAATAAATTTTCTACTCCCTAATTCAATTCAAGCATTCTTGATTTTGATAAAGATTAGGAGAATAATGTTTAAATGCACTACTATTAAGGTACAATGAAAGTTTAAAATTGTTTAGGCAAATTCATGCCAGATGAATTGGATTGGACTGATGTTTGGGAAACAGCTTATTAAAATTTTACATAACCAGAATACCTCTATCATTTTTGGTTTTGTGGTGTCCTTTATTGTTTTGAGCCAGAATGGACTATTAATTATCCATATGAAAAGGGACCACTTTCTCCATTGTTTAGAGGAGAACATGCATTAAGAAGATATCCTACAGGTGAAGAAAGGTATATATAGTATTTATTTTATATTATAGATGCATAGCATGTAAATTATGTTAAAGTGCTTGTCCTGCTAGAGCTATTACAATAGAAACAGAACCAAGACCTGATAATTCAAGGTATCATTGTTTTATCATATAAATTAAGACGTACTGTAAGATATGATATTGATATGACCAAATGCATTTATTGTGGATTCTGTTAAGAAGCATGTCCAGTTGATGCTATTGTGGAAGTACTTAATAAATTTCTATTTAAGGGTCCAAATTATGAATACACAACATATCAACATGAAGATTTATTCTATGATAAATTTAAACTATTAGAAAATGGTGATAAATGGGAACCTTAAATTGCAAGAAACATTGAATATTTAATTACAAGAAAATATTGATTAAATAAAATTCAATATTTGCAAATAAAAAGATATATAAATATATTACAAAATCAATTTTGAAGTTTAATATCTTATTAAATAAAGCTTAATATATAAGCATTTTCTAGTAATCTTTCTAATGGAACTAATGTTAATAACTATTTGCTAGTTTAATAATGTGATCGAATATTTTTCATTGAGATAACCATCGTTATCATTGAAATTGTCATCACTAAACCAGAAAATACTACTAATATTATATCAATATTTATGTTATTCTGTACTGATTACTCTATTTGATTTGTTAAGGTTTAAACAATTACAAAAAAACCCATAGAATCGTAAAGTCTTTCAATTTAAGATGTTACAGAATAATAATTCTATTAAAGATATTCCTAAGTTAAATTGTTTTCTAAATCCTACAAAAATTTAAGCTGTTAATCGCATAAATCTGCAAAAATTACACTCAATCCTCCTTATAATATAGGGTAACTCATACATTACTCATATGAAAATAATTCATCATATTATTAATAACTTGTTCTAATAATAATAATATATTTATATATTTACAATGAATTATTGAAAATATTGCAAGCTGATTTTGTAACTATTTTATATATTGTCTCATCTTATTAATATAATGATAATTTCTTTCTTAAACCATTTAGTGAATTAACTGTCTTATTTTAGATTTTTAAGATTTCACTAGTAATTTCATTTTGGATAAAAATTGAGGATTAGGCATATGCTAAAGTAATTTCATAGTATGCCTATGAGAACAATATTTTATCATTAAATTATATAAGAATTTTATCTATAGTCGCCTCATGCATTATATTACTACCAATAAAATAAGTTGAACAGACTATTATAGTTATCAAAACAAATAAGAAAAAGATTATTTGTGTTGAATTATTTTCTATTTTGTTTATTAGATTTAAATACTTTTTTACTTTATTCTTTTTCCTACTTTCTAATATTTCTCCAAAATGGCATTGCTTGTCTATTTATGAAAAGCTTATCCCATAATAAATTCAAATTTTTCTTCATTAGTTTCTTCTTTTTTGAATCTATTTGTGTTCATAAGGGAATATAAAGAAGAAAAGGTTACGTATTATTCTTGTATTACATCAGTAGTGAATGTACAAAACAATTTAAATACTTTTTACTTCATCTGAATAAGTATGATACATTTATATGCGTACCAACAGATAAATAACAACAGAACTATTTCTTCAGCTATAACTCTAAAAATAATATTCATAAAAATTATAAATTATTTACATATACTAAATGTTTGTAATATTTCTAGTTGTATCTGTTTAATATAGAGTATTAATTATACTATCAAAGTATTTGGTATTATTCAAAAAGTTATTAAAGCTAAATAATTAATTATTTTTTTAGTTTATCATTTACTAAATAATATATATTGATTATTGTTTTAATGTAGTTTCTAAACCAATTTCTATCTCTGGAATATTCTACAAAGCATAATCTATGTTTTTGATTTCATCTTAATAAAAATCTAAACTAATTTGTTGTAAATTGGAAAATGGAAACAACAAACTATATTTCAAATATAAGGAAGAAATCACAAATTCATTATAAAAATAAGATAATTGATATGGTAAATTTTAACTAGATTAATTTTATTGAATCTTCTAATAATTTCTAGAAAAGAGTAAGCAATTAACTACATATGATCCAATTATTAATAAATAAAAGATCAGAAGAATAAGAGCATGCTTTTTATTTAATATTGTATTATCACTTAAACAATCTCGCATTTATCTTTTGATTTATGATTAATTATTTTATGAAGATCTACTACCCACAGACATATTATTTTGATTATCAAATTTATTAATTTAATTTTTTTTCTTCTCATCAATTTTGATTGAATGTTAAGTTTCCTTATGAAGATTTTAATTTTGTTCTTAATTTTTTTCTTAATTCTGTTCTTAAATGCTTTCAATTTCATCTTACACATATTAAATTAACTACACTTATTAATGATGAGTAGTATTTGTTATATTTACTGTTGCCAATTAATTTTTAACTTCATCAATCATTCTCTCTTCTTCTTGTAATAAATGATGATCCAAATCACAATCAAATATCCAAGGTGAATTTAGTAAACTTCCCTATTCTCTATAACTTGTAGAATTTTAAAACTATTAAATTTGAAATTATTATGATGTTCTCACTCTTAATTATATTATCTATTTACTAGATAACTTTTAATTAACCATTATTTTATAATCTTATAATTCCAATATTACTAATCTAAATATTTAATAGTCTAAATACCTTAAATTTATTGTTACTAAACTCATCACATGTAATTATACAAGAAATATGACATTATCTGATGGTAAACATTCAAAATTCTTATAAATTTATTTCTAAAAAAAAGATTTGGACATAGTTTTTGATAATTAAGATTATGACATACTTTTATTTTAATTAATAATAGGAATTATGACTTAACATTCGAATTTTTTATCTAATTTATCAAAATTTTTATCATATATCTATTCCCAAATTTTGGCTAATTCAGGAATAAAAAATAAACAATCCAAACCTCTTATTTAAGATATTGAGATTCCTAAATGTTTTTAAAACATTTCTTCAAAAATATTTTAAGTAATTTCTTCAATTTATCCTTTTTCATTCAAAATCATATATCCAAAAGTTAAATTAACAGGTGTAATAAGAGCAGTTGCACCAAATTCAGTTGGACTTGTTTCAATTCTTAATCTAGTATTGATAGGAACCAAAAATTATCCCTTATTTTTACCCAATATAACTCTTACTTCTGATCTTACGACTATTATTCTACCTCTCTCTACAAAATTATCTAAATACATATCATGATCATCAGCTATTATTTAAGGCATAAATCTATGAATATTTTAATCTTTAATTTCTTCATCTTTAAAACCAATTGCTTATTAAAAAGATCTAGTGTATCTAAGTACATTTCCTCGAGGTTGTAATAAAGTGATCTAAATAACACAACTACCAGGATCAAATATTGTTTTTTCTATAGATTACATAAATGAGGTCACCAATTTACCTTCTAAACGATACAATTTAGGTCTACTCTTATTATATTATATATATCTTGAAAATAGATTATATATAGTGTCACATTCATTAGAAAGTGGATTTATTGTAAAAGCTTATTGTAATTGAGATTCAACAGATTTTATATTATTTAAAATCTCAAATCCTATTCTAACCAATTAATCAATATCAATTATCGATGTTAAAATTAACCCATACCATTCCTAAATTTCTTAATATATTACCTTAAATTATTTTGCTATCAAACACATATTCTATTTTATTATAGACAAGGACTCCTCATATTAATATACTCTTTTAAATATGTACTTTTAATTTTTTAAATCATTCTTCTTCACTAATTAGTCAAATTCTTCCAAAGCATCATATTTTAATTTATATATAATTGCTTATTCTTTTAATGCCATTCCCTTTTTTAAAAATAAATTAAACATACTTATGTTTGAATAGACAATCTAATTACTTCATAAATTGCTTATGTAGGTAACTTTTTTATTTAAACTAAAAAGTATATATAAATCAATGCTAAGTATGTATTGGTTGTCTCAATAATTTCATCTTCTAAAGTTTGTGATATTAATTCCTTTGCAAAAACTTTCATTGAACTTATTGAATCAAATTAAAAATGTTCTTTATCTGAAAATTCATCACAAAAACATTTAAATTTCATTTTTATTTATCTTTGTAATTTTCTTTCTCTATTCAAAGAACAATATCGTAAATGATTTGTAGTAAATGAATACATAAACAATGATTCCATAGGATCTAGAGACCTCTACTCTTTTTTTAGTTTTATTTATTTTTTAAATAAATGATATATAAATCTAATTTGTTTTTCTAACGAATTTCCTGATGATTTTAATTATGATATCTTCTATCTATCAGTTAAGATTATAAGAATATAAGCACTAAATGGATAATAAAACATTAAAAATCCCAAAACATTTAAATCTTCGATAATGTCACTTAGTTAAACTACCAAAAGTGTTATCTGATATATAAATAAGTAACTTGATATATGAAATTGCAATCGAGAAATTTAGACTTCTACATAAACAAGCTAATTGTAACTCATAACAATGCTCATTAATAAATAGATCACATAAATGACTTGAACTATTATAGTATTTACTTCCATCCCTATCAATATTACTATAGTTGTTTAAAATGCAAATATAAGATGGACTTTTTATTAATTAAATCGTCCTAAATAATCTTGTTTCTTCATTTTAAATTCAAAACAATGCATATCAATAATTAAACTAAAAATTATTTGAAGTGCTATTGAGAATATACTAATACTAGAACCAAATAGTAAGAACTAGTTAAGTGAATCTAATAAAAATAATTAATACTTATCATTTGATTTTAATTCAAAATATAAAAGTGAGAATATAACAAAGGTATTCTCATTAGCATTTAATATATCTGCATATAAACAGAAATAAATTATTTGATTAGATTATTCTACTCTATTTATTTCTATCTATTCTAAATTAAATTTAGTGAAATAGTACAATTTCAAGTGTCATTTCAATTATTTATCCATCCTTATTTGCTCTAACTGAAGTATTTAAGATCAATATTAATAAACAGATAAACGTTAAAAATGTCAGTGTGAATCCAATTAACATGTACAAAATGTGGATTTCAATATACTCTCCCAAAACACTATAAAATCTATAAATATTAATTGTGCATTTAAACCGAAATATATTCAAAATATTATGGATGAAATCTAAATACTCAGCTTTATTTATGATAGCTATTGATTGAGTAATTAATGATAATAACTAGATGTTTTCAACAATCAAAAACACTATTGATAGTTCAAGAGACTTCCTCCATATTCCTTTGATGGTGAGAAATTGTTAAATGTAAAAGTCTTTAACTTGAAAAAGAAAATTTCTCATTATTGCTGATGTTTAAAGGATTATTTTAAAATATTAATATGATTAATAAATATTTTTGCATTCTTTACTTAAATAAAGGAGAAAATAAGAATAATTATTAATTTTATTTTGCTACATTTCTTATTTTCATTCATAATTACTTTTTATAAGTAATTATGAATGAAAATATATGTTAAAGAAATCATTTAATTTTAATCATAAATTAATTTAATTTAATCCATTAATTCATTATTGCTACTGTAAAAATTATACTTTACAATTATTAATAATTTTTTTTATTTTCTCTTTAATTTATTTAAATTATTCTATAAAATTGTAAAGAATATGCAACGTTGTATTTGATAACCCAAAATATATGCAAATAATTCTATAAAATGAATTATCATATGAATAATAATCATAAAATGCGATTTAATTGATAAGATAACATTATAATATATTATAAATAATATAATTAAAATTTGAGTTATATGGCATATTATAAAATTAAAATTAAAAAAATACAAAGTCAATGAATGATAAACGATTTCAATATAGTATGATTTTAATTGGAATTAAAGGAAGCTCTAATTGCATTAAATTACAAAAAATTTGAAGAGTTTAATGTGGTTTCTGAATTTTTATTTTTTATAAATGTTTAAGATTTATTTATAATCTAATTGGTAGTGATAATGATTGTACAAAGATTTACAATATTATTAAATGAGATAACAAAGAGCAAGAAATAATAATTAGTTTTTAATAAAGATAATTAAAGCTACGATGATACAAATTGGAATCAAAAAAAAAAAGGAAGAATAGAAATCATTGTTTAGAAAATTTAATTTAATTAAATGGAAAGATGTTATTTATGTACTGCTATGGCATATTTTGTATTAAATATTTGATTTATGCAATAAATTTAAAGTATTCAACAGTTTTATAATAGATAGAATTCTGAGAAGAATCAAATTTAAATTAAGATAAGATTTTGAAATAGACAATTTATAGAATGCTAGTAATTTAGCAACTGTGGGAAATGTTACAGGTAGTTCTTTTTGTTTATAATAGAGAAAAAACAATTTAAATCATGGGATGTATTGCATTAATAATGTTATTTATAGTAATAGCTTATGTTTAGATATTTTGTTAAATTTCAATTTGTAAAGCGATATAAGTTGTCAAATTTATTTAATAATTTTGAGCTTAATGCTATTACATTTATTCTACGAAGAGATGCATTTCAATCAAATATACTAAATTTCAGTTGCGTTTGATATAAATTAAGAGAAGTCATATGTTAATTTGATTTTAAGGATTAAAAGAAGAAAATTTATAAGCTATTTGTTGACTATTGTAATATTTATTTAAATTAGTTTAAAGTTTGCATTTTTAATTTCTTAAACAAAAGGTATTAGTTTAGAAGTAATTAATCTGGGATAAGAAATGAGTAATTAAATTTTACCTAGATCGATTTATTAAGAATAGTTAATTAATATTAACCTAATTATATAATTGAAAATGTAAAAATCAACTTTCTCAAGTCATTTCTAATCAATATCTCCTCCATTTCTTTTATCAAAGCGATTAAAATCAGAGGGACCAGACTTTTTAACTCAATTAGATTAAAATGCTTAACGATCCATTTAAAGAAGAATGTAACGTAGTGAATTATAATTCACAGAGCCAGATTAAAAACCTACCTTAAGTAATTTTAGTATAAAATTTAATAAGAATAGAAGCAGAACATTAAAGTACGTCCAAAGGTTATTCGAACCAAGTAGCCATCTCTTCCTTATCTTAAATTAGATGACAAACAGTATTATGATAAATGGTACATTCCTTATGATTAAAGATATATTCAAAAAGTTACTATGGCTTAAGAATCTTATTAAGGTTATTAATATCTTTAAATTTAGATCCATTACACTTCTATAAAAATATGCATAAAGGAACTGCTTAATATGATCCATTTGAAAGTAAATTACCCTAAGATGTTCAAAGAAGTATTGAATACAAACATAGATCAGAAATATTAAGAGATTTATTACGTGGATAGAAAATGATAATTGAATTCAAAAAGTATATTGTACATAATGTCAAGAACTTTAGAGTAAAATTAATAACGCATCCCTCAATTTTTAAAGAAGATTTTAGAAGATAAAAAATTGCAATAGTCTAAAAAGTGATGATAATATAATTGATCAAAATCTAACATTTTTTACTATACCACTAGGTTTCCATAATTACTTTTATTCTTTATTTTTTTTATTATTTTAATTTTAATAATTTTATTAGAATAATTATTGCATTTTTGGGAACACTGGTTTATATTTGTTGTGTAAAAGTTTGGATTATGTAATACGACCTATTGTTTTTGGTTCTGACTCATTATTAATTATTATTTTTTATCTAAAATCATCTTCTCTTTAAGTCTAAGTAAAAGAATTTATTTTTGTACTTGTTTCTGTTGAATTATTTCTCTATTATTGAATATTGTCAATCCTTGATTAATCTCTACCTGTTTATCTACTTGATTGATTAACTGAATAAGTATAATTTCTAAAATGAGTTTTTCTGAAATTTTAATTCTCAGTTACTTCCAAAGCTTTAGTTCCAAAAAATACTCCTCTAATAACCTCCTGATTCATTGATAACATTCCATCTCCATCTTAAATTCCCTATTTCCACTATCCTTTATAAAATGTACCATCATGCCAATACATTGTACCATATCCATCTCTTAAATCATTTTTAAAATATCCTTCATATTTATTTCCATCTGACCAACTATAAATACCATATCCTTATTTTAAATCATTTTCATATTCTCCATTATATGAATCTCCAAGTCCATTTCCTCTTCTCCAGATTCCCTTTCCATGTCTTAAACTATCTTTAAATTATCCTTTATATACAGCTCCATTAGCCCAATAGTATTCTCCATTACCATTAGGTTTACCTGCTACATATTCTCCTATATATGTATCTCCATTAGTAAATTTCTCTGTTCCTCTTCCCTCCTTTAAACAATTCTTAAACTCCCCTTCATATCGATCTCCGTTAATCCATTAATGCACTCCATATCCATCAGGAACACCCATCTTCCATTCCCCAATATATGAATCTCCTTTTGAACCTTTCCAAATACCAGAACCATGTTTTTTACCATTAAACCATTATCCATCATAACATTCTCCATTACTCCATTAAAATCTACCCATTCCTTATGGTTTTCCATTCTTATATTATCCTTCATAATACGATCCATTCATAAATAATTCTATTCCCCTTCCATTTTTTTAATTCTCTTACCAATCTCCTTCAAATATGTATTTTCCTTATTTATAATGTACTCCTACTCCTTACCTCAAACCATTCACTATTAATCCAAAATATAATTATTCTGAATCAAATTGAATAGCAAACTAAGGATCGTTTTATAACTCTCCATAATTTTCTAGAATTTAAGGCTGTCTGCATAATTTGAACCATTTACCTTATAATTTTTTATAAATAGTGTAACTTAATCTTGATCTTTAGGAAAAGGGCTGTTATGAAAATGTTCCATAACTTAAGTTGTACATAATTTATTAGAATGTACAAATTGAACTCTTGTTTAAGAAAACTAATCTTATTACATTTTAATATTTTTATTTAACTCATAGTTGTATAGAATTTCAAGAAATCCTCATTCCACTAATAAATTAAGGCTTGCCAATGTTTAATCTCCTTATTTTAATGTACCCATTAATTAATCTTTAACCTTTATTGGACCTACTCCATGAGGTGTACCAGTTAATACTAAATCTCCTGGTCTTAAGGTCATGAATTATGATATATAGGCCAATAAATCTGGAATTTTGTAATACATAGAAGAAGTAGAATCACTTTATACTACTTTTTCATTTATTTTTAATTCCAATTAAAGATTATTTGGATCATTAACCTTCTCTTTTTGAATTAATTCTGTTATTGGGAAAAAGTTATCTTAACCTTTAGCTAAATCCCATGGAAAACCTTGTTTTTTAAAATGAGCCTACATTTCTCTATCAGTCAAATCTAATGCCAAAAAATAACCTCCAATATATTCTTACCATTTATCCTTTTAGATATTCTTTCCAATTTTACCAACCATAAATCCAAGCTAATTAATCTAATTAACAATACTTCTATCTCATGATGGATTTCATGATTATGTTTAGGTAATTAAAACAATCCTTTTCCTTCTGGAAGGTACATTAAGGATGAGAATGGCTTTTAAAATATTACTGGTTCTTCAGGTGGTTTATCACCACCCATTTCTTTAACATGTTTAACATAATTTTTGGCAATGGCAACAATTTTAGGATTGGTGGGATTGGCAACCTATCTAAAAAGAACATTCATTTTTATTTTCTATATAATAAATTATATATAAAAAATAATTCATTAATAAGTAATTGAGTTCATTTAGTACTTTATCAACAGTCTCTTTACTTTCGGTATTTTTATCTATACATTAAAATATAATTTTTTAAAATGATTTTGAAATAGAATTTGATATTTTTTGGAAATTCTCCAACTAATAATTGATGAAGCACAATTCCAAATCCAATCCCCATATATCAAAAGTAAATGGATTATAGAATTATTTAATAAGTAATTCAGGAGCCTTTAAATTAAGAGTTCTAAATTAAACTGAACATAACATATCAGTTTATATTGCAAATTCAATTCAATCAAGATATTTACAAACTATAAAGAATGTTTTCTGATTTGATATCTCTATGAGAAATGCACTTCGAATGTCAGCTATAAACAGCTATTATAAACTATTTGAAGATAATTTTAATATATTTTTATTATAATTATCTATCTAAAATAAATTCAGCTAATGATATAGAGAAAGCATAATTTAGTAGAAGTTAAATCTAAATAAAATATTCATTTTTCATCTTCTAATGAATTGTGTAATTTAACCATAGTAAGATATTCCAACTATTTTAAAATTGCAAATTCCCTATGAATTCTATTTATGATTTTAAGATCCAACTTATTTTTTTCAATATATTTTTATATCAAAACATTATCCACTCTGCTTATATCTAGAAATTCTAACTTGAGCAAAATAAATCTTTTTCCAATTTAAGCCTCTAATTTATAATCTTCAAATAAAGATGTCTAATGATCTTGATTATTGAGAGACATCTAATTTTTAAATAGTCTAGTTATATTTGATAGTGTTTTATTTTTAAGAGAGTCATTTTCTTTATCAGATTTTAAAATCATTAATATTAACAGTAAATGGAGACATATGAATATTCTTCGATGTTAAAATACATTTTGATTATATCAATATGCATAGTTTTAGTAATGTATTTGAAGAGAAGAATGTCCACAACAGGTGAATCAATTTAGGTATGTTTATGTTTCGGTTACAAAAGGATAGAATATGGAGAAAAATAGTATTTGCTTATTAGGATATGTTACATACATTCGATTAGGCTGAGAAAGAACTACTCAAACATACTTATCATAACACAATCTTTAATAGCAAAGGTGTAAATGTTTCAAATGATAAACGAAAAGAAAGTAAAAAGAAAAACTCGAATGTGCAGTTCAATATGAACAAAAACGAAACTCTATATTATTGATAAAAATAATATGTTAAGTAACGAATAGATGATGCTTCCACTTCTTTCAAGGGACCTGAACCGAACATTTCATTTTACCAAGAAAGCTTCCCCATACTGCCAGCGTTTAAAAGAAGTTGGTCGTAGACAATCACTACTCTATTCTACTGATGAACGATTAATCTAAAATATTATGCTCTGTTAAGGTTCTACATTGAAAATGGATCTTAAATTCAAAACTGCTAAACCAAAATAAAGGAACTACAAATAAATCAATAGAAAAAATCATTTTGAAAAACATATTAATGTAGATATCTCGCCATGGGATAATTTTTCACCTTGAAAATTATAAACTTTATTACTAAATATTATTGATAAATCACACATAATAAATTATGCGAAAAAATACAAGATTATCAACAGATTCAGAAAGAAAAAGAATTGCCTCGAATCTATCAATAAAATCAATTAATTCTACAACAATTAATACAACAACTGATGCTACTCTTCCTCGTTTAGAATCAAATTACTTTATAAAAAATAGAGTTAAAAGAAGTACTCATTAATTAAGATTTAAACGATCATCTATTAAAATGTCATAACCTAATAATATGCTTGAACTGCAATCTATTAAATAATCAACTAAAATTTTGCTTAATTCAGTTGTCTTTGAACTTGATAAATTAGCAATTGCATCAAAACATAATGTAACAAGAGCTCAAGATATTCTTAACCTTTCTATAGATCTAATGAATATGTTAGGATCTGATTATGATCGTTTAGAAATCTATTTAATAGTTCTTTAAAACAAATGCAAAACACAGTGTGTTTCTTTAGGATTGTTATTTACTTTTCTTATAGCAATAATTCAAGAAACTTATGGACATACAAAAGCAGCTTTATAATAATATAAATATATGAATGATACAGCAAATAAGCATCAACTATTTTAATGTAAAATGATGGTGTATTATAGAATTGGATTATTATTAAATAGATTGAAGCAATTCGATAAATTATTAACAATAGGCAAGAAATTATTAAAGTTAAGTTGGTATTATTAAGATGAAGAATATGAATTAAAAGCATATCATCTTATTTCAAAGGGATATAATGGAATTCAAGATATGGAAATGTCTGTAATATTTATGAATAGATACTTAGATGGAGTAGTATAATAGAATGATCATATAAAAAATATAGGTATATAATAAATTGCATTGTATCACAGAAGAACTTAGGAATCAAGACATAAGAGTCCATCATCTGATGATTTTAATTTGGAAATGTATAGATAAAAGATTGAAAGAAATTACATTAAAATGAAGATGATTGGAGGTAAGTTGTCATTTAAATTGTAATCATCTGAATGTGATATTTGTGCTCAATATGGTAAGAACTGTGAGAGAATCTAAACTGAAGATGAACATCCATATAAAAAGAATTTGATATTGCATACTGATAGTAGGAATAGAGATTTAATTGGATATTTTGATTCAGAATAAATCTAATAAATGTACATTCCGTCTAAAACACTGCCCATTCTAAAATAATTAATATTAAAATTCATTACATATATATGAAACAAACAAATTAATAAAATGATAGTATGTATTAGGCTTACTTTCTTGGACACATGAATGCTTTAAAAGCAATTAAGTCTAGGAAGAATCAAAAAATTGAAGAATCAAAAGTTCTAGTGAAATTATGTAATTTTTGTTATTTAATAAAGCATAATCTATGAAACTTTACAAATAAAGGGTCAATCATTTTGAATAATTGTAATATAAACAATAATTGGCCATTTCAAATTAAAAAATTAAACAAACTATTGAAAGAATTCATTAAAGTAGTCCCTCTATTGAAAATACAAATTTTTCTTTACCAAAATTAAAGAAGAGAAATTAAGAGGAAGATGAAATCAAAAAAGAGAATGCAAGAATCAAACTCAAACTTGAGAATTTAAAGGGAAACCTTAGTAATAGATAATCTAAATATGAAAAACCAAAACGATATGAAGATGTTTTATAGGAATATTTTAAATAAAAATTATAACAATAATGAACATCGTATCTGAGGAAGACTCATTTATCACATTACATTATGAAGAAATCTATAGATAAATAAGAGATATGAAACTTTGCGAAAGATTATGCAGGTATCTCTCTATAAAAATCAGGTCTTAAACCAATTGAGGAGAAACAAATGGACTTGTTACAATTTTTAAATCTCTACAAATAGTTGAAACAATCATTGCAAATTCATTTACTTGTAATACATAATCCAAAAGAAATAATTGTAATTGAATAAAAATATGATTTAGAATATTACTAAATTACACAAAGAAGTCTTTGTAGACACTTAGTTACAATATCTTAATGTAGTATTAAAATCTTTGAATCTTTGTCCATTTGTTTTTGACATCAATATAAACGAATTAATAAGTCATGCTAAAGTATAAACAAGAGTAGGTAGATTTTGCCAATATATTAAAAAATTAATTTGTTGCAAACTTTGAATATGTATTAATTATATTTAAATTTTAAATTTGGTGTCATTTAATGAGCATTGATCTATCCTTTAAGAATCTTCAAATGCTTGATTAATCTTTAAATCTTAATAATTATGTAATCTCATAATTCCATTCATATTTAGACAATATTAAATTTATAAGGCAATAATTTCAAAGGTGAATAAATTTATATTCAATAACTCAAAGTTTAACATCTCAACCTTTCATTCAATAATATTGAACAGATGTGGTTACTACCTTCCTCCTTAATTACATTAGAAATTAATAATAATTTAATCCAAAATTTATCAAGTATGAATAATCCATGAATTTAAGATATCTCACATCTCAAAAATTTGAAACAAATTGATTTATCTAACAATTTATTATAAAGTGTTCATTGGTTTAGTAATCTGACCTAAATAACTCATTTATTTTTAAAGAATAATAAAGTAAATATAAAGATATGTTAGATTAAAACAATAGAATAATTAAAAAATTTACCATAACTTGTTGAAGTAGATTTAGAATGCAATGAATTAAAAAATGTAGCTGAAGTACATTATCTAGAAACTTAATCTAAAATTAATGTAATAAATTTATTTGGAAATCCTGTTTTTGAAGGATTACAATTAAAAGTATTAAATGTAGTTGAAAGTAAATTTTATTATATCTAATAATAGAAAATTGTCATTGTAGATCAGAACAAATATATAATCAATCAGAAATATGTAAAAAGCGTAATTAATAAATTGATGATATTGACTTGTTTGATGAATAATCAAGTGAAAAACAATAAGATCTCCAAACTTAAACAATGACATAAAAAAAATATACAAAGTCTTTATCTCCTTTAAATAAACAATTACCATAATTTTATGATCCAAAGTCAAGTAAATATGTAACATTTCATGATGTATTAAGATAAAAATAACGTAACAATACTAATACAAATTATGATGTTAAATAATAAAATGTAACAACAACAAATACTAATACTACAATTAATAATAGATAAAATATGGATTAATTGAAACAATAAAATGAAAACTTGAAGAAAGATTATATGAAATTAAAATAAAAATTTGAATAATCATAAAAATAGAATTAGAGTTTTTTTTAAGAAATTGAGAGCTACAAAGAATAATTAAATGGATTATTGTTATAGTTTAATATTCCAATTTAAGAAGAAGAAGCATCAATTAGATCATTATTGGATTAATTAGAATTAGGCTTGATGACTTTTTTAAAAGAAACAAGAAAATAAAATTTAGAATAAATCAATAGTATGATGATAAGAATGGGAAATAAGGTAAAAGTAATGAGCAGTTAAATAGAAATTACCACTTTAAAGAAATGTTGTGAATATACAGAGAAAATAAATAATATTGAATTAGCGTTATCTAAATTAGCTGATGTAGTTGTAGAATAGTAATTATTATATCTATTAAATTTTAGAAAATAATAAATTATAAAATTACAAAGATAAAGAGTTCATTCACCTTTATAAAAATAATGTTTTACAACAAGATATCATGGTAAAAATCCAAGTGAACTTGATCAAATGAAATTAAAAACATTATTTTTCAAGTCTCCTAATGTTTAGTAATTAGATAAACCTCTTAAAACTTAAGGATCTTAAGCCACTAGTTTATCATAATAAATGTTAGAAACACAATAGAAACCAAAATTATATAAAAAATGAAATTGTTTTATTTAGTTAATAATAATCATTATATTGGATTCATTCCTGAAATAAAGCTGCCATAACTAACTCTTGATTCTTTTTTAGTATATATAGATATTAGAGATTCTATTTCTTAATTTGTAATTTATATATTGTATTATTCAAATACTTCTCTAAATTCATCTATTGTTATTGTTCCAACTTTCAATTTGTCAAAAAATAAAAAAGCTAATTCTAAACTAAATTCAGAATTTTCTGCTAATCTTTCTTTCACTAATTATATTTTTTCCTCTGTTAAGAGAATTTATGAAATTAATTCTTTAAACTTAGTCATAGTTCTTACACTAATCTTTGCTACAATTCTTACAAGTGGATCGTTGCTACATGAAATAATATTAACGAATTCTTAATATGTAAGAAATGAATTATCTTCAGAAAATCTTTAAAACAATAAATTAATCTATGATTTTTTAGCTTTGATTCCTAATTACATACAACCAAGTTCAAAATCTAATCTAGTTATTTTTTTTTGATTAAAAGTATCAAAAAATGAATAAAATTGATTCAAATCAAAATCATCATGTTATTCTAATTGTATTTTTCTTTCTTCTAATTGTTTATTCAAATACATCATTTCATATAATGCATTTACTAACTTTGCTTCTTAATTTTATTTTAAAACAATCAATTTGCTGTTATTTTATTACATAATTATTATTCATAATTATTGTTTTATATATTAAATAACCCTATAAATTATCAAAAATCATATTATTACTATAGATTTTAAGTCAAAGTTATTCTTTTAGATTAACATTTTTATTAAACAAAAAATCAATGAGAATAATTTTTTTATTAAAGTAAAACTATCATAAAAAGGAAAGTAAAAAAATGGAGTTAATTATTATTTAATTATGATTTATATGATATGTATGTTTATTGTTAATATAAATAAATGATTGTTAAAATATTGTGGTCTTTCTTATAAAAATTAAAGAAAATGTGATTATATCGTTAATTATTTTAAAATTATGTCACTCAACGATTGGAAAAATGAAAAAGCAATGCTAGAATAAAGAAATCAATTTCTGTAAATGTAAATTAAAGAGATTAAAGAGAGAGAAGAACATTAGAAGAAGTTTAATGATACTATAATGTAAGCCTGGAGTTAAGGAGAAGGGAGAACCAATGTAATTAAATAAGATTAATTATATTTAAGTGTAAAGTATATAAAGAAATCTAAAGTACTTTAGAAGAGTATTCTAGAGAACTCATTGAAGCTAAGAAGAAAAGCTCTATTGCAATGATGAAATTAGAGAATGAAAATACCGAAATGAAATATTAAATCTAATAATTAGAATCCATTTATCAACAAAAAAATTAATTACACTAAGAGAAGGTAATGGATTTAAGAAAAAGGATTGAATGTTAGACTAATAAAGAAAATGTTGGAGATAATCAATTTGGTTGTATAGTAAGTGTAAAGAGCAGAACTTGTAGTTAGAATACAAGTAGAGAAATAAATAAATAAAGATCTAAAACTTAAAATAAACCTGAATTGTTAAATTGTCGTAACTCTAATGTAATGGAAATCAATACTGATTTTTTAAAAGAATATAGTACATAAATAGAAAGTGTTTCACCTTAAGAAAGATAAAATTTAGCAATTTAATTAAAATAGTTAACAAAAGAATTAAAAACTACAAAAGTAAAATTATTATCTAAATAATAGAATGAAATTGAAAATACAAATTTATAAACAGCAAATGAACTAAAAACTGAAATAAAATCAATGTTAAATAAGTTACTAAAAGCTAAAGGAAAGATGACAGAAAGCATAGTCGGAAGTGGAAAAGAATCTGTATTAATGTTAAGAGGAAGCCAATATAAACCTACATTAGCTGATTTTGCTAAATAATTAAATGCTGTTAGATCAATAGAAACTTTTAATATTTTAAATCCAGGAAAAGCAACAAATAATTATTGATTAGTTAATTATCTATAAAACACCAAAAAAATGTGAAAAAAAATAGATATCATTTGTATCATTATTTTTATCGCTTAAAAAATAATTTTGTGAAATACTTATATTAATTGGTGAATTCTTGATAATTCACTTTAAGGCACTATAACAGGTTTGAGTTTCTTATCCTAAAATAATTTATATTATTTCAACCTTTTAGTTCATGACACTTGAAAATTGAAAATGTTATACTAAAGCTTAACGTCCTTATATTCTTGCATATCTCAATTCACAAATCTAAATATTATATTTTAAAACTTTACTTTCTCACTATTAAAATGTGGCCATCCATTATCATGAAAATCCTTATAAAATTAAATAATGTAAAAAGGATGCACAAAATTTATGAATGCATATCCCATATTACACTTATTCTAATTTATAATAACATTATTTATTTACCTTAAAGTCTATTGGAAGATATAAAAAGTCATAATAATTACTATGTCTATGATCAATTAAATCTTAAAGCATTTGCACTGTATATTTATTAGGAATATTTTTTATCATTATTGTGGTTCTTTCATCCGATTAATTCATTACTTAATCTATTCTTACTACAAAATAATGTGATTCTTCTTCTGAAATTGTTTTTCTTTTTCTTCTTTCAGTTTCAGAACCACTTGTTAACAATGATTAACAAGATGATCCCAATTAAATACCAGGTTCATTTGATATTTCTGTTGAAAGATTTGAACCTACTTTTTAATCAAAAGACTTATTCTTAAAGACTTCTGAAATTTATTCCATCATCTAATCTTATGAAAAATTATCTTCCTTTGCATACAATATAACTTTAGGTTCTAGTGTTATTTCATGTTTATTGGATTTACCTGTAAACATTTATATAGCTCTATCTATTTTATCACTATTAGATTTGCTCTCTTAACTTTGCTTACTTTCATTAGAATAATTCATGGTTGCTTTATCAATGTCATCAAATAATTCTTATGAACTATGATCTTTTTATTTTGTTAAGATTTCATTTAAATCTCGATGATTTCTGATGCATCTCAGAATCTGTTCCTAATTTAAACGAGACTGTTTGTCCATTTATTATAATAATTTTTATTTTCTTGTTTTCCTTATTCTCTTCTTTTCTTTATACTCAACATAAAGATTTAATTTTACTTTCCAGATTTATTGAACCATTACAAAAACTAATATAAAAATAACAAATATGAATCAATCTTCATCTTTAACTCATAAAAGTTTTAAAGAAACTCTATAAGATTGATTAACTATATTAACCATAATTAAACACTACTCTAAAATTGGGTAACTAATTCTAATTCTTAACTTTTTATATTATTGTTAAGATAATCTAAGATAATTAAAATATTTTTATCAATATTTGCAATTACATTTAATTTAATTGACAACAGTTAAAAAAAGAAAATAAATAATTCAAATTTAAAAATAGCCAATTTTCATATCATATAAACCTTTGAGCTTGCGTTTTTCGAATAAAATACTTTAATATTAAAGAATATAGTTAATTAAATTGTATTCTTGTTTTAATATCATGATTTTTCTATTTTGAAATGCAATATAAAAATAAAAAAAGAGCAATACCTTAAATTTATGTAAAATTCAATTTATTTTTAGACATGATCTTTTTTTCATTTATTGTTTATAAAATTAAAAAAATAAAAATAAAATCGAAATAATAAAAATTAAATGATAATCAAAATATCTAATAGTCATCCAAGATTCTTTTTACCTTAAGTATATAATCTAATGAAATACAAAAAGAAAGCTTATCTATAATGAATCATTTGCCTTCTCTCATAAAAAGATTTAAATAGAATATTATTATTTATGATTATATATTAATATGAATATAAATATTAATAATTTCATAAAACATGATTATTAGCTGAACGGATTCACTAAACTTCACTGTCAGTTAATTTGGAACATTAAGCTTACTCAAACTTGAAAAATAGATACATATATTAGTTATCAAAAGTGAAGAAATTTATTTTTGATTCAGATATTAAAAAAGAGACTTTGTAACAAATTAAGGTAATATGTTTTCTGTAAGTATTATATAAATTTTATATTTATAATCTCAATAAATTAAGAAAATATTTTTAATTGATAAAGATTGTAAAAAGAAAATCTTATGGTGTTGTTTTGATATTATTTTTTATTTAAAAAATAAAAAATATGTATTTATTATTAATATTAATATTTAACCGACATGAGTGGTTACAAACAGTATGATGAAGTTGAACCTTATAGATAAAGAATTCGAGATCTTGAAGCTTAACTATAGAGAATGGATGTTAGATTTAGCAATGTTCTAACACATACTGGGAAAGCAGATGCATAATTTAATAACGATTTGCATGTAGAATTAGAAAAAATGACAAAATAAATGATATAAAAGAGAAGTGAAGCTGAGTTATGGAAATAGAAATATGAATAATAACTATCATCGACGATGTAGATGAGGAATAATTATGAATTAGAATTATAATAATTATCTAAGGAAGTTTAAAGGTTATTAGATAAGATAGATCAATTTGAATATGAAAAAAGATTGAATGATAAATAATTAGTTAGAGAAAGTTTATAAGATAAGGATTTAGAGATTGATGATTTAATGAGTAAATTATAGAGAATGAGATTAGAACATGAGAATGAATCATAAAGACTTCTCAATGAAAATGATAATTTAAGACATAAGATAAATTAAATTGAATTGGAAAGATAAAAGTATAATTATTAATATTATTTAATAGAGAACTTGAATAAATGAGATTTAAGATAGAGACATTTCATTCTTAGAATTTGGATAATTTAAGAAAAACTCATTAAAGTTAAATTTCAGTTGTTGAATCAGAAATAGATAAATTGAGAGGATTATTAGAAATTAAAAATAATGAAATTGAAACTTTGCTTTAATAAAATATGAAAATGAAAGTATCTTATGAGAATTAAATAAATGAATTAAACAATTAATTTGATAATTAAAAATCAAAATATTAGAAATAAGAAATAATACATCGAGATCAATTAGCTTAATTATAATAATAATTATTAGATGAATAAAAATTTAGTTTATAATCTTTAAGTAAAAATTATGAACAAAGTAAAAATACATTGGAAAAAGAAATTTCATCATACCAAAAGAAAAATGAAGCTTAATAAAAAGAAATATAAGATTTAATTACAGAAAAGTAATAATAAAGAGATAATTATGAGAGACAACTTGAATTATTAAAAAAAGATAATGAAATTTTGAAATCAAGATTAGCATAAATTGAATAAACAAAATTAAAAGATATGTAATAAATTGAATCAGAACTGTTATAAACAAAATAATCATCAATTGAAGTTGAAAGTGTTTATAGATAATAAGTTGTTAAATTAGAAAATGAATTATAATTATGTTAAGAAAAGGAGATTGTAAAAAATAAAGAAGTAGAAACTTAGATTTAATAGTTTATATTAATAAAATAAGCATTGGAAGAAGATTTATAACATTTAAGATAATAAAACTAAACTTTAAATGAATAAATAAAAGAATTAGAAAAAATAGCATCATTTGAATAGGAAGAATGGAAGGTCAAATGGTAATAAACAGAACTTTTATTGAAAGATAAAATTCGAAGTTTGGAAAATAAAGTTGATATTTTATAGTAAGAATTAAGAAAATAAAAAGAATTAGCTGATTCATAAATTAGATAAATTCCAGAAAGAGAATTTAAAGCTTTAATTGATGAGATTGAACAATTAAAGACAAGATTAGTTTTACAAGAAAGAGATAAGTTGAAAGAGAAAGAAGATTTAAGAATTAAATTAGAATAATCACATCATTATCAAATTGAAAATTTAAAAGCAGCCTTTAATACTTAAATAAGAATTCTTGATTAGGAAAATAAAGATTCTAAAAATATTATTATATAAAAAGAAAATTCAATTTAAGAATTATTACGCAAATATGAAAACTTAGAATCTGCATATAGTGGTTAAACAATTGGACCACAAGAATAAGCCTCTAAGAATATATATTAAGCATATATTCGTTCATCAAATAGATAATCATCATTACGTAAATAATAATGAATATTACTATCTTAAATATATATATATAAAATTTTTAATTATTTGGAGTAAAAATGTAAAAATATCAATTTTCAAGTGTTTTTTGGAGAAAAGTAAGAGAAGATATGAAAATGGAAATTCTTTTAGAAAAAAAGCCATTGAAATAATTTAAATTATATGAATTGACAGAAGATGAAATGAATATTAATTTAGATTAAGTTACACAATGGTAAATAATAGATGGAAATTTAGGTCTCCAGATAATGAAATAATTTGTAAAAACATATCTGAAAACGGATTTGCTGATTTTATTTGCAATAAAGAGTATATGATAGAAGCATATACAAATATTTTATTTGATTCTGAAGATATAACTTTAATGGATAATTAATTATTATAATTCAAGAATTTGCAATTATTAAGATTAAATCATAATAAAATTGAGATAGTATAACATATTCCATAATAATTGGTGGAATTACATTTATTTAATAATCCAATAACAACTTTAAATTTATTAAAACATAATCTATAATATCTCGGTTTAGGCTACTGTTTATTAAATGATGATGCAATATAATCTATCTCAAAATATTTACCTTAATTAATAGGTTTAGATTTGGCTCACAATTAACTTTGTGATTTGGAATATTCAGTAGAAGCTTGTAAAAAAATGTCTAATTTAAAAATGTTATCTTTGTATGGTAATCCACTAGTGTTAATGCCACAATATTTTATCTATATTGTTGATAATCTATTAAATTTAAGAAGTTTTGATGAATAAAGTTTTCTAGATATCAAAAATAGATTAGAACAAGCAGAAAAAGAAAAATAAGCAAAAAAATAAGAAGCATTAAGAAAATAGTAAGAAGAATTCGAACTTTAATAAAAGTTATTAGCTGATAAAAATAAAAAAGGTGGAAAACCTGGAAAGTAACCTGATCCAGTTGTTATTTAATAGCCTCAAGTAATTATACCAATTGATGAACCTAAAATTAATTTAAACGAATTACGATAATTCAAAATTACATTAAAAATATAAACTTTAGAAAATTTAGAAGGAATTTTACTAGATAAATATACATATCCATAAATGGAATAAAATAGTAGACTATTTTAAAGTAAATATATTATTTCATCTAATTTATTTGGAATTGAATTAAAAAGTAAAGAGATTCAATATGAAACAGCAACAATTGAAAATGAATTAGGAAGAATTGATTTTGAATTTAATTTTGAATAATTGTATAATCCTATAGTAGAAATAAGAGATGCAGTTGAATAGGGTTTTTTACTTTCTGTATAAGTTGAAGAACCTAAGATGTATATTGTAAAAATTGAGAATTATTATAATATAGGCAGATGATGGAGAAAAAAAGCCAGTTTTAGGTTAGGATGAACTTCCTGAATAATAAATAAGAGTATTAGGGGTATGTAAAATAACTTGTGATTGGTTAAGAGGATACAATAAATAGTTTAATAAAAAATATAGATTATTTAAAGAAGAAACTAAAACTTCAGCTGAACATTGGTTTCCTTTAGAAAATGAATAGGATTTGATTTAAACTAAGATGGAAATGATTCAGAAAGAAAAAGAGGCTGAATTAGAAGAAAAAAAAGCGTAATAAGCTTTGATTGATTAAAAAAAAGAATAAGGTAAAGGAAAAGGAAAAGATGTCAAAAAAAAGGATGATAAAAAAAATGTTAAGAAAGGAAAAGATGAACCTGTTTAAAAGGTAGTAGGTTAATTGGATTGGGAAGTTGATACTAGATAATATATATATGTAAATGAAAAGAAAGTTCATAGAGCAACTGATATGTTGTTAGCAATTGCTTTAGATTTAGGATATTGATTTTGTTTGTCTTACATTATATTTAATGTCTTAATTAAATTTTAAATTTAACAATAAAACAGAACGTATTTAATTCTAAACTAATTTTTACAAAAATACAAGTAAACCAAAATTTTAATCATCATTCCATACTTCCTTTTCTAGTCTATGCTGTATTCTTGAATAATGGAATAACAATCTTAGGTGCTTCATTGAATTTCTTACATGTTGCTGCCTCTTTCATTTTATCCTAATATATTTTCTCTGCTACATATCTAAAAGTATTAAGTTTTATATATTATTTACATATGTAAACAACAATTTCTAGGATAAAATTTCTTTTACTTCTTATTGTTATATTCAATCAAATTCAAATATACTTATTTCTAAGCATTTCTGAGTAATTGCTATTTCAATTTAAGATCCCTTATTTATTAAAATTACATCTACCTTAGTATTTAATGAACATTAAAAATGTAGGGTTCTACTTAGGAATTTTCTAAATTTTTTGTTTGATGTCTCATAGGTTTAACTAATTTCTCTGCTTAATTTTTATTATAAGAGATGATTTCTGAAACATTTTAATCTGGATACTCTGGCATTCTAAAAGTGATTTGATTCGCTTCTATATTTTATATTAGGTAATTTATACTTCTTCGCGCTTTTGCTTATTTTAGAAATCTAGCAGTTCTATTTTCTTTTTATTTTGTAGTACAATCTAAACTTTTATTCAATATCATTACATTCTTTTATTTCTTAAACTAAATGATAAAAATTTGTAACAAACTCTTGATATTCTGAATCGCTTTCTTCAGAGCTCATATATATTAATTAAATTTAATATAGTTCATAAATATGAATATCATTATCTAATCTTTTTTCAAATCATTTTAATAATAATATCCTTTTTTTGCATTCTATATATTAACACTGCTATTCATCTTCAAATTCCACTAATTTCAACAATATCATAATTTAAATAAATTATTCATCTCATGTCATTATTACTTACATAAAATTATTCATAAATCATCACTTTGATCTTTTAAAACCACTTAGACAATGAAATCAGAACATATTTTAAAGAATAAATTATTAATTATTAACAGATAAATATATGTAAAATACTCTATTTAATTTTCTAATTATTGAAGAAATAATTATTATTATTTCTCTCTAATTAATTTCAAGTAATTTAATTAATATCTAGTAATCTATTTAATTTCAAGTTAAGATAGGATTTTAGATTAATTTTTAAATTTTTATGAAAAGTGAAAATTAACTAATAGACTTGGATTCAAAAAAAATAATAATGAGAACTATTCATTTTATTAAGAAAGTATTGTTTATTATTTAGTTTAACATAAATCAATTTAGGTATAATATCATAGATTCTTGATCAATTTTAACAGTAATTTATTATTAAACTTTAATTTGAATTCTGCTAAATCATTAAATGTATCACATTTTTCAAATATATTTTACAAATATCTTTAATTAAAAGGGGTACTTTTTGGTTTATAAATTTTGATGGATGAATGTTAATTTAATAATATTTGGAATGATTTTCATTATTGAAAAACTAATTAATTGATAAGAAAAACTAAATTTATAGGGTTATTTTTGAAAATTTATGAAAATTTACAAAAAGTTACAAAAAGTTACAATTTGTTCTACAATTAAATTTATAAAGGATTATTGTATGTGAATTTGTATGAAGTTTAAGTAAAATAAAGATAGATTTTGGGTTATATTAATATATTAAAAAAATTTAGAAGAGAGGCTATAATTATTAATGATAGATAATACATTTAATTAAATTAATAATTAAACTAAAAATTATAATTATAGAATTAATTTGCTAAAAGAAATATTATATATAATTAAAATTGTACATGAAATTAAAATCAAATAGAATTGAAGTTTCATGAAGGAATATTTTGAAAGTTTTCAATAATAAAATCTTATTTTGGAATATCCTAACTGAATCTTAGACTGAATGAGAGTTAAAATGATTTATGAAGACTTGAATGTTTATGATCTTCATTACAATGAAAACTATTTTCTAATTCATATTTTAGAAATTTGTTGGGGAATTAATAAGGTGTATTGGCAAAATCATTAGAGTGTTCAACTTCAAAATCATCTTGATCATATTAGAATGTTGTAAATTAAGAAATTTATAATTCTTAAGACATTTAAGTAATATTAATAATATTTAAAGCATCTTTTGAGGAAAGTCTTTTGATTGGATTAGATTCTAGTAATCCAAAAAGAAGATTATTTAATTCATTAGAATAGCCATGAATTTATGATTTCGGTAATTAACATTTTCTATTAAGAGATAGTAATTCTTTAGTATTTTCTGAATCAAAAAGAGATTTTTTAGTCATCCTAAAAATATTTGAATAATGATTAATACATTCTAAAAAGCATAACACCAATACCAAACATATCGACTTTATTTGTAAATCTAAATTAACCTTAATTAGGCTCTTTTTATTAAAGTATTTCAGGTGCAATATATCCTGGTGTTCCACATATAGCAAAAGGAGTAAAAATGGTTGATGAAATTGCAAGTCCAAAATCAATAATTTTTAAATTCTGAATACTTTACTTATTAGATAATACAATATTTTCTAATTTAATATCTCTATGAATATAATTGTTAGAATGAATGTATTGAATTCCTTACAATAATTGCTATATATTTATATATAATATGAATTTACAGCCAAAATGATTCTTATCACATCTTCAGAGAGTGGTTTAATTTATTATTTGATGAATTTATGAAGTGTGTCGCCTTATAAATATTCAAAAATTAAATAATAAGTAGAGTCGCCTTCAAAAATATCTAGTAATTAAATCACATTTTAATGATTTAACAAAGATCGAAGAATGGTAATTTCGCTTAAAAGTCGATTTAAACGATCTGGTGTTTTCTTTTTTGTAATATAATCTTTGCTAATACATTTAGCAGCATATTTAACTTTATTAGAATCTATAATTGTAATCACTTTACTAGATGCACCAGAACCAATTAACTCTGATTATTAATAGAATGTGGAAATACTATGGTTAAATATTTTATTAGTGAGTAATTGTTTGATTCTCTATAAATTATCAGGTTTACCAGAAAACCATTTTACATAATCATTGTATTTGATGCCAAATTCCATAAATTATTATTTTTCATTTAATCTCCAACTTATGCGATTAGTTAGATTCAAAGGAATTTCATATTTTGGTAGTTACCTATTCTTAAGGTTAATTAGAAGCATACGTTTAATCCAATAGTTATTCGATCATCATAGATTTGCAATTAATAAACTTTGTCAACGAGTAAGTGTTTGCGAATAACTTGACAATTAAATATCATATGAAATATAATTAATTTATTATAATTAAATTATCAAGATAAATCAAAACTATCTTTTCATTGGTTATCCATATTAACCGTCATAAGAATTTGGAACTTACGAATCTATTTTTTTAGGACCACCAATTAACATATTATTATGTCTCTCTTCTCTTTCTTTTAACATATTATCATAATTATCTTTAGCCCGTTTTGCTTTTTCACTACTCTCAGCTATTTTTATTGAAAGTTCTTTAATTTCTTAAGATATTTACTAATCTTTTTCTCTATTTAATTAAATAATTTTATTCACTCTATCTCTCTTTATCGCCAGAGAATTATTAAGTTATTCTCTATTTTTTCGTAGATCTTCCTTCCTTTTATTTTCTTTCTCATTTCTATAATTTTATAACATATTATATATTTTTTCACACCAACCTTCAACCATTTATTAAAGAGTTGTTACAAAGATTCTTTCAGTATCAAAACTATATATAATATATATATATTATTATACAAAGCTGCCATTTCTCTACCACTATATATGGGATATAAAAGAGGTTCATCTATTCTTTCATCCTTAGAATTTGCTTTTTACTTAGCTTCTTCAATTTTTGCAATTTCCTCCTCTGTTGCATCAAAAGTATCTACTTAATAATACATTTCTTTTTTTTCTTTTATAAGATTCTCTATTGGTAAATCTTTTGTATTATTTGGTTAAATTGCTGTTGCACCTCTAATAAATAACATAAAGATTTCATAAGTAGCTGAAGTAATTGTCTTCATATTAGTTTTTAATTGATCAGTGACTTTAATATTTTTTATTTATATATGTGCTTTACTCAATAACCTATACAATAATACTTTAACAATCATAGAAATTACAATCATCATAAATTATTTCTTTTATTCCATATTTTTTAAAGATCCATGATATGTAAAATTTAATCTATTTATTTCAAATCTTAAATGTTAACTATCTAATAGATATGCATATTCACATGTAATGCTATTTAAATATATCATCATATTCTCTGTAAAATCACTTTCATTTGCATTATCAGTCACACCATCAAATAGTTTTTTTAGAATTTCCTTAAGTTTTTTTATATTCTGATTCATTTGATTAGGTGAAATCTTTTATTTTGGTTTTGGAACTACTTAAATATTTAAATTAGAAATAAAAAGTTCATCAAAAACATTTTTCAATACCCTTACAAATAAACCATGCGTATCATCCATAAATTTTTAAAGTATTTCAGGTCCTTCTTTATTAACATATTATTTTTTAGCTAAAATAGTCTTTTTCATCCAATTATATCTCCAAATATGAAAAAATAACATTATAAAGTATAACTTTAATTTCTTTATAGCACGTTGACTATAATATTATTTGTAAGATTATATACCCTATTAATTAGACCAATTTAGTTTAATCATCTTTTGGATCATAAGTTGGAGGTGGAGGTATTGGTCTTGGTTTTAGAATTCTTGGTTTTTATACTACTCTAGGTTCAGGATCACTTTCTTCACTAGTAAAAGAATCAACTTCTGCTTGATCATTAATAATTTCTTCAAAATCTAGAAGTTTTTTATTCTTTTTGTTTTTCTTTCTCTAATTTGCTATTTTCTTAAATTAAAATTTTTTTTATTACAAGTTACTTCAACATTCTTAGCATTTATAAAGTTTGTTACTTTGATTTCTATTTTTCAGGATATGGCATCGTTGGAAATTATTATTAATATAAATTCTATTATTAAAAATACGGTTGATACTGATAACCTGGAGGTGGCCTAAATTATTAACCTTACCTCATATGTGATGGTACTTCATCATACATATCATTATAAAATGCATCTTAAGCATTTTAAGCTTCTAATTTTTTCATTCTTTCTATAAGTTACTATTTTTCATCTTTGCTCTCTTTTTCTCTCTATTATGCCATATTTTATGTTAACTTTTCTAAGACTTCGTTTTATCTCATAATATAATCTATTATTCTCGTTTTAGGTTATTCTTATAACTCTGGAGCTTATTATTAAGTTTAATTTACAGTAACACCCATTTAACCATTTATTAATAATTTCTCTTAATTCTTCATTTATTGGTTAGGTGAATTAAACTATTATTAATTAAATGGGAATTAAGATGGTTATTATAATGGGAATTAGGATGGTTATTATAAAGGAAATTAAGATGGTTATTAAATAGGAAATTATGGTACCTACATAGGGAATTAAGATGTAGGAAATTATGGTTATTATAAAGGAAATTATTAATGCATAGGTAACATAGGCATAGATCTTTAATCTCTAAAAGATGAACCAGGAATTTAACTCATAAGTGGATCTAATTAACTCATTCCATAAGGCTACCCTAATAACTATTAACCAAAATTAGCTAAGCTATTAGTTGAAGTTATAGGTTAGGGTATATTTGGCTAACCCAAAAATTAATCAAGACTCTCTAAACCACTTCTTTTATCTCCTTTATTCATACTTCCAATCAACAATAAATTCATCATATCTAACTCTCTTGATCTTGGTCTTCTGTTTGTTGTTTCTCCTGGCCTAATTAATTAATCGTAATCATTCATAAAAGCATTAAGTTATGAAGGTGGAGATGCCATCTACATTGCTGGATTATTGAAACTTTACTAACCAACATTTTAAAATGGAGTTTATCTCATCCTATTTTATAATAATAATATAAGTTATATATATAAATATTAATAATAATTAGTATTTACTTCTTTCTTTCAATTTGATCATTATATTACTAATTCAAATCCATTCAAAATTAATATTACAATATATATTATCAAAATCAAACATATTCTACATTTCTATATTTATTACCCATATTAAATATGATAAATTTTATTATTTAATGGAATTAGAAAAAACCTTATATAGAGTCTAAGAACGAATTTTGACTCATTAAAATGTTCCTAAATTTACTAATATTTTTAGTATGATTTTATTAAGTTTGGCATCCATAAATTTACTTATTATATGGGGACTAAGTCATCGGACTATTAATTAAATATAATTTGATAAAGAATAGTAAGATAATCTATATCATTATTCAATTGTAGATGGTGAGAAGACTATTTTGATGATGAAATATTCAAAAACTCAAGAATTATTGCACTTAAAAACTGAATTACTATAACAACATAATTTTACTATTATCAATATTACTGTAGATTACAATAACTATTTTGATAGTAGTCTCTAATATGTATTAGGATAAATGACAAATTTAGAAACATTATTTTTACATGACGTTGCTTATTCAATATATTCAGATATTTATGTTAAAAATAATGCTACAAATCAAACATTTATTTGGAAAGAGAATAAAAACCTCTATAATTATTTAGGAAAGGCTGCTTATAATTTTTGGGATTTCTTAATAATAACTTTAGGATTATTCATATCTTCTGCTATATCATCACTCTATATCAAAGTCACAATTATTTGTGCTCCAATCATTATAATAATTATGTGTATTACACTTTTTCATAAAATATTTTAGTAGAAGTGTCTCAGATCTTTGGAAATAGACATGTATTCCCAATATTTCTAGCACGTGCATTTCCCTGGATAGGATTATATTTAAATATTCTTGATAGAACTTAAAGATCAAAAAAACAACTCATTATAGCGTTTACTTTAATGCTAATTCTAATTTATTTTATTTACTTATCGTCTGTTATTATAGGAAGTTATTTATTATTCAAATCTTAAGTTCCATTTGGTTTAAAAGATAACTTTTTTGGGTATTCATTTATTTATTTTCCCATAGTTTAATTACAGTCAATGAATTTGCATCTTTATTATTTTTGAGAACTCGTTCCTCTATATATTTTGTCCCCAAATTTATTATTATATATTATTATTTATTCCTTTGGTATGTTCGCTCTACAAGTAAAAATCATTAAATTATTTATTTTAGATTATGGTTTCTATTCACTTGCCATGCTTACATTAACTTATATATGTTTTGGAACATTTTGTCTTTTCATTTTCATCTATGAAAGTCCTAGTCTAGGTTGGAATTAACTTTCATATTATACACCTAATATTGATAGACCAAGATGTTACTATTTACCAGTTTTTTCTATGAATTGGGTTAATGATTTACCTTAACTTTGGTCTATGTTTTACCCTTTGTATGGAAGGAGGTATTTGTATTTACAAAATCTATAGATATTTTTAAATTTAAAATTTAGCCTTAGTAGATCGAAACTTTCCACTTCTCAACAATTTCTTAGATATTGAATTGCAAGAATTATAATGATTTTATTATAATAATATTCAATTTAAAACTATTTTTTTTTTTTCTTCCATTAATTTCCCATCTTTTGAAAGAGAAAAGTTTTTCTATTTTATTTATTTATAGCGTTCATAATTTTTTCCAAATTCTTTTGTAATGTCTTTAATTTCTTAAAGAAAATGTACTACCTCTTAAATTTATTAACAATGATTCTCTATAGATATATCTTTTTAATCTATTTATTTTATTATTAATGTGCCATTCTATTAATTTTCTTATTAATATTTCTTCATTTTTTCTAATTATTATTATTTCAATGGCTTAATTCCTTCCAATGTTATACTTGGTTAAAGAATCTCTATAAAGATTGATTATAAACTGCATTCAACTATTGCTAATGATATTTCACTTTCCTTAAAAGTAAATATTGTAAACCCTTAAAATGATTTTAGAAAATATTCTTCTATTTTCTTTTCAAAACGAATGAATAGAGATTACTCTAAAAGATCTTTTATTTGAAATATAAAAATCACTGATTATATTATTGGGTAAATAGGTTTTACATCGATATCATATCCTAAAGCTTTAACTAATAACAATTCATTTTTTGCATAAAATTCATCACCATAATGTTAATATCTCTCCAAATTTGGTTTAATTTTTAACTTTTATGCATGGAATCCTATAGATTGTTAAGAAATCTAAAATTTTTATATGATTTATTATTTTTACTCCATTTAGTTTCATTCCTAAATAACTACAAAATAATAAAAACTAATGCATATCAGATTATTCAAAAATTGTTTTTATCATATAATATCGCTTAAATAATGCTGCAGCATAAGAAATCAATGTAAAATTTATATTTTTTTCATACTTAAATAAATTTGGAAGTTAAGTACAACAATGATAATCTATGATACTCATTTCTTCATGTTGTATAAAGCCATCAGGTAATTATTATTAACGATATTAAATAAAATCAGCTATTTAACTCTTCGTAAATTTCCACATTAAAAGTCAATGTAATTTTATTATAATTTTTTTTATTCTTATTTTACATACCTTAAATATACTAAAAAAAATTGGCTATTTTATTTAGACAATTAAAAATTCCAAAATAAAAATGAATATCTTAATTAATTTAAATAAATCAAATTTTGTTTCAACAATTATTTCTATTCAAAACAATTATTTTGTGTCATTTTCACGGTAGGATATCCTACTTCTCAATGTTTGTAATGGAAGTAATTGTGAATTCATATTCCTAAATAGAATTTAATAATTACTTGTGTGATTCAAGCGATAATTTAGAAAAACAAATTAGATACATCTTTAATTTACCATAATTTTATTTTATTGATTTCTCCTTTGTTTTCCATTTTATAATTTACTTATTCAAAATTAAAACCAAACAAGAATTTTATTTAATTTTCTTAACAAGATTTTAGATCTTACTTAAAAACATAATTCTATATTTTTTATAATATATGCTAAGTATTTTTAAAATAAAAGGTTTACAAAGTTTAATCCATAACAAAATTAAAATTACTTATATAATGAAAGAAATAGCATGATTTTGTTAATCACTTACATACTATACTGCAGCTAAAAATATTGATATTGAACATAATTAACTGGTTGAAATATCCAAAACATTTAAACTATTTAAAATAAATGGTCTATATTTTAAAGCCAATGATTAATATAATAATAAGCATAATCCTAACAAAGAAGCTTTTAATAAGATATTCGTTTCAAAATAAATCATTATAAAAATTACTAAAGTCTTCTTCCAAATTTTAATTTATTCCCAAAAATATGTATTTTGGTTATATTCATTAAATAAATAACAAATATGTCTCCTAAATTATATTTTTTAAAGTTTTTCCTTTCTAAAATACATTAACATAAGCAAAAACACTGGAATAGCTGCACCAACAAAAATTAAACCTGGAAGTATAAATCCGATAATCCATTTAAAATGGGTTTAAGTATTGAATAGTAATGATACATTTCCTTAAATAAAATCAATATTTGAAATTTTTCTTATAGCTAATAATGAACAAAAGCTAACTTAATTATTACAATATACTTTTTGATTAAAGTTGAATTATTCGAGAGATATAAATATAGAATGGTGTTAGTTACTACACTCATTCTAAATTTAAGTTTTTTGAATATGGAATAAAGTTTATTAGCTAGTACAAAGAATATGAATAAAAAGAGTATTATAATTATCATAGTGATTATTCTTGAGTATACAATATTTGTATTTATTTGTGAAGATAAATAGCAATCTAAACTATAAGCTAAGACAAAAGAAGAATTGCTTGCTGATTCGAAAAATGTGTTTGAAAAAGAAAAATTAATGTTGAAGCTGTAAATAAGAGAAAATAACCATAAATAATTAAGTAGCATTTTAATTAAGAAACTTTAATGATCTAAGTATTAATAATTAAAAAGATACCTTAATTAAGTTTGAAAATAATTCCTCTAAATTTTTATTTTAAACTCAAAGAAGAGTATAATAAGTTCGTTTTTTCAATACTTCTCACTGATAAAAAAATTGAAAGAAATGACCTAGATAGGATTTTAATTTTATACCATAAAGTAACAAATATAAAAAGTATAAGATTAATTGATAATTTTGGACATATTTCACATTGATTATTTGTAAGACTTTTATAATGCTCTCCAAATCCTCTAATATTATAAATATCACATTCTTCACATAATCCACCAATATGACCTTTAAGACATAATTAATCTCCAACTTCCCAACCTCCCTAACAAAATATTTAATTTTTAAAACATTGTTCTGTTTAATCAGAAAAATAATCTGGCCTCCAATAACCAGGATTTAAGCTAATTAAATTAGATGTAATATTTTAAAATTTTACATTATCGAAAATTGAGCATTTGGTTGCATTATAAATTACAGAATAATATCCTTAAATTGATTAACACTTTTAACAACCTTTTTCAACATAATATTCTCCTAATTGACATAAATAACTTTTAGCATAAATTATGTATCTTAATTGTTTATAGCTAGATCGAAAAATACAATCAATTTATATTTGTAATTATTTATTATAATCTAAATATGGGTCTATTTGGAATATTTAGGTTCCAAAATCAAATTTTTAGCTTTGATTATTAAGGTATAAGATTTACAAAAATTTTTCTTCTTTAGAAATTATTTCATCTTAAGACACAATAGTTTAGCTTAATTCACAAATATAATCTTCAACATTATTTAATAGTTCATTCATACTATTTCTAAATGAAAGGGAAATATTTTTAATTTATACAAAATAGTCCATTTCTTATATCTTAAATAAACCATAATTTCCAATTTATTGATTACTTGGTATCATCAAATAATTTGTTATTAAACTTTTGCCTTATTAAATTGTTTGATAAGAGTTTAGTTTTAGAGTACTTGTTATAATTCCTTAGTTTAAAGATTCAGAAAAGCTCATTTCTTAATCATTTATTTATAATCCTAAATGATTTGGTATTTCAAATAAATTATTGCTATTTTTATAGGCCTTATTAAGTTATAAAATAGATTTATTGAAATTGTTTTGATTCAAGCTACTATTTCCATTCAAATAAATTCCACCTGCAATTTTTGCCTCATTTTCCATTATTATTGTTTTCAAGAACTAAACTTAATTTGAGTTTGATCCTATATAAATTGCCCCTCCCATCAAGGAAGCATTATTTTTAAGAAAAATGCAATTTAATATTTTTATATTGATATTTTATGAAATAATCCCTGAACCTTAAGTACCAGTATTTCTAATAAATTAAGAGTTTTAAATAATTATAGAAGTTTATAAAGTGGAATTAGATATAAAAGTAATACAACCATTTTTTAAAATCTTATTCAAATAACATAAAATGTTATTCATTTTGATTTGATTAAAATTCTATATTTCAAAATAAATAACCCCCAGGCCGCAATTTAAAAAATTATTATTCTTTATTATCAAAGAATTTAATAGAAGTTTAGTTTAATTCGTCTAGCTTTAAATGAAGATCATAGATCCAGTATTTGATTATTATAAATTTAAATTTAATTGCTTTAGAATTGAATTTAAACTGAGATTTTATTAAATAAAATGAGATTTTTTAATTGTTAGTGAACATTGTGAAAACTACTTATTTAAAGGAATTAAATTTGTAAGAATAATTTATTTTTAAATTGATTCAAATTAAGAATATGAGTCAAATTCAATCTAATAAATAAATAACTAATATTTTTTTAGTCTATCCTATCCTATATATATCATATTAATAGAGAGAAAAGTTGAAATAGAATTAAAATACGTTTCAGCCAAATAAAATTATTAGGCATCAATAACCTTTAAAACTGAAGAAAAAAGTACTCCTTAGACATTTAAACCTATAATTTTAACAGGACAACCAAAAATATTTATTATAGCATTATCATAAAGTATTTTAAGCATTTCAATTATGCTTAAGGTTCCAGCAAATGTAAAATAATTGATCCATGCCTCTAAAGTTTATATAACAGTCATATTTTAAATTATAATAGAATTGAAATTAATTTCTTATTATTAAAACTCAAGTTTTGTGAATGAATTCATTAAAGAGAGGCTGTTTTCAAGATAAATATTTTTAAAAACTAGGATATTTTACTTCATAGAAGGAAAAAGAGTTAAACTTGAAGAACCAAATTTATTATAAACATCTATAAAATTAACATCACTTAATTCAAATTACAATTAGCTATTCTCAGAGAATATACAAATGCTACCATATATATCTAAATTTTAAGTAAAGTCAACTTAGATATTTTTTAAGGTTATTTATTTGATACTAACTACTCCTACTGATTTTGTAGTTATTTCAAATATAGCACTACTTTATGCTAAAACGTTTTCAAAATTGCTATCTTGAATCGAGAAACTCGAAGCAGTAATTTGTAAAACTCCTCTTTTATTTCTTATTTTCAAATATGATTTTATTATTAGCAAAATTTCATCTTATGTAAACTTTTCCAAAAACTCTATTTTGTAATATGATTTGAAAACATCTTAAGTTATAATATTAAGATTTTTTGCTGTAAAGTTTTATATAAAAGTATTATTTGATTAAATTGAAGCAAATGAATTAAAAGAATTTGTCAGCATATTGTTGTAAAAGAAACAATCATAAAGTATAACTTAACTAAATTAGGAATTAATATAGAACAAACTTGATGAGGATGATGACAAATCATCAGAATATTGATTATATATATTCTCAATAAATTTTATATTAGAAATTTGAATTATCTATGTTTATTCAGAATAAATTGCTATCAATGATAGAAGGTTTTCAATTTCTTTTTTTAAAAGGATATTTTTCTAAAATGTTAAATTTTATATATTTATTGATTCAGAAACATCAGATTATTATATCATATTAGAAAATATTTATATCAAAGCCTAATCAATATTAAAATGGTTTAGAGCTGAGAGATTAATTAATTTTAATTTTTGAAAACCTTATATTTTTAAGAGTTGTTAATTCTACTTAATCGAATCTAAACATGATAAACTCAAAGGTACTTTTGATTTTAATCTACTGTTAGTAAATAAAATATCTTGAATAATAATATCATTGATTTAGAATAAATAGAAAAAATTGTGATTTGGGCAATCTTTAATAATAACTGAGCTTACTCTTAACGCTTAAGCATGAATATAAAATAAATAATACTTTTGATCGCTTTAAAGTTAATTTTAATTATCTAAAATTGTTATATTTGATAAAGTTATGTTATAAGAATTTGTAAGTAAATTAGATGTTAATTTTATAATTGAAGAATTTTTGATGGAATTGTTATAAATTTCAATGTTCTAAAAATCTATATTAATATCATCTGTTTGATTCACTTAATTGGAAATTAAAAAAAATGATTCTGTTAAATAGTTAAACCTGAAAGCTAAATTGTTATAAATTGCCTTAGAATTACAAATTATGAAAGTAGAGAATATAAAAGAATTATTAAAAATATCTAAATCTTGAATAACTAGTTCAGAATCATAAGGATAATTTATTAAAATTGATTATTTAAAAGTACTTGCACTTACTAAAAATTGTTGAAGATTAATAAGATAGTTTCCCAAAACATTATCAAAAAAAATAAAGTTTAAAGAATTGTAAAATTAACAATTAATGAACTATAAGTTAATTAGAATTATTTTATCTGGATTTCCAGTAAAGTAAATAAATGATGAATTAGTGAAAGTACAGTTAATAAATAATAGGTTTTCAATTAAAACTGTTCCTCTGGTATTATTGTATTTTATATTAAACATATATGATTCGATTATTAACAAATTTTAAAATGTAACATTTTTCAAAATGAAATCTGAATAAAGTTATCCGATTATTTAAAATTGAGATTAAATAGAACCTATTTTCCCCTCAAATATAGTTTCTTCAATAATTAAAGTAACTGATTTGGAATTTAAATTAATATAAAATGGCAAATCTACTTAAAACTAAATCTATGTTATTTCAACTACATAAAAATTATTAATAATAAGATTATCATAAATTTTCGTATTAAATTAATCTAGTCCCATAATTTTGATTTTAACAATTTATAGAGAAAAAACTTCTTCTTTTAAATTATTGTCTATTTTTATAGGGCCTAGATAAAAACAATTAGTTTCAAAACCTAACATAGTAAAGTTGAAAATGATTTATATAATTTCTATTCCCATATTATTAAGATAAGTCTTGTTAATATTTTATTAATAATATGATGCTGTTCCATATATTAATCCCTAATGTAGGTTAAGACAATCCACCAAATACTTAAAATAACAATATTTGTACTTCATATTAAAATTGATCTTCACATTAATTGGTAAAACAGTATTTTGCAATTTACGACTGCGAATTAATCTTGATATTTGGATCAAAAACTGGTTATAAACATTTGTAAGAAAAATGAGCATTGTTTTAATTAATTATAAATTCTGGATTAACCATCTTAAATTTAAATAATATATTTACTTAAATTTCTTCTTTGGATCTTAATTAACAAATTTAACATAATTATGGACAGAGTAAACAAATTCCTTTATCTTTTGATCGATTAGGTTACCTATAATAATTTAAAGGACATTTCATGCATTCAATACTTGTGAATTCATCTAAAGAATCTTAACAGGATAGACAATCTGATTAACAAGTTTTGAAACATAAATTCGATGTTAATCTAAATCCTTCCATACATTCAATAGTTATTTCTATTTATCTTGTTGTTATATCTTAAACATAGTAATAATATTGATTAGGTAAAAATTACATTAAAAAACTTTATATCAATTGAACCCAAGCATCAAAAGGATTTGTAATTCCTTCACTACATGTTTTACAATGGGGAATTGAACTAAGATAACAATGACCTGTTTTTACTGAATTTTTATAACCATCTTAACAAATTACACATTTAATGATTTATTATGGTGATAATACACATTATAAACAATTTGTGATGTATTTTTAACAATTAATAATTTCAGGTGCTATTCTAAAATCATCAATCTAGGATAAAGTACAAATTTCTTCTCCTAATTAATTTATAAAAGATCTTTAACAATACTAAATCATAGATTTTTAATGTATACAAAATCCTTTTCTGAAATCAAATATAAAGTTCTCTTCACAAAGTGCACATCCAATTTTATGATTCTCATCTTAATTAAATTCTTCATAGTCTTTATACAAAGTTGATTTTGATAAATCATTACTTTCATACTCAAAACAAAATTTGCAATATTTAATAGTACAAATTTTACATTATTTATTTGATGCTCTATAAAATGGTGAAACACAATCTTTTAGATTGTTTTCCTAACCAACTTTTACAGGCAAACATATTCCATCTTTTAATGATGTTCCATAATCGCAAGCAAGACATTTATTTCCATCAATTTAAATCACGCAAACTCTACACAGACTTATTTAACAATTATAGCATAATTAATTTTAAAAACCAATTTAATGTATTGAATAATTTTTCTAACAAAATTCTTTTTTAAGTTAAATAGAACTTGAAAAATCTTGATACATTTATAAATCATCATTAAAATTACCTTGTGTACATTCTGAGCATATTTATACTTCATCATCTACTAAAATATAATAAGACTTTTTTTCATCAATAGATGTATTAAATGTATTATCTCCTATAATATACAATATTGTTTAACAGTATGGATCATTTTTCCAATTAATAGGATTCTATATACACTCTAAACAAGTAATATGATTAGTTTTAATTATTGAAGGGCTAATAATATATAGAAATATTGAATTACCATTTAATACAAATCTATGAATTTAAATTAAAATATCCATATTGGCAAATGTTTTATGAATCTGTTTTTTACTATTATTTTTAAATTTTAAAATTAAAATGTTCTTTTTAATAACAAAAGTCTTAATCGATTGCATTATAATGACAAACACAGGCTTTATGTTATGGAATGTAAATTCTATTTGAATCTTAAGAACAAGATAAACAATCAGAATTTGTTGGACCATCACATTTTTCACAACTTGGATGACAACTTTTATCTAATAATTAATTATCACAATTGTAAAATAGGAAATTTTCAATTTTAACATTTAAATAATTTTCAGATTATTAATTTATATTTCCATAATGAATTTAAAATTATACTTCATTAAAATGATATACATTTATTGAAGCTTGATATATAAATTAATTTTCTCCTTCATAAAAAGTAATTGTAATTTAAAGATTATTATTATTTAATGTAACTTATAAATAATGCCAAAAGTAAATTTCGTTTAAAATTTCTATTTCCTTTTTAATTACAAAAGGGTTTTTTGAAAAATCAATATTAACACTAGGAAAATTGTAACTATAAGTCATTATTACTATCTTAAATTTTTAATCCGATAATCTATACAATAGTTAAAAAGCAGATAAATTATCATCATTTAACTTTTAGTTCTAACTAAACTTATTCATTTTAATAAATTTATAATCAAAATTATCATTTATTTAGTGGATTTCTAAAATTCTTAGCCATCCTGACAATCCAAAAGATTCACAATTAGCATTTTCAGATGTAAATAATTTATTATCAAGCCAATTAAGAATGTCATTTTAGACCTTCATATTCAAATTTGTTTAACAATGACATTTATAAAGATCCTAAAATGTATCTATTGATGTTTTTAATTCATCTCTATCTATTTATTTGAAATCAACAAATAGATAATCATAGTATAATTTTCCTGGAAAGTAAGATAATTGTTTTCTACCTTAAATATTCTCAAAGAAATCATTATTAATATTTAGAATTAATCCACCTCCAAAAGTAAGGTATGGATTTACACTCCTGTAAGGATATTTAATATTTAAAATTTTTGAAAAGATTATGTCAGGATAATAAATAAAATGTAATTCGAATCTTTATTAAACTGGTTATTAGGCAATCTAAAAGTAATACCAATGACTCTCATATTCCCATTAATCTAATGTAATATTGTAACTATGAAAATTTCCGAAATTATCATAAAATTAAATTCCTTTAGTGATTTACATTAATTCAGAATCTAGACAGTCAAAGTAAATCAAATCTACTTTCATTGTTTAAGAATCAGCAGCATTATGTAGATGAAAACAATTACTATCAAATATACCAATTCTTCCAATTTAACTTATCTATCCTAATGGTATATATTTACTCCACAAACCATAAGTAAAATATTAATTCAAACCAAAGTCTTGATTTTAAAGGTTTAACTATTCAATTTGAAATTAATAATCTTAACTCAATTCCACTATAAATGAATAAGAACAATCTAAACTTAATATCAAAAAAGGGATTAAGGAGATCATTTTTTAATAAATTATTTTATTTATGAATTTTTCAATTTTTTTTGTAAGAGATAAAAGTTAATTATAATTTTTTTAAAAATTTAATGTAGGATTATATTTCTAAATAATTAGAAAATTATGTTATCATATTTTCTTAAATTAAAAACAAAATTTCCAATTTTGACAATTTATTTACAAAATTTAACAGATTATTTACTGTCAACAAATTAATTTATTATAATATATAATTATATATAATCGTATTTCACATAAAAAAAAATTTATTTTTATAGCAATTAACTCTTGTCATAATGACAAATAAAGTGGTATATAATCCACTTTAACTTTAAGTAACAATTTAATTTTAATAATTGGAATTTTTGTATAGATTTTTATATTTATTTATAAATAAGAATTTGATATAAAGGGGTGATATAAAAGAGAATACATAATATAAATATCGTTGTCGGCCATACTAAGCCTAAAGCACCGGATCCCATTCGAACTCCGAAGTTAAGCGGCTTAAGGCGAGGTTAGTACTAAGGTGGGGGACCGCTTGGGAAGTCCTCGTGTTGACAACCCTTTTTTTTTGAAAAAATTAAATAAATTTTATTTAATTTGAGGGAAAGAATCAACAACGATTTAACATTTTTAAGTTGTTTAGATTATAATATATAAATTTAAAGGATGTTTTAACCTAATCAGAGCTAAATAAAGTACAGTAATTAATTTGGAGCCACATCTGCAGTTTATTTCTCACAACAATAAACATCAAGAGATAAGGTATAAAATAGCAAAACATCATATAGCCAATATAAACAAGAGATGGTTCAGAAAATAAATAATTGCTTTAATTCCCAGCTTCTTAAATAGTTTATAGTCCATCTATGAAATTCAATTCATCAGCATAGAACAATATTGCCTTTAGAAAAACATCAAAAGAGTTGAACATTACAATTGAAGATCCGTCAGTATGTTAATAGTTACGTTAACCATCTCCAAATGTTAAGAAGTAAAGAGAACAAATGGAAAAGGATTGGAATAAATTAATTGACAAATCTAAGACACTTTAAGAAAATTTAGTATTACTAAAAAATAACATCAGTATGAATCTAAACAAAAAGTAATCAGATCAACGTTTAACAAAAGAATCAACATCTACAGCTGCTGGTTTATCATCTAGAATGAAACTATAGAAAGTAAATGTAACTTGTAAATTAAATTCACCATTCAAAGCATAACCTAAATAAGAAGTATGTAAAAGTTTGAGTTAAAATGGATTTGCTAATCTTAAATTTACAACAAATACTACAAAAAATCCAACAATAATAAACAATGCAAGTACTATAAATTATGTTAATATGAATAACAACTATGCTAAAAAATTATTAGATGATTATTAAACATCTAAAATACCTATCAAAAATTAAATACAAAAATAAACTAATCCTCTTTATATTTAAATAGAAAATAAATTAAAATTAAAAATTAGTTCATTTTTAGGAAGAGGAAAATTTAGTGATGTTCATATGGCTATTGATAATAGAAGTGGATTGATATTTGCATTAAAGATTATAAAAAAATAAACTGTTATTGAACATGAAATGTAAGAATAATTAGCAAGAGAGATAGTAATATAATCAAAATTATCACATCCAAATATAGTAAAAATGTTTGGGTAAAGTTATGATCAATAATATATTTATATGATGTTAGAATTTTGTAACAATGGAGAATTATTTTAATATCAATATAAATAAGCTAATAAAAGATTTAGTGAAAAGGAAGCTAGTAATTTTATAATGTAAATCCTCTCTGCTATTTAATATATGCATAAATAAGGATTTATGCATAGAGATTTAAAAACAGAAAACATTTTATTATCTCTTGTATATAAATTGAATATAATATTAGAATTACATTAAATTATGTGATTTAGGTTGTGTTAGAGAAATACCAAAGTTTGAAGATAGAAGAAATACATTTTGTGGAACAGTTGATTATATAGCACCTGAAGTTATTAAAGATGAAGGATATGATGAAAGATGTGATGCTTGGTAGATTGCTATATTAGCTTATGAGCTTGTTGCTGGAAATACACCATTTTCAGAATTTCCTAGAGATGATGAAATCATCATGGAAAACATTTTAAAAGTATATTTTAATTCATTTTAGAATAAATTTGATCTTCCTAATTTCTTTTCTCCACATTTGAAAGATTTTGTTAATAGAGGATTACAGTAGAGTCCTGATCATAGAATATCTATTGATTAAATGTTGCTGCATAAATGGATTACAGATAATAATAAACTTAGTGATAACGAATATACATTTTGATGATATTTTGTGATCCAAAGTAATCCTATTTTTGTAATCTCAATTATTTATTTATTTAACAAATTATTTATTTTTTTCATTTCTTATTCTTTTACAAATGTTTTCATTTTTATATTTCAATTTAAATATCTTCTTAATCAATAGATTTCAAAATAATTCAAATTAAACCTCAAAAAAATATTTAGTAGAGTATTTGTTATATAAAATCAAATAATCGTCATCATTCAACTTATCTCACAACATTTAGATTAGTCTTTACGAAAATCATTTATATTATGATGTTTCCAACAATCTACAAGAAATGTCTTATGAACACATGTTCCTATAACAACATCATCAATAAATGTAACTGAATGCAACTTAAATCCTCTTAAAATTGGATGACCTTATTTATCAATCCTAAATCTTTGGCTTAACTTTTTTGAACTTAATCTTGTTTATGATATACTTGGAATATCCATTTACATTATTTTATATAAATATTATAATAAATAAACATGAAGAACAACAGTCTAATTAAGGTATTTAAATGATTATTAAAGTAAAATTTCATTCATATTATTCTAATTCTTTTTAATATTTGTTCTCACATTAAAGCTCTTTCAATTTATAACAATTTTCCAGTTTCATTCTCTAGATTATGGATCATCAACTTTTCTTTCAAATTTCTTTTTTTCAAGTTATTTATTTTCTTCTTCTTCTAATTGATAAAGTTAAATTATAATTCTTATCTACCTTAAGTAATTCTTTATTTTATTTTATTTCTTTTATTTATTTTTTTTTAGTCACATTTAGTAGAATACAAAATAATTTAATTACATTCTATACAAAAATACAAATCTATCACAATTGGCTTATTTTTTTTCCTTTTCAATTTCAAGGTGAACTATAAGATCTTTTTTTCTATTAGAAAATTATTGGTTTAAATTAATGCTCTTTTTTTATATTACTACAAAATCTATTTAAATTATTCTTTTTTTCTTCCATAATCTAAGTTCTTTTATATTCCTTGAATTTATAAATCAAATCATCTTTTTTTTCTCATATTCAACTTAATTTTTTTGATAAATTTCTTTTCTTTTTAATATTTAAATTTCTCTTTTAAATTATTAAACAATTCTATTTCTTTCTTTTTTGCTATCAATTTTTATTCATCATTCAATTTTTTTGAAAAATTCAAATAAACTTAGTTTAATTGAGGTTTAGCTCTTTTTATATTTTCATCTCATCTAAAATTAGTTTTTTCTTAGTTTGCTTAAATAGCTTATTATTTAAGATCTTTTTCTTCTTCTTCTTATAAAATCTTAAATTTGGCTTCGGTTTTTTCCATTTTTAATGATTTTCATTCATTCAACCATTCATGCATCTACTAATGAATTTTCCCATTCTCTTATTTTTTTTATTATGCCATTTTAAGTTATTAATCTCTATTTTTTTAAATTTTCGAGTTCTTTCTCTTGCGGTATTCTTTATTATTGATTAATACTTATCATCAATCTTATTCTGTCTATAATTTTTATTTTTTTTATTATTCTTAATTCTCATTCTGCTATTTAAACTTCAATTTTAGCTTATATCTTATCTAATTCACATTAAATATTTATCTTAATTAAGGTCTTATTATTTATCTTCTACAAGTTTCCATATACTTTGGTAAATGATTATAGGATCTCTAACTAAAAAGTTTAATCATAATTAAAAAGAGAGATTGGGGTGATTTGCATAAGTATAAAATTAGTTATTAGAAAATTAATTTATTTATAAATTATATTTAATTTTATGTGTTTATTTGAGTCTTCAATCTTAACAGAAATAATAATAGAAAATGATTTAAAAAAGAGAGATATAAACATTCTGAGTATATTTTATTAATATTCTAATATGAAACAAAATCATATGATTAATTAAAATAAAAGCAACTCTGATTTTATAAAATTTATGTTTTTATTCTCTTAAAAGTTTAATATATATTATTAATACATTTATTTTTGTTTAATTAGATTTGTTCATTTAATGAACGATGAAGCACAATCTCAAATTTGATTAAAAAATTTAATGAGAAAAAAATAAACCCGCCCGTTATTTATACCTAATCCAGAAAATGGGGATTTTCCTTTTGAGATAAAAAAGGCAAATACATAAGATATAAAAGCTGTAGATTTCTATAGAATGTACATTTCGATGCAAATGTTTATAGAGAAATTAATAACAGATCAAGTAAAATACATATTTATGAAAAAAGTCTCTGCAATAAAAAGTACAACTTAATATTGATGCCATATATAGAGTGTTTGTTGAGAAAGACTAAAATCCTACTCCACCTTAAAAACTTGTTGGAAGAAGAAGTTCTCCATATACATATTAAAAGTAAGAGTTTTGGCAATTGGTTGAACACTTAAATTCTTTAGGATTTTCTTATCGTCAAATATCAGAGAGATTATAAGTACATTATGTTTAAATTTCAACTCATCATCGTAACACTGTAGATTATGATGACGAAGATTCTGATTAAGACTCATTATCTATAAAGAAGGCAACCAAAGTATAAGAAAAATAACAAATGGTTATTCAAAAATAATTACAACATGATGTTTTCTATTCAGATGATGAAAAAGGACAGAAATGAAATTCAATATAATATCAATTCTTTTTTCCTTTACATTTAAAATATTCTATTCTTAAGTTATTCTATTCTTTAAAGGATATCTAAATTAAAGAGAAATAAAATTTAAACGAATTTTAAAATAATTTTAATAATTAATTTCAATGTTTTTCACTTCTTCTATAATTTCCCTTTTACTTCCTCTCTTAATTAATTCAATAAATGATCTTCTTCTTAATCTTCTTCCTCTAAATCTTTACTTGGTAATTCATTGAAAACTTCATCATCATCCTTCAATACTGAATAATCTTGAGAATTATTTGAATGAAGATGAGAATTCTGTTTTTTTGGTTTGATTCTAAAGTTTCTTTTTAAAAATTCTTAATCATTCAATTCTAAAATAGAACTATACATAGATTTATTTAATAATTCTTATTATTACTAAATTTATAAAAATTATAATTACATTCTATGATAAGTTAAGTAATTTTTCTCTAATGGCATCTATAATTCCTTAGAATCCTTTATCTTTAGTTTATGATAATTTTTTTAAATTTCTTGTTATCCAATTATTCAATTTATTTTATAATAGTCCAGAAATAGTTGCTTTTTCTTCAACTTCTAATACAAGTTTATCTTAATCAGTTTATTCATTTCTTTATTTATGATTTTCAACTAAGAATTCTTTATCTAAATCACTATATTCTTATTTTAAATGATTAAAATTGTTTTTTAATTCTTGATTTTCTTGTTTCAAAATATTAATTTTTTTTTCATAATCTGAAATTGATATTAAAAGATGAGCATAAGTTTACTCTCTACCTATAAATTTTTGAACAATCTCATTTGCATCAGAAATACCTGTTGAAGCCTTTATTTTTTAAAAAGCTATTTCTAAATTTTAATATTATGCTATGCCTCTTTACATTTTACTTTTAAGAAAAGAATTTAAGAATTTATGAACTAATAATAATTTTCTCCATTTTTTTAAAGCTCCATCTCTAATATCATTTGCAGCAACTTCTGCTATCTCTTATTATCTTTTAATTCTATCATCTCTTTTTTAATCAACATCTTATTTTTATTTTAATTCATTTTTAAACCTAGATATATTCTTTTCCCTATTTCTATTTTATTATTTAATTCCATCTGCAACCTCTTTCAAGGCCATCATAACTTTTTAATGTAAAACTTATATTTGTAATGCTCTTAAAATTAATAAATTTTATTATACTTTTAACTTGATGATTAACATGTTGACAGTGCTTATTTAAGATATCTTTCATATTAATTTGCTCTTAATTAATAAGTAACTTAATCTTTCTTCATTCTTGTTAACATATGTTCGAAAATCTTTTTGTCATAATTACTTTAACTTAATAATTTTTATTATTCTTAGAATTTTTATGAGTATTCATTCTCTTATCTCACTAAATCCTTTTATTTCTAATTGTATTATTCAATTTAATAGCTCATTTGATCAATATCCTTTCTCATTTTATCAATATCTTTATCTTTATTGCTCCCAGACATTTTCATATTATCGCAACTTTTTTTTAATTCTGTCAAATTAGCATGTACTTCTTAAGCTTCATCAACTTTCTAATATAAATTATTTAAGATCCAATTACTTTCTAATCCTCTAATTGTTTAGGATAATAATCATTATCTTATCCTAAGACAGATGACAAACTATTATATTTAATCATTTTATCAACTGATTTCAGAACAGCTGAGTTACGATATTTCTCAAAATCACTCTTTTTCGATCTAGTTCGAGACTTATGTGAATGAAGCCTAATCTTTTTAATATTTCAGAATAATTACATCTGGAAGTTCCACTACAGACATTATTGATTATTAATAAAATATATTGTCTTTAAACTTTAAACATAAATATAATTATTTAACAAATTTAATTAAGTAAAAATTAACTTAACATATACTTCTCATAAGAAAAATAATACTTTTAAGAGTATTGTTTTATAATTATATATAAAATTTTGCTAATTACATCAATCATTAAGTTTTTTACTTGTATAACAATTATTCACATTTAGAATTTGTTCTTTATGTATTTGAATGTATTATACAAATTAAGCAAATTCTGAATCTATTTCAAATGTCTTTAAGTAATTCAACATTTCATTTTATATCTTTTTTTATTATCAAATAATGTACAGAATTCTCGATAATATGATTATTTCCATTATAATCTTACAATCCTCTATATTCTCTAGGAATTAGTTTGTGTTCTTCAATATCATCAATAATTTAAACCATTTCTATTTTTATCTAAATTTAACTCATACCATACCTTATCATTTGTGATCATACATTCATAACATAAAATAATTCCATTGCCTTTAGTCAAATAAACACTGAATGGAGCTTAAAATTATGGAACATTTTGAAATAAACTCAAAGGCAGATCTGAAGTATTTTGTATTTGGATTATTTAAGTGTCCATTATTTCCTTTTCTATTGATAAGTTTCTGTTTTAGAAATCGATACAAATTAAAATTTAAACATTTTCTACATTCTTACTTAATTCAATTCTTTATTCGTCTTCAATATTCTTAACCTAGAAACCATTAAATTTTGTTAAGTCACGATTTTAATGATTATTATTTATAGTAAAAGCTTCAAGCATTATATCATTCTCGATAATTTAAAATAGTTAATCTTTAAATAACAATCAAAATATACTTTTTTCAATTAGGGACTGTTAAATACTTATTTTAGATCCAGGAAAATTTACAGGTAATAAAGTTCTTGCTATTCTCACAGGCATTTTTGAAATCATGATTGCTTTATTTATGTTTTATCAAAATTATAATTAAAATTAAGATTATATGGGATCAGCAGTTTGTATATAAGAAAATCAAAATTATGGAAATGAGGTTATTTAGAATTCAAATGATGTTTAACTTAACAATATTACATTTGCTAAAGAATAATCATCAAAATTAGATCATTCCAATCTTAAACATCCCAGTTTAAAAAAGAAACAAATCACCTAAATTAAAGTAACTGTTCCAGATGACCCTATTAGTATGATCAATTAATTTAATTATTTTTAGATTTAAGCAATAATTAATCAAGTATTTTATTATCAGAAAAATAAGAACCAACTACTTCTGTATTTCCAAATTAGTAAATTATTAAGTAAACTTAGTGATACAAACTAATAAGGAGAAATTAATCATTACTAAAATATTTAATTATTTGGAAGAGAAGTTTAATAATCATTTAAACTGAACTCAACATAGAAATTAGTTTCTTCTTTATAAGAAGAAGTTCTTTAATGTAAGTTGTCATTTTAAAAATTAGATCAGAATTCAAAGAATAAAACTCACAGTATTCAAAATCTTAAAAAGACGACAAAAGATAAAAACTACTTAATATGAATTTAGTTGAAGATAATGTATTTGATAGTTCAATTATATAAGCTTGATGATTACATCTAATACGATTGGAAGAATACAAAATTTCAATTAATTAGTATCAATGATTAAAATTTATTGAAGAAACTTAATTCAGCTAAAACTGTGACGAAATAAGTTAAAATTAATTTTTGAATTTTACCATCAACTTAATCATTTATATAACTTATTAAAATCAATAATTTTTCTTTTCCTAAAAATATTCGTGAAGCACTATTTTATTTTAATCTGATTTTTAACGCTTTTGAAAATTCTAATCATTTTATCCATGATCAATCATGAGTATATTATATCTTTTTTATTAATTTCACTAAAAAGTTTAACTTTATGATTGTAAACTGTTTTAAATCTTTTTTTAATCATATTTTCTTAAGATATTTACTAACATTTTTCATTGTAGATATTATTAAAAATATTTTTTTGTTATTTCTGCATTCTCAATATTCATCTTTAATTCCTTCTTAAATATATTTTATAAATGATAGAGCATAACTATTTAACCTTTTTCCTGTTTCTTTTCGAAATTAATTCTAACTCTAAATTTTTTAATTTGTTTGAATTTCGAAGTTAATATTCTTAGATTAAAATCTGATTGTGAATATAAATAAAATGTAAATCCCAAATAAGAGTAAAGTTAAGATTATTGAAATAATCATATAAATTAAGGAAATCGTTAGATTTTTGGAAAAATAGGTTTTTTCCTTATTATTTTCTAGATTATTTAAAAAAACCAAATTTGTATATAATTCTTACTGGTGATTAAACAAATGTATGTAATTTTAAATTAATTTAATTCAAGCGTATATGTAAATAAATTATATTTATTATTAATCATCTGCAGAGCAATCGATTATTTATTATTCTTCCTTTTAATTTCATACTATTTTTCTTATCATATTAACAATATAAATTTAATATTATTTAAAGGTATTTTTTCAAATATAGTTGCAGTATTTTAAAGTTATTAAAGGATAAGTAATCAATTGAAAAATGGATCTAAAAGACATAAATTAAACATTTAATTATATTTTATCTTCTATTAAAGATCACTCAATTTATAATAATTATTCAGATGAATAAATACAACACACGATTTATAGATCCATGTCTGGAGAAACAATATTTAATTCATAAAGTTAAGGTAATACAGTTTCCTATATTAACTTACTTAAGTTTTGGTGGTGTTATTTTATTATTTGCAAATTCAATTGTTAATATGATAAACATGGATTACACTAATGGATTAATTAAATTAATAGTTATGACATACTTACTTCTCTAATACTTAGCCTTGTAAAAAAAAATGTCTCTTAGAATAAATTATTGTAATTTAGCGCTGATGATGATAAATTTTGCTTCATTAGTCTTTGAAATTTCAATCTACCCTTAATATGATTATTATGATGGTTACTTACTTGGATCTAATCAGATGTTAGTTCATACAATTTTGATGTTTGCTTCAAATTTAGAAGTAGGTATCTTTAGTAATCTTGTTCTAACAATTGTGAGAATTATCTTAGTTGTTTAACACTCAGACAATCTTACTGTATAATAATATTTTTATACAATAATTCTGTCATTAAGTTTTATGGTGATTTAATATTAAATCGAAAAATAATATAGGCAATCTTTTTTTTTGTAATTCAAAGACAATAATTGGGGTATTATATGTTTATTCTATTATAAATAGAAATTTTGATTCCGTTGCTATTGAAAAAACCATTTTTCATTTTCTCATTCAATAGAGAAATTAATATGTATTAAACAATAATGAGTGCATAAAAGGAATTTTTCAATTCAGATAAACCTCTTACTACTTTCCTATTTAAATCTAAAGTAAAATAGTAGACTCTAGAGGAATACATAATAAAAAAAACTCGTAATAATGTAGATAGAAAGCAATCTTCTTGCATATTTAATTATCAGATTGTTGTTGAATACTAAATGAAAAAGCTACATATTTCTGTATTATGTCTTAGATTTGAATAGTTGATTTATTCAATTGTTATTGATTCAGAGGATCCATTAATAAATTAAACTAATATAAAATTAAATTAATCTCTTTAGCATTGTAGAAATATTCTGAATGCTTAATTAATGCAAATAAATAAGGTCTTAGGTCTTTACTTATAAGATACTTTTAGTCCTTTGCTAAGAGATTTAAGAATATCTTTATTTGAACTTTATTATAAATAATTATAAAGTCAGAAGTTACAATTAGTAAAAATGAAAAAGCTGTTGCTTAAATGTTCTAAAATATTCGAAACTCCAAATAATAAAATTAAAATTGATTGTGGTGAAGAAATACAATTTGCTACCATAAAATCTTCTTTAATTATTTTTATATTTGAAATTTTCAAATAAATTTAAATAAATCAGCATGTATATATATTTATTAATCAAAAAAAAACGACAACAATGTTTATCTATGGATTAAAATAATTACCAGATACTGTATAATTCAAAAGATGTTTGTAAACCTTAATTGATTAGACAAACTGTACAGCTTAATGTATGATTTTATTTTATAAGCAAGATTTTTCTTTTGAATTTTAAAAATCTCCGTCTTCTCATTTTCATTTTGAGAATAATGATATATTTTAATAATTATTATGATTATTTAGATTTTTACCTATAAATATATATTTGTATATATTAAAAATATTTAGATATATTATAAAAGCATTTGAAAATCAAATACATGTTGAATTAAAAAAAGTACATAAATAATAGATAATTTATTGTAGATTTGTGATTCAATTAATAAATAATTATGGATTATGTAAAAATAATATTATTTTTAGGAAAGTTAGAAAAAGAATTTTATTTCTTAAATAATATAATTTAGTAATGATTGTATTATGTTTATAAAGAATATTAAAAATATAAAAAATGTAATATTCAAATACTTACGAGTCAGTTGTTAGAACTTAGGTAGTTAGTGGACAAGATTAAAAACCACTAAATTTGGGATTAACTGATGTTGAAGGAGCTAAGGTTATTTTGTAAATTTTGAAAATAGGCAGTTGCTAGAAGACTGTTTGATACATATGATAGAGATAGAAATGGATAAATTGATAATGTTGAAGTTGTTCCAATGATTGTAGATGTTTATAAATCTTTCAATCGAATTTTCTCACCAGCTAGAGGAGATATTGATTCATTTTACAAGTTGAAAATAATTGATATATTTTTTATAGAGTTTTAGATAGGAATTAAGATGGAAAGATTACTTATTAGGATCTAGAAGATTTATGTATAAGATATCTAACAAACTAAACACCAACAAATTTAAGAGCAACTGAAGCTCCTCGTTAAAGTGGTATCCAATAAACTTCACAAACAGTCACTTCACAATACAGAAGAACTTAATTTTGATTTGTGAATTGGTATATATAAAAACGAATTGGCAAAATTACAATATTCATTTTCAATACTATCTGCTTGTAATACTACCAAATACTAATTGTATATGAGGTTCATCCTAAATTTCTACTCTTTCAGTATTATTTTTCATAAACACTTATGATGATTATAGATTTTAACATATCATTTCTAATTAATTGGAATATATTCTAGAAAACAATCTCCTTATATCATCATCCATAAATTATATGATAGCTTCATCTATTGTAGATAGTTCTTATTTCTTTATTAATCTTGAATAAGCCTCATAAGCATCATCTAATCTAAGTACATCTGGTTTCTCATTTTCTAATATAAATTTATACTCTTATTTTTTTTCTAATTCTTTAATCTTTTTTTCAAAATTATCATCAAACATATCATAAGGTATCATAGGTTTTGGAAGATAATTAAACAAAGCTAATTAATCTTTGTTCAATAAAATATGTTTCAATTTATCTAATTCATTAAATTTACTTATCAATTAACAAATATCTAATTTATTAATTATTTTATTCATTGCATATTTTAATTATCTTTACTTATCTTTTTTACAACCAAGTTGAAATTTAATATTATCAAGTAATGTAAAATTTAATGAACATTTTTTTTTTCTTAAAAACTTTTTGATTTCATGCTATGTTTTAGAGAATTCAGCAAAAGATTTTCTCGCTTATAAATTTTCTGATTTTAAAGCATCATCTTAATATTCTCTTATATCACTTTTATTTATAGGAACAGATTTAGCTACTGACATTATGTCTAAGTCAAGAGATTCTTAGTTTTCAAATCTAAATATCTTGTTAGCCATAGCTAAATTCATCGAGGAAAATAAAATTGGATAGAATAGACAATTCATAAAAACGATCGTTATTTACCATAATCCTCCCATTTATCCTAATAAAGTATAAAGTTTAAGATAATTTCTTTAGTATTAACTTCTTCTATATTCTAAAAAGATTGAGTTTTATACTAAAAACTATTAATTATATGATGTGCTCTCTTCTTTTATTGTAGATTATGATAAGGCAGTATCCAAAATATTATTTGTTCTAAAAATACCATAATCAGTTGTAGTTTCAGTCACTTTAAAGGTTGAATGTAAAGATTTAGAATTTTATAAAGAAAACTGAGTATATTAAATAGAAATCACATCTTCATAAGGTTTTGATGGAGAATTCATCTAAATTAATGTATCACTTAAATGTAATACCTACATAGGTTTAATATATAATTTTACAAAAAATCCAGATTACATATTACTATTTATTTCTTCCATAGATGCACAACCTTAATAATCAGTTGAATTTTTGCATATACTAAAAGTTACTGTCAAAAATTGAAATCGATCATCTTAAGTATACCCTTAAAGTTACTTAAGATTAAGTAGCATAAAATACCAAACCAAACTCATCCCAATAGTCTATTTTAGGACAATACATAAATTGAAGCTTAAAGTTTTTGAAATATTCTTGTTAATATTACTCTTAAAAATGTTGATCCATTTGACATGGTTCTAAAGGAATATTTGTACAGCTAAATAATATTGTAAGTATCTTACTTGTATTCAATTTAAGCAATTCCATTTTCATTCAATGATCGCTCTCTTAAACAATTTTGTACACTTAAAGTAAAATATTTATTTAGAGTTTGCATTGAACTTAATTGAAGATTTGCTATTGTTACTGCAAATGTAAAGTTATTTTTACTTAAATGCAGGGGCTTATTATATTTTTGATTCTTACAGAAGTATTCGAGGGTTGGAATTCTGAAAACACTACTCTAGGACTCTATCTATTAGTCAAATCTAATATTTCATGTATAATGTAATATAAATAGGCTGAACATATGACCATAGTAAGACCTTAACCTAAAGGTGTAGAGAACTTTTGTCTCTTTAATATTCTAAATTATGGAAGCATTCCAAAAAAATCAAAGCGCTCAATTATTTATGAGATAAAATGCTTTGAGCAAGTTTAAGGTTTTTGAAATTTTAACATGGTTTAAAAATATCTGAATTATTGAATAAAATAAATGTTTTATTTGCTTAAAGAACTTGACTTTAGAATTAAACAATCAGATTTTAAATTAGGATTTATTTCTCTCTAAATGTTGATTTTTAAATTGATTAAAAATAATTTGATGACTCCAATCTAATATGAAAGTGCAAGCTTTTATAAATGCTTATAAGTCATAGTTACAAGTTAAAATTTACATATTTTTTACAATTTTTGTTTAATATTAATGTCATTAATTCCAAATTAAAGTTTCGATATTCGATTTGATAGATTTAATAAGTTCAAATGTTAAGATTAAGATGGATAGTTTATTAATAAAGCAAAATGAAAATTTTAGTACCTAATAATATAAATTATTGAATATAAAAAAAAAATTCGTTTTTGAGAAAATAAATAATAAAATAATGAAATCAACATTGAGCGTTCTCTTAGTTGTTTTAGTATCTGTCTAGGGTTTCTAGATTGATATGTTTAGCAAACATCATATTCCAAATAGAAATATCATGGAAATAATGATGTAGATTGAATCTTAATTGGCTTCAGGAGGTCCATTTGACACAATCAACACAATGTTGTAAGGCTTCAGAACTTCAGTCACATAAGAATAAATTGCCCATGATGACTTATATGCTAGATAAAAAAACGAATGTGATTCAGAAACAGCCTTCAGAAGAGGATAAATTCAAGATGCAAGTAAAATCTTGAGTGCTTCAACAAATCAATTGAATTTGTGCTCATTCTAAAGATAAAAGGCTAAGGCTGAATTTGGTATGACTGAAGATTAACTTACAATGAACTAATAACATTTATCATTGATCTAAGAAGTCAGAAAAACAGAATAATATAACTTTAATTCAATGGCCGTTATCTTCTAAGATGCATTGAGAGTTATTGATGAATCAGTCTATTTAGCCAAGAAATTCAGTGTTGGAGATGCTAGTTTGATTGAATTAGCTGATGCCACAGGTTAAATGATGTAACACTCTGTTAGTTTGAAGAGAACAGGATCATATGCTGCAGTCTTAGCATCATTGGCTAGAATGTCATTAGCTGAATAAGTTAGCTCAGCAGATGTTGATAGATTGATCTAATTATTATAGACATTAAGGTAATGTATTATATTAAATAATTAGAAATAACATTGAAGATGCATATAATCAATTCACAGCTGAAAACAATTAAGCTATTGTTTTATATAACAACTAAAAGGAAAGAATTGATAAGAACATCGTCAGATTAGAAAAATCCAAGACTAGACTTGAAGATTAAATCACTGATTTGAATGGATGCGTTGCTACCTAAACTGCTATTTCATAAGCTGCAAGCAATAAGAAATAAAGAAATTAAAAATTATTAGATGATGCAACTGCTCTTTGCACTACCTTCAATAGTGAATATGAAAATGCTTCAGCTGCAAGAAGATAAGAATTAGTCCTCTTATCAGAAGTAGAAAGATTAGTAGAAAAAAGATAAAATGAAGTTAAATGATAAAAATTTATCATCATAATAATCATGTTTAATAAGTTATTGTATCGTAAGAAGGACATTAACTCATCGATCGAGTTATGCTTTGTGATTATCTCTACTTCAAACGTTCTTTAAATTACTAATTTTATTAATGTAAATTCTCCCTAATAAGTGCATCTTTTTGAATGGTATTATCAACTCTTTAATTACATCAATTTATCATTTTATATATCAATATAAATATTTTATTTGTGTGATGTGATTCAAGTAGAGTATTAAGGTGTTGATTATGAGTATCTTAATTTAGTTGAGATTGATAATTAATTTTATGGATAGTTTGTTTTGATCTGATAGAATTATTAAGCAATTCTGGATCTAATTTAGAAATAGAAACTCTAGCTGTTTATGCTCGATTTGAGTTTCTGGTGATATGTCCAATTGTATGATCTTAAGATAGAGTATATTAAATTTTTTCCAAAAAGTAGTATTTAATTGGGTCTTGATTTTAATCATAATATTCAACGCACTTAGAATACATGGCAATAAGTGTATCAATAGTAGAAATAGAGTTCTTAGATTCAATACGTGCAATTTGTGTAAAGAATTCTCTAGAGAGATTCATTTTAATTAATGCAATTAAAACAATTAGGTAGGAGCAATATGTGCTACTTGTAAGAGCATAAAGAATTTGATATGCGCATAAAGTATTTGTGTGTAGATAGCCAATGCACTCTATAGTTCAGAGCAATGTGTACAGATTGTTATAATAAGTTGCATTAAGGACATCGCGTAATTGATTTGATTGAAGCAGAAAGGTTGGCGTATCAGCAAAATTAAGAACATTTGGCTTAATTTAAGACACATATAACTAAATTGAATGAAATTCTATAACACAGTATAAAGACTATCAAAACTCACATCAAAAGATTGTAAAATCAATTCAAACTCCTCATTGAATAAGAGTTGGAAAAATTACATCAATATCATCTTTAACCTCCTAATGATTTAAATGAATTTGCTGAATAACTATTACATCATTAGAATATTATTTCAACAACATCCATGTAAGTTTTAACTAAAGGAGTCAAATCGTTGTTGTTGAAATCTTATTTTTTAACTTCAGATATTACGGTTTTTACATTCAAAGATTATATCAGTCTTTCAGATGATTCATTAGTTTAAATCAAAAGGTTTGATCTAGTACAAAAAGTACTATTAGATCAAATTACCTTCAAAACTAATTCCACTGAAGCACTTTAAATATTCAATAGTCATCCTAAAAAAATTAAATGTCCAGGACTTGTTCATATCTATTCCCTCGATATTAAATAAGATGGCACTCTAATTGCAGTAGGAGGTCATCCTGATACCCTCCTCTTAATTGATCCAATTTCTGGACTAATTGTAAAATCCTTTAAAACAACATTCTTAGAAATTTTTGCTATAAAATTCTCTTCAGATGGAGTAAGATTAGCTGTAGCTGGTTCTTGTCCATATGAAGTGTATGTTTGGAATTGTAATGATTTTGAATAAAGTCCAATAATCTTAAAAGCATAACAACTTAACTAAATAAATAGATTAGATTTTATATCCAAATATTTATATACAGTTAGTGATGATTATAAACTTCGAGTTTNGTGTGATGTGATTCAAGTAGAGTATTAAGGTGTTGATTATGAGTATCTTAATTTAGTTGAGATTGATAATTAATTTTATGGATAGTTTGTTTTGATCTGATAGAATTATTAAGCAATTCTGGATCTAATTTAGAAATAGAAACTCTAGCTGTTTATGCTCGATTTGAGTTTCTGGTGATATGTCCAATTGTATGATCTTAAGATAGAGTATATTAAATTTTTTCCAAAAAGTAGTATTTAATTGGGTCTTGATTTTAATCATAATATTCAACGCACTTAGAATACATGGCAATAAGTGTATCAATAGTAGAAATAGAGTTCTTAGATTCAATACGTGCAATTTGTGTAAAGAATTCTCTAGAGAGATTCATTTTAATTAATGCAATTAAAACAATTAGGTAGGAGCAATATGTGCTACTTGTAAGAGCATAAAGAATTTGATATGCGCATAAAGTATTTGTGTGTAGATAGCCAATGCACTCTATAGTTCAGAGCAATGTGTACAGATTGTTATAATAAGTTGCATTAAGGACATCGCGTAATTGATTTGATTGAAGCAGAAAGGTTGGCGTATCAGCAAAATTAAGAACATTTGGCTTAATTTAAGACACATATAACTAAATTGAATGAAATTCTATAACACAGTATAAAGACTATCAAAACTCACATCAAAAGATTGTAAAATCAATTCAAACTCCTCATTGAATAAGAGTTGGAAAAATTACATCAATATCATCTTTAACCTCCTAATGATTTAAATGAATTTGCTGAATAACTATTACATCATTAGAATATTATTTCAACAACATCCATGTAAGTTTTAACTAAAGGAGTCAAATCGTTGTTGTTGAAATCTTATTTTTTAACTTCAGATATTACGGTTTTTACATTCAAAGATTATATCAGTCTTTCAGATGATTCATTAGTTTAAATCAAAAGGTTTGATCTAGTACAAAAAGTACTATTAGATCAAATTACCTTCAAAACTAATTCCACTGAAGCACTTTAAATATTCAATAGTCATCCTAAAAAAATTAAATGTCCAGGACTTGTTCATATCTATTCCCTCGATATTAAATAAGATGGCACTCTAATTGCAGTAGGAGGTCATCCTGATACCCTCCTCTTAATTGATCCAATTTCTGGACTAATTGTAAAATCCTTTAAAACAACATTCTTAGAAATTTTTGCTATAAAATTCTCTTCAGATGGAGTAAGATTAGCTGTAGCTGGTTCTTGTCCATATGAAGTGTATGTTTGGAATTGTAATGATTTTGAATAAAGTCCAATAATCTTAAAAGCATAACAACTTAACTAAATAAATAGATTAGATTTTATATCCAAATATTTATATACAGTTAGTGATGATTATAAACTTCGAGTTTGGAAATTAAAAAAGAATGGAATCAAGAATTATAAAGAATATATAGGACATTGGGATAGTATATATGGTTTAGCAGTAAATAACAAACATGTTGCATCCACAGGAAAAGATAAAACTTTGATTGTTTGGTTCAAAGGTAAAATCTTAAAATAATGGATGGCTCATGATGCTGAATATGGTGGATATTGTGTTGAATATTCTTTAGATGGAAAATTACTTATATCTACTGGTTATGATAAAAAAATTAAATTATGGAATACACAACATGATTATACATTGATTAAACAATTTTCATCTCATGAATAACCCATATGGACATTAGGTCTCTTAATGAATACAGAATTACTTGCAACTGCTAGTTGGGACAATACAATCAAAATTTGGGATATTTAAACTGGAAAATGTATATACACTTTAGAGAATCATTTTCATTCATCTCCATGTATTAATGTCAAGTGTTATCCTTTATAATTCTTGGCCACAAATGAGGAAGGACTTATTCTAATATGGAATCTGTGATTACTCATTTAATGATATTTATAATTGTAAAACATACATAAACCTTTATTATTATTAAATTCTAGTCTTTTTCAATTTTTATTTTAGAATTCCTTTATTAATCATTAGAAAATACATCATTTTAACCTTTTATTTTTACTAATTTATGATAATCTTTTTATTATGATTAATCAATAAACTATTTAAGATATGGTACCATATATATGGCCTGATGAATATGATGATCGTCTTTAATTTGCTCTAGATCTAAAAAAGGAATTTGAAACCTTGATTATTTCCTATCCTTAACATAAGGATAATATATTATAGACAATGTAGAAAATTTCAGAAGAAGCTCCATATTTGGATTTATAAGACATATTCCAAATTAATTAGGGTAAAACTCATAAACTATACTAATTTCTATATCCCATTCATTCCAATAATACACATATCGATTTCAAATAACCTGTTACCAACAAAACTTTATAAAAACTCATATCTGACTCTTACAGGTTGTTTAATCGCAACATCTTAAACTACTAATGCAAGCTTATTACTTATGCAAAGTACTATAAAGCATCTCTCTCAATATTCAAGAAATCCATCAACCAAATGTATATAGATTTCAATACTTTAAATTTTGTTTGTTCATGTGCTACAAGATAGTGCATTACTTTAAATAGATTATGGAGTGATTATGATGATACTTCCGAGAAATACTAAAAACTACTATTATCTCTATAAAAATTGGAATAAATGTAAAAGCCGGATGATCTTACTCATTATTTCAATCGATAATCACTAATCTTATTTACATACTCTTTAGCCTAATGTAATGCGAACAAACCATTGCCATTCAATTAGGTGAATACTATTTACCTTTTAAATAATAACCAATCAAACCTCACTTTGAAGAATTAACAGAAGATTTTACTTGGAATATAAATGGATTTTCCTAAATTAGAGATTATTTTCCTAAACTAGCACATAAACTCAGTAAGAGAATGAAAATTCTTAAAGACATTCCTCTATTTGCTATTCAAGATCGTATTAAAATATATTAGTATACTTAAAACTAATTAGGTTATAGAAAAATTGATGATAATCATATAAATTAACTGTAAAATATAAGTGACATTCTAAATAATCAACAAATAAACTGTGAAGCAGAATTAGTTCTTCTAGTTGCCAACGCGAAATTTTATACACAGATACTCTATTCATTGATTTGATTTTATTTTATTATATACTGATCATTCTATATATCATGATCAAAATATATTAAGTATTTTATTTTTAATCAAAATAGCTTGAAAAAATTTTGAGATTGTTTTAATAATTGAAAAACCTTTGTTTATCTATGAGTATTAAGAGAATATTTTTTTAATGATCATAAATTGATTTATTTTAATTTTCTAATATTAAAATTTAGATAATTTCAAAGAAGTCTGACCCAAAAAAAATTATTAAAACATAATGGTAAAGATAATAGAAGATTTATGATTTAACTAAAAAAACTAACATAAATAATTATCATATAAATCATATAATTTAAAATAACTATTTCAAATAATTTTGAATCAGAAAAAGTATGTTAAAATATATTATTAGATATGTTTTATTGATGTTGTAACAGAATTAGACGGTTTTACTAAATTAATTCATAAAGAAAGGATTAATTCATATCAAAATTATTGGGAATCTTAATTAAAAGATCAATAATGAATAAAAAAAATTGTTGAATTTTTAAAAACTTTTTTGTTGACAATATTTTTAGTGGTTTTTTTTAAATTAAAAATATTTCAATCATATAAATTTTCAAGCCGATTATAATTTTAACTTCTTCACTTATAAATTATCTCTGAGATCATAATGGTATTTTTATTTGAACACTAAAAATTAGTATAAACTGAAAAAGTGATTATATAAAATAATAATTGAATTATAAGTAAAGATAAAAATGGTGTAAAACCTGAAAATTTTGAAGTAAATATAAAGATTAAGGAAATTTCGTCATTTATAAATTATGGCATATAAATATAGTGTAGGCAAAATTTTATTAAAAGTTAAATTCTCATTCTTTGTTGTGAGAAATGTGAGAATAATATTATTATAGATTTATTATTAATAAGCCTAAGTATTAGATTTTAAATTTGTTGCAATTAAAACTTTATTTCTAAAATAACTACATATAATTTAAGCTACAAAATTTAAATGAATATAATATGCAATAGAGTTTTAAATATTATTTTTATGTTTTAGATTTCAATTATTGATAATTGGTAATAGATTAATTATAATATTTAGAGTTATCAAAGATTAATGTAATTTTGATACAAAATTGAAGTGAAACAATTTTCTTGTTTGACTATTAAGATTGAATTGTGATTCATTTTAGGTGTAATTAGACATAGTAATAATTAGATTAATTTTAGTGTATATTAATTTTATTGCATTATTTCTCTTATATTTTTAACTTGAAATTTGATATAATAAAATAAAAATAAAATGGACGATTCACAGTTAGATTTGGGAGCATTAGAAGATATTGATCCAAGTTTAGAAGGGGGATTTAAAATACAATTTGATCGAGAAATTCACATAGAAACAAGGTTGAATTGAATGAATAATAATAAAATTAGAGTTCAAGATGCAAATACAGGTCCATAAGAGATAGGTACATTAGAATTGGTTAGAGTGAAAATCTTAGTTTAAGTTTGTTATTTTTTAATTAAATCTAGGGTGAATAGTAAACATTTGAGAATTTGAAAATTGAGTTAACAAGTGAAACAGATTTATTTTTCAATTATATAACAATGTATCATTAAATTTGAATATAGAATAAATAAGGAGACTTATAAAAGAATAAGAGAAGAATAAAAACTAACAATTGAATATCCTCAATTTTTATAAATGTTGATCAAATTGTTAAATTCATGTCATAAAGAACCTAATCAGTAAATATTTAAAATAATTCAGCTTTTTTTGTGTTTTTTTCATGCAATAAGATGGAGCAGCAAAATTAGATTTTATTGAAAATTTAGAATACAAATTTATGGAAATGTTATCTTTAGAATTCAGTTCTGCTCCTGAAGAGACAATTAGATAAAATGTTTCATTTAGATATAATTTAATGAAAGCAAAGTTACAATTTGTATCAAATAGGTATATATATATATTTATTTATATAGATTAAATGACATAGCCTCCTTGATAAAATTGAAGAATCCTTCATTATTAGTATAAATCAATAAAGCATCAGCAGGTGTCAGTTAAAATTAAAGTACTTAGAATGCAAGTAAATACTTGGGATAATCAAAAAAAAACAATACATCAAAATTTGTTTGATTTAGCTAATATTCATATTAACATCACAGGATTAAATTTTTTAACTTCTACTTAATTATAACTAACAAATCCAGAATTTGCTTCTTAAATTTAAATAATATCTTTCTTTTCAAAGTCTTTATTACAAACCATCTATTTTTTCTCAACAAATAATATGTCCAAAATTTTTATTCATGACAATTATTAGTATTTAAGTGTTTTATTACATTTATATTAGAATAATTCTTTAGTTTCCTTCTAATTTCTCATCTTATTATTCAGGCTAAGATTCTGGAATCCAAGCATTTTTATAAGTTGAATCCTTTTTGGACATATTATGCATTTCTTTTTATTTTTATTACATTTTTTTTAATGCTATCTTTTTTTATTCAGCCTCTAAATTTATATAACTAAATTTGATAATTTAAATGACCCTTATATTAACTTTAGATTTACATTATCTTCTTTCAATGATATTATTCTTTCTCTTTTTATTATTCTTCATCTTTATATACTATTTTTGATTGTAATTCTAAGCTGCAATTAATTTTTCATTCTCTTATTTTTATTTTACCTTTTTGCATAAATGAAGAATAAAATACCATAATGCATTCTCTACAAAATAAATAACCTTTTCAAAAATCAAAGTATCAATAACTCTTCTAATAAAAAGATAGCAAAAAGTCAGATATTCTTTATGAATCTGAACCAAACTAGTATTCATCTACTAGAATCTCTAATAATTTTTCCTTCTTCACAAAATGTATATAAATGATTAGCTGTTTTAATTTTGGAATGTCTTGAGTGATATATTAAATTATTATATTATATGTTTGTAATTTTCATACTTTATTGAATAAATTTAATTTGAATTCTGGTGTTCTACTCAAATGACTAATCAAATCTCTCTATTTAATAACTTCTCTTTATTATGGTGTTAATCCCTTGAATTCAAAATTAATTCCTTCTTCTGCTTTATTTCCAATTTATAAATTTCCATGTGCTGTATTATAATAAATCCATCCTAAAATATTTTTAGAGTATATACCTATTGTACCTCCAAGTATAGCACCAATACCAGCTCTTCTAATACTGAAAAATGCTGCTAAAGCTGCTCCAAATGCAGCATGACCATAAACGTATCTATTAAATGTATGTTCATGACCTCTTGAACAAACTAATTAATAAAACCAAAAAAAGTATGTAACTCCAAATAAAGCACCAAGTGTTCCATGTCTTGATGCTTATTTAAGAGCAAGAAATACAGGACCTGTAAATGCATTTTTACTTGCAAAAACTCTTCCTTTATTGACTTCTAATGCATTAACTGATAATTGTTTAAATTGGTAAGTAGCACCAATTAATATTGCAGTAAGAGCACCTTTAAAAGCAAATTTAGCACATGTTCTAAATATATTTAATTTTTATTATATACAGAACTTCCCAATGATGCTCTTAAAACATATCACGAGTAGCCCACCATCTATTCCACCATGGTGACGATCCTTTTACATAAATTGAATGGACATCATTCTATTAAGGTCTACCTGTTATTCCATATTAACTCTTATCTTCATGATTCTAATTCTAAATTGGATTTGTGCCGAATCCCATTTTTTTAATATAAATTAATATATATATTTTATAATTATTCTTTTTAAGTATTATTAAGATTTTGTATCAAAATATAAAGTTTAAACTTAATCATAATATAAAAAAAAGTTTAATTCAATTTTTAATAAAATTCTTCCACTCTTCAAAATAAATTGATTCACAATTAATATAATTTTCATCTTCTTCACCATCATTAATCTACACATCTAAATTATCTAATATTTTAAAGAAATCCATTATCAATATCTTTATGTAATCTTATTCGAAACTTGCTATAATTTATATTTATATATTCTACCATTTTTAAAAATACAATCTAATTATTTAAGAATTTCTATTTTTTATAAATCTGAAGTTCTCTAAAGTCTTAAAGTTTATCCAAAAATCATCAATACTCCCTTATCAACTAGTCTCAATATGTCATATTGCTTTATTTTTCTTAACATATTGGAATACACACAGGCAATTTATATTTATATCTCAGGTGTGGTAATTATAAAAATAGATAACAATAAATTCATTATTATATCATTATCTATCACTTTCTTTAATTAATTATGATTACCTGCTGTTATATTAGTAATACATTAACAAACCTAATTAAGAATTTATTATCATTACCTCGAAAATTAAACTCTTTAATTATAATTTTGATAAAAGATCTCCAAAAATAATTAGAATATCTTAATTTAATATATAATCTAATTAACTTTCAGACCCTGTTAATAAATTTCGTATTATTTTTAAACATCCTTATGTTATTGAATTTGTTTAATTTCTCTTAAGTAAATTTACAAGTCTAGGAACAATCCCTGTATTAATAATTTCTTAAATAGAGTCCAAACCACTATTTGGATTACTTATGTAGACTAAAGCCCAACAAGTATCAGTTAAAGTATCATCCTCATCAAATTTATCAATTATATAAGTAAAATAATTGATTATTTATCTCTTGCATTTCTAAATAGCTTTTTGATTTTATATACTTTAATTTTTTGTTGATTTAGAATTCCTCTAGATAAATTACCAATAGTCCAAGATGATAATTTTAATAAATGAATTTTATTTTCTTATATTAACTTTTCACTAATTACAATTAGTTAATTTAACCCTCCTTATTAAATTATATCATTTCGAAATTCTGCATCATCCGCAGCTATATTTCCTAAAGCCCAAAAAACTTATTCAACAATAAACAAATTTTCTGAATCTAAATGTTTCAATAAATTTGGTATTACTCCATTTTTTACAATAACTTAAGTTTATAAATTTGTGCCGCTTGCTATATTTGCCAAAATCCAAATAGCTTCATATATGAACAATTAATTGCTATACTGTTCAAGTATTTATATCAATATTGGAATCATATTGAAATCCAAAATCGCTTAAATAATTTCCTATTGGTTTTGATTAGCACTTATTAATTTCCTTATTGCTAATATTCCAAAATGCTGTTTAACAATATCGTCAGATAAAATCATTTCCACATATATCTAAATCAATTCTGGATTTTCAGTCTTTACATCTATCTCATGATATTACTAAAGAATCTTCTATTTCTTTTCTAATAACATATACTAAGGAATCATTAACTCATAAATCATCTCTATGTTAAAAATTTATATAGAATGTATATAAATAAATATACAAATCATTTCAAAAATAGAAACTCACACTACTAAATCTTAGAAAGTAATCGTACTCTTATATAATTTTAAATATAATATTGTTCTGTATATATGACTATTATTTATACGAGGAAAATTAAAACATTATATTTCATTCCTTCAATTCTGGTCAGACTCATTATTAGAATGGAATTATTATTCTTATTGAAGCTGTTGTTTTTCAATAATCTATCCTTATTTTAACTTCTCTTTAATTTATTTTTTTCCTGATTATTAATCTCCCTCTTGATTGTCTAAATGTTAGTTGATTCCATTTAATGTTTGTCCAGGATTCAATTATAATCTTTCATTTATTTATTTATCCGAAAATCCCATTTGAGATAATCTTTCTACAAGCTATAAAACTTCTTATCTTTGGATAGATTATGCTTAATTTTTTTTTCCGGCTTTTTGTTATTAACTTGTTGTTTAATCTTTTTGCAAAAATACTCTAAATGCAAAATCTATATTTGTTTATAATTTTTGTTGTAAAGACTAAATAATTTAAACATAATTACTTGTTCTTCAATTAGCTTTTCAAGTACCATTTTTAAAGAATTGTACATTCTGAAATAATCTATTTGTTTTATTTCATTCGTATTAACATCTTTAATGTCAAAAGGGAAATCATCCTATTCAGATTTCAACATTAGAAGAGGACGAGTTTATTTTCTGCTCATTTTTATATTTAAATAATATAAATTGATAATATTTATTTAATAATAAATCCAGAGTAATTTTTATATACAAAAATATTTCAAGAAATTTAATTAAAAAAAATAAATCCTCTAAAATAAGCAAGTCATTATAATTTTAAAGGATCGATTTTTAGTTTGTAAAAAAATGGAATTTATTTAATTACTTAATTTTAATCAATCCATGCCTAATCATAATTATTGTTCTTCTTAATTTTAAAGTTCTTCTTACTTTTAAAGTTCTTCTTACTTTTAAAGTTCTTCTTACTTTGTTAAAATTGCATTAGATAAAATTAAAACTGCTTATTTTACATTATTTCCATTCTATGCTGATGTTTCTATTTTAAATTATACTTAAGATTACCTATAAAAAACATCCCTTTTTCATCAGCAAGCTTTTATCCTTCTTCAAACAAAACTTCTCTACTATTAATCAAATCAGACTTGTTTCCAACTAACATTTTTATGATATTTTTATTTGAATGCTACTCAACTTCTATCATTAATTAAAAGAAAATCTAACCTTCTATCCATTTCAAGACATCAACAAATGACTATCTATTAGTCAAATCATAAAAAATAAAAACACCAAGGGCTCCATTATAATATGTTGTTGTTAAAGATCTCATTCTTTTCTCTCCGGCTGTATCCCACATCTTAATAAATATAAAAAGTACCTGTAATTTAATTTATTTACCCTTCAACTCAACTATATTTAACCTAAAGTCTAAACCCATTGTTTAAATATAATTTTCTCTAAATTCATTGTCAGAATATCGAATTATAAAGGATGATTTGCCAGAAGGAGAATTTCCAATAAATAAAATCTTAAATATTTAGATGGGCTTCTTTTAAGAATCCATACAAAATTTAAAAATAATTAAAAGATAATATAAAAGCAAGATAATAATAATATATATAAATGAGTATTAAGACGTACTTTTTAATAAAATAATTAACTTGTAAATAATGTAACTTATTAATAAAAATCTTTATTTATATTATATGCTTTAAATTAATTATAAAATAAAAAATATTATAAGTTACTCTCTGACTATCATTATTATAGTGCTTCTTAAACAAAAAGTACTTCTATTTTAGTTAAAATTATGTTGGATAATCCTTAGTTTACTCATAGAACATTAATTTTAGATTACTCTAATATTTCAATGAAAATATATTCTTTAAATAAAATTAGATTGCAATTTATTTTTAATAATAATTTAAATAGAAAATAAGTTAATGAATAATTATTTCAAATATCTTCCATTCGATTTATTTATTTGCAAATCGAATCGAATAAAAAGCTTTTTTTTGAATTTTAAATTAAAACTGGCATTTGATAAATTTTTCAAATAAATTAATTTTATAATAAATATTTAATAAATTTTATTTAAATAAAGCAAATTTGGTAATTTTTATATATAAAAAACCTCTATAAAATTTAAATGCTTAACAAATGAAAATATGATAGAATAAAAATTCTAAATATTATAATTATTCAACTCTCTCACTTTTATTCAGCCTGATTTTCTTATTTTTATTTTTCTTATTAATTTAAGATTTCAGTTGTCAGCAACCTTATAGCTTATTTAACATTTAATCCATTCTTTGCAGATATTTCTGTTATATAATATATTTTAATTACCCATAAAAGACATACCAGAATCATTTGCTAATTATTATGCTTCATCTAATGAGACTTATCTAGCATCCTGTAAATCATTTTTATTCCCAATCAACATTTTACATACATTCTTATTTCCTTACTTATTCACTTCTATTATTATAAAAAAGAGATTAATACATTATAACCATTTCTATACATCGTTGAAGGACTATTTATTAGAGATATCATATAAAATAAAAATTCCATGAGATCCTCGAAAATAACTTGAAACGATAGGCATAAATTTTTCTTATCCAGAAGTATCCCAGATCTTGTTATAGAAGTAATATTACCTATAATTTTTAAGTTTTACCACTTAATTCCAAATTCATTTCATTAAAATCTACTCCGATAGTCGGAATATATTTTTCATTAAATTCTTAACCTTTGAATTAATTCACAAAAGCTGATTTCCCAACAGATACACTCCCAGTTAGAAGTAATTTTAAAACTTATTCTTGGTTAGCTTGCATTTATTTTAATTAATATCATTAATTCGATTTTAAAATTAGTTTTAAATGAATTTATGAATCAAATTTATTCTCTATTCATTATTGTATAATCTGTAAAAGTTAAGAACAATTTTTTATTAAAATTTTTTAATTGAAATTCTCTATCATTTAAAAGGCCAATAGAGTTTAATAAATATCATTTTATAAAGAAAAGCAGTGGCACGAACTTCTGCATTAAAATCATTATTAGGTATTTTTTTATTTCAATATCTTTCACAAGGGCTTTCAATCACTTGAAATACTTATGAGATAAAAATTGATTTACATTTAGTAATTTTTAAGAAAATTTTTTCAGTTCAATAAAGCTATTTAGAAAATTTGCTTTGTTCTTTAAAAAACATTTTTATAATAAGGACCAAGCAATAGAAAAATATAAAAAACCTTTGAATACATTTTTTTTAGTTTAAAATTATCAAAAATCATAAGAAATATTCTTCCATTAAAATGACTTAATTTTAGTTTTGAATATTTTCTTTGATTTCATACTTAATATAATAAAAAAATCCCTGTAAATCTGATAATTCTAATTCATCACTTATATCTATAAATTCATTTCAACCAGAGTCAGTCCTTTAAATATTTTAAAGTTACCATTAACTAATTCATTATCATAATCTTATTAAGTTTGATGAAGTTTGATGTATCATCGAATACTAAACAGGAATAATGACATTATAGATTCAATTATAAAATAGTAGTTACATAACCAGTTAATATATTTAAAGGGATTTATAGATTTAGACTGATGATTTATAGTAGGAAAATATATTTAAATTAGAAAATAGCCATAATTATATTTGAAACTAAAATTGTGTCTTAAATATGCTAACATCTAAAATTTTAAAAGCTTTGAAAAAAAAAGAAGTTTTTATTAAATTTATAAATAAAATATCTCAGAACTATTAATCCCAAATCAGTCTAATCATTTANTAATTTTTAAGTTTTACCACTTAATTCCAAATTCATTTCATTAAAATCTACTCCGATAGTCGGAATATATTTTTCATTAAATTCTTAACCTTTGAATTAATTCACAAAAGCTGATTTCCCAACAGATACACTCCCAGTTAGAAGTAATTTTAAAACTTATTCTTGGTTAGCTTGCATTTATTTTAATTAATATCATTAATTCGATTTTAAAATTAGTTTTAAATGAATTTATGAATCAAATTTATTCTCTATTCATTATTGTATAATCTGTAAAAGTTAAGAACAATTTTTTATTAAAATTTTTTAATTGAAATTCTCTATCATTTAAAAGGCCAATAGAGTTTAATAAATATCATTTTATAAAGAAAAGCAGTGGCACGAACTTCTGCATTAAAATCATTATTAGGTATTTTTTTATTTCAATATCTTTCACAAGGGCTTTCAATCACTTGAAATACTTATGAGATAAAAATTGATTTACATTTAGTAATTTTTAAGAAAATTTTTTCAGTTCAATAAAGCTATTTAGAAAATTTGCTTTGTTCTTTAAAAAACATTTTTATAATAAGGACCAAGCAATAGAAAAATATAAAAAACCTTTGAATACATTTTTTTTAGTTTAAAATTATCAAAAATCATAAGAAATATTCTTCCATTAAAATGACTTAATTTTAGTTTTGAATATTTTCTTTGATTTCATACTTAATATAATAAAAAAATCCCTGTAAATCTGATAATTCTAATTCATCACTTATATCTATAAATTCATTTCAACCAGAGTCAGTCCTTTAAATATTTTAAAGTTACCATTAACTAATTCATTATCATAATCTTATTAAGTTTGATGAAGTTTGATGTATCATCGAATACTAAACAGGAATAATGACATTATAGATTCAATTATAAAATAGTAGTTACATAACCAGTTAATATATTTAAAGGGATTTATAGATTTAGACTGATGATTTATAGTAGGAAAATATATTTAAATTAGAAAATAGCCATAATTATATTTGAAACTAAAATTGTGTCTTAAATATGCTAACATCTAAAATTTTAAAAGCTTTGAAAAAAAAAGAAGTTTTTATTAAATTTATAAATAAAATATCTCAGAACTATTAATCCCAAATCAGTCTAATCATTTACAGTTTGATTTGGATACTCCTTCATATTGATAATAATTGGTTTTTGCTGTTGTATCAATGGAATCAGAAATAACTACTATTTTAGATTATAAACTTTTTATCCTTTAAATTAAGTATCCTGCATTAAAAATAATACTATTAATTTATATGATTACAATCATAGTTTCTGCCAATTAAAATGTTTGTTAAAAATATACTGAATTGAATTCAGATCATTACAATTTTTTCAATATTCATAAAAACATATAAATATAATTTTTTGAAATTATTAATACAAATTTCGAGTCCTAAATTTGTAATAAAAATTTTTAAAAATTATAGAATAGCTTATCATAATTTTTTTAGGTATTATAAATTAAAAATTTAATTTAATTGAATTAAATGAAACATATGGAAGTAGATTAGAAATATTGTTTGAGAAATAATTTCCTAAAAAGATATTTTCAGTAACAAATTTAAAATCATTGCTTTCATTCGAAAGATGGTGTTAATTTTTATCATCAACTAAATATTATTAATATTAATATCAGTAAAACAATTGAAATCATTAAGATCATGTGAAACACGGTTCTAATTCATCATGATAATAATTCAGAATATTATTTAATAATAAATCACACATTTTTTAATTCTTTTTATGGGATTAAGGCAAAGTATTAAATTTATCAAAAAATGATAAATAGTAAAGTAAAATCTGAATTTTTGCAAAAATTGGTTTGTTGTTCGGAATATGCTTATAGAGAAGATACTAACTTTCCAATTCGAAATCAAATGGAAGATTGTATCTAATATTCTAAATAAAATTAGCCCATTATTATAAAGATAATTGTTTTGATGATGGTACAACTTGTCTATTTGCAGTATTTGATGGTCATGGAGGGACTGATGTAGTTGAATACATCACAAAGATTTTACCTGAAGTAGCTTAATTAAAATATAAAGCAAAGACTTTCTTGAGAGATTTCAAGTAATTTAATTAATCGAAACCAAATGAATATTTTGAATTAATATTTAAAAAGGTGGATGATTAACTAAAATTAGTTGGAGCAGCAGAGATAGGAGCAACTTGTTGTTTAACTCTATTAAGAAAGGAGGATAATAAAAGAAAATGTTATATAGCAAATTTAGGTGATACAAGAGCAGTGATGAATATAGATGGTAAAGCAGTAAGAATGACAGTTGATCATAAAGGAACAGATCCTGAGGAATAAGTTAGAGTGAAGTAAATATTAATTATGTAATAATGTTTACTAAAGGCGGGAAGGAGGCACAATTGTGAGAGGTAGAGTGATGGGACAATTAGCAGTAACTAGAGCATTTGGAGATTTAGATTTAAAGACTGTAGGAGTTTCAGTTAAACCTGACTTAAAAGTTTAAGAAATTACACCCTTTTGTAAATATTTAATAATGGCTTCTGATGGACTTTGGGATGTTGTAGATGATTAAGTATTTTAATATCCTATTTTATAGAAAGCAATTGATTTAACTAAAGGATTAAAGAACTCTGATGAAATGACAAAAGAGTTATTGCAATTTGCCTTGAAAAATGGTTCAAGAGACAACATTAGTATCTTAATTGTAATGTTCTGATTTATTATATAAACAAGTAGGTAACTAATCATTATTATGCAAATGAGCTGTTTTAGGAATCATTAATTTAGCTTTCTTAAATAGTATCATTTTGTAGCTATTGAAATACCCTTGATGCTTGTGCTTATTACTGTTATTTCTACTTCTATTAAAGTAATAATAATTAAGGTCTAGATTTCAATATATATAATACCCTTAACCATCTTTCTAAACATTCTGCTAAATTAATGTTTTCATTAATTTTTGATTCTTATCACTAATTTAATGTTTGCCAAATATATTTGATCTAAATCTAGTTGTTCCAATTAAAGAATTTCTAAAATTGATATAATTATTACTAATCAATAAAATCTTGATCTTCCTATTATTCATTTATATCTTTGAATTAAATTGAATCACTGATTACATTTATCTTTCCTTCAAGTCTTAAGTCAGGTTCTACAATTGTTAACTAAGGAACATTAGAAATGTTAAGTATTTCATTTCTAAGTCCTATATGTCTTGACCAAGCATTTAGATAATCAGCAGGAGTTAATACTTCTTATTAATATTTAAGAAATGATTCTAGCCATTATATTTAATCATATTATCTCTTCAATTCTAATTAATCACCAACCAAATAACTCATTTTCTTTTATGTTTCTTCTTATAATTATAGCAATGCTTCTTGTAAAACTTAATAAATTCTGCCTTCTATAATAGAGGCATTTTTATTAACTTCTTTAATACTATAATCAATCTATTGTAAATATTCAGCTAATTAATTCTTTCTTTTCTCTATTAATGGATCAATATCTTTAGATTCAACTAAAGATTTCATATATGCATCTGATATCTTAACCAAAGGATGATTTGCACTTTCTCCTGAAGAATGAGATCCTCCTATTTTACAATACAAACAAAGAGGAGTTCTATCTATTGTACAAAATAATTCTAATTTTTAATCTGAATGCTATTAACAATTACCAAATGTTTTTGGTTTCTTATTTTATATATTTAAATATTACTTCATTTATTGGTATCCTTTGATGCTTCGATACTAATTTACCTCCTTTTAAATGATGTTCTTCATCACAATCATAACATAAATTCATTTCATCTGCTTTACAATATATAGTTGCCGTGTTATCATTGCATATATCACAAAAAGGAGACTAGTCTTAATCTTTAAATTTACATTTAAATTATCTTCCTTTTTTTAATCGAACTCAAATTGTATAACATAACAAGGCAATACTTTACCATTATCGAATAATACATAATCATGCTTAAATATTCCTGTCATTGAATCTTCATCTTCATTGAATAAGTAAATGCTATCAAATCCTTAAATCAACTTATATTTATCTTTCATTGAGGTTTTATCTGGAAGACAATATGATTTACCAACTATATATTTTTTACTTTAAATCAATTACCTGCAATCTTTAACAATAATAATTCATATACTCTTCCAGGTTATATATTATCTGATAGTTTAATATGACCTGTTGGAAAACGAAGTCCAGTCTATGGAAATTCAAATCCTTTTGTACAAACTTTTTCAACTCTATTATTTTCATCTAATAAAGAAATCTCTACCCAAGAATCAAGTGTTAATAATCCCTAATTACTTAAATAAAAGTACATACTTTGCTTGCCTTTTCAAAAGTTGATGTCATATGAGGATTTGTAATTGTCCAAATATTTTTTACTGTTGCTGAAGTATAACCAGATGATAATTGTAATAAATATTCAATACGAGCCCATTCTGTAGAATTTGATGAGAGACGAGAGTATTATTTGTTCAAAAAGTTATGTTGAGGAATATTTGTATAATTTGACATTTAATAATTAATTAATTTAATTCGGTTATTTATTAATTTTATTAATCATACATTGAATATAATTTCATATAAAAAATTACTTATATTTATTATATACATTCTTAATATTGATCAAAATTTCATTAGTTATTTAAAATCTGAATATAATATAGCCACTTTTAAATCATCAAATTTTATTTCCTTTCCTATATTTTTTATTTCCACATAAATGTAATAAAACAGTTCATTAGAATCCAATAAAAGTGATAAAAATCCGAAAGACAAGGACATAAAAGGGAAATCTACTGGAAAATAAAAAAAATAAATCCAAAATAAGAAAAAGTTCTCTAAACAAATTATTGTGTATTGATAATTTTAGAATTTATTTAACAAAGTTAAAATTATTACTAAAGGTAAATATAGAAAGGAAAGCTGAATTTAAGCAACACATTCAAATAAATACCTTAATTTTTTGTATTTTTATGATTTTTTTTATAATTTGAGTTGTTAATGTCCATTATTTATTAACATTATTAGTAAAATTGTAGTATATACATAATTAAAATATTATAATCTACTGCCTAATAAAACATGTAATATTGAATCTTTAAATTGAATAAATGTAAATGCATCTAACTCTTGTAAATTTCCAATTAAAATGTTTAAAAAAACCATCCCTAATTTAAAGTTATTATCAACTAAAGTATTTAATTTAATCATAGCTTTGATGTATTCAAAATAATATTAGACTAAATAGAGTATTATTAGTAATGAAATTCTTTTAAAAATAAAGATACTTAGGACTTAAAACAGGAATAGAATTACATAAATATATATAATTGTTTCAGCAATGGATTGTTCAACATTAAATGACCCTAATTATATTAAATAATTAGAATAGACTTAAAATAAAGTCAAGAATAATATTAGCTGTTCTAATTAAAAATAACTTTTGTTTTAATTTAATTGTTATAAATTTCTCATAATTGAAACAATAACTATAAATTGCCAATTAGAAACAAGAAGGAAAACAATAGAAGAAATTATAATTTAAACTCTATAAATTTATTCTTATTTAAGTTTAATTAATTGCTCCGAATATTTAAGCAAAATAAAAATTACAATAATATGGTACTCTTTAATGAAGACTTTCAAAGTTCCAAAATAGTCAAACTGTTACGTTTAACAAAATATATCAAAATAAACTGTATCGCAACTTTGTCCAAGTTATAATAAATGATCGTTATTACTTTTTATACATTAATTGCTAAAGCCATCAAATCTACATTAATGAGGGAGATAAGATTTATGAAAAAAAGGTCGAAATGCTAAAATAAGTAATTCATTTTGGGTTTATCTTAAATAATATCCAAATTTAATTTCAAGTTATTGAATCTAAGTAAAACCATCTTTTATTTCTATATATTAATGATCAATTATGCATCCAGATGCTAAAACTAAAAATTGCAATTAAGGATCATTGATTTCTAATAAATTATTCAAGTAATTATAATCTGTAAAACATTAATAAGTATAAGGGATAAGAATATCTTCAAAAGAGATATTATCATCTAATTACTTAAAGATATCTTGATCATTTTTTTAATCAAATTAAGTTAGTTTCTGAGATAATTGAAATGTCATACTTATGATAATTTAAAGAGTAGTTCTTAAATTTAAAGAATTGAGGCCTATGTACTCAGTATGTATATATGTAAAATTAAAATAAATAACATATATTAATATTTCATAAAGTTTGAATAATAACTATAAAAAGTTTTAGATTTATCATACTTTTTTTGAAGTTGTAAATTGATTATATTATTACTTAATGGCTTTTAACATTATTAGAGTGTTGTCTAATTTTTTATCAGTATTTTGTATTCTATTTAGACTAATGTTATTTTAGGTATGATTGCTTCTACCTGGCATAGGAGTAGTAGTAACACTTGACCAAAAATTGGATTAAGATCTATAATATTTAGATTTATCAATATTTTTAGGATCTCTCTTTTAAAAGTCTACTTTAGAATTTAAAAAAGTGAGTGCTTCTTTAATTTTTTCACTCAAATTCATTTATGAATCTTCAGTAAGCATTTTTGTAAATACAGCTTTTGATGATGAGTATGAATGAGAATTATTTTATGATCTTTTTCCTCTTGTTTGAGATATGGGTCTAACAGAAGGACATTCTTATGAAGATTACAAGGTTTCAGTTCTAAGATCTGAAATGCTTTTTGGGTTTTAGAGAGAACTAAAATAAATAAGGTAATACTTAATAATAAATTTAAGCTCTTTATTCTGCCGAATATATTATTTAATTTTTTCTTATTCTTTGTTTATTTAGGTTTATAATTTTAGATTTAATTAGATTGTGTCTTTAAGTTATAAATCTTTTAACTATAATTGTTCTTATAATTCTTTAATAAATTTTTCTTATGCATTTATTTAATTATCTAACAGCTTTATAATAAATATGAAGTACTTAATTTTTATGGATTTCAGAAGTTAATCTTTCAGAAATGTGAATGATTTTAATATGAGTTGTATTAGAGTTATCTTCTGAAATTTTATCTAATTATGAAACTCTAGACATAGTCATTGAAGGTTCATTAATATTGGTGCTGTTTTTAAATCTACTATAATAATCAAAAAAAAAGATGTCAGTCAAGTTATTTGAAAGCAATAAATTAGTTTGTCTATCTGAATCTGATATTTCCAATAAAGAGTCTTATTCTTCTTCTTTATCCATAATTATATATATATTATTCTAATAAAATGAATATAATGTAAAGCTATTTGAGGATAACTTAGATGATCCTATCTGAAATAATATATTAAACAAAATAGATAATAAATTTAATCCTAATTAGATTTAGAAAGCTGTAAATTACCAAAAGTAGTTTTCTAAAAAATCACATTTATTTATTTCAATTTAATCATTAATATTATTATAGATGTTTCGATCTAAAAAAAGTTTAACAGTTCCAATTAGAACTAAAGATAAAAGTACACTTTTGGCTCCATGTATTAATTGTGAAGAATTTATACCTTTTGATAAAATAGATTTACATGCCCAAATTTGTACTTAAGTTTCTAACAAAGTTCTTAAGTATGCTCAATCAACTTCATTATTTGAAGAGAATGATTTCAAATTAAGCAAATTAAAAACTAATTTACAAAAAAAAACTTATTAACATACTCAAAGATTATGTCGAATATGTGAATTAGTTTCTTAAATCAATACAATTGGATGTGTAGAAGAAGCATCCTTAAAAGAGTTTGAAAAAGAGTTACTCATCTTAAGTTAGGAACCTACTCAATCTATAAATTAATCTTTATATATTGAAAGATTACATTCACTTGTTTTGTAAAGGATGAGTATTATTCAAAATTAATTAAACCTTAAGGCCATCAGACCTACATAATCATAATAGAATTTCTATCCTCTATAAAATACTACTTTTGTTTCCAAAAATTCCAAAAATTCAACAGGTTCAACCCAAACGACTAGTAATAACAACTTATAAAATTTAATTCAAAATTAATAAGAATCATCTGATAAATTAAATCGTTTCAACAAACTTAATTATTGTTAATCACCAGATCCTAGAATGACTTACATAACTAAATTTTCTCAAAATACTCCTATCTCTTAATATGGATTAACTTAATAACAATAAAAAAGTGAAATTTTAACCCATATTAGTGAATAATATCCTGAAAGTATTGATGAGTAATCTAATCCAAAAACATTTGCTTAAAGATGTTTCTATTCAAAAGTTTTGAATCTTAAATTAACTTATCCTTAATCTAATCCTGCTTAAAAAATTCCTGTTTCAGTTTTATGGAAATAAGCTGAAAAGAACAAAGTTAAACCAGAAAATTGGGAAATATTTATTAAAGAATGTCTAGATAAACCATTTCAATATTTAGATCCTCAAAAAATGAATTCTCAATTTATTAATTCCTCACAGAGAAAATTCAAAAAATAATTATGAGTTTACTTTGAGATATTAATTATATATATAAAATTGTTATAAAAATATCAATCTCAAATATTAATTAAATTTATGGGTTCTAATACAAGTAATTCTAGAAGGGAATAAGCATATATCAAGAAAAGAGAAAATTTTATTGAACCAGAAGTTCATTATATCGTCGGTAATATCATACAATTATTTTAGAACCTTAAAAAATAAATGAGGAACGTAATTTTCTATAGATTTATTTTATTAGAACCCAAACAAAAAACGGATGAGGAATTACAGAAAGAAAGAGAAATATAGCAGGCTTCAGAACAAGCTAATGAAGCTTTTGAGGAACTTATAAATTGTATGAATAATGTGATATTTATTTTTTATAAACTTAGTTGGATATATGCTTAGAAAAGTTTAACAAGGATTTAAAAGGAGATAAATAAGATGAAGATTCTTGATTTATTAAATTTTGATTAATTTAAATAAGAATCTTTTTTTAGTGTAATAATTTATCATGCTAACATCTTCCTTTTTGATTGAATTTTTATGCATTGTTTCATTTGAATCATAGAAAAAATTAAAACAGATTATCTTAAATTAGTTAAGGACATCAAAAAATTAAATAGAATTGATATTTTATTTTATTTTGTTCAAAACTACTTCTATTTTGTATTAATGAATTGATTAAATTGCGATTGAATTTAGAATTAATAGATAATTAAAGATATATTTAAGATATTATATATATTTTGAGTAAAGAATTTGAGATAAACAAAAATTATTATATGAATATATTATTACAAATATAAATAGTTTACATTCTTTAAAGCTATTGCTTCTATAGTTAAATTTAAAATGTATATATAAATATAATGAGTTAATGAAATAAATAATTTATAAAGGTAAATTTTGTATTTATTTTGAGAATAAGGAGGGAACACTAAATATTGGGTTATTTTGCAATAAGAGATAATATTTGATTATGTATATTGGAATGGAATGAATTTAAATAATCTTTTTTATAAAAGCACTAATAAAAGAGATATAGTTTAATAATTTGATATTATTATTTAATTTTCTGATCATTTCCTTTAAGAGTTTTTCAGATAGCATAGGTAAATTAATTAATTATTATCATCCTTTCATACCTGGCCATATATTTTTATATTATGTACTTAATTTTTAGATGAGTACACAAAATCAGACATTCATAGTTATAGATCATTCCAGACCATTGCCATATGGATATCATATAGATGATAATATAAACAAAAAGTTAGTTATATCTTAAAGTTCAGAGTTAGGAGAAACTAGTGTTGATGTAACAAATAAGCATTTAAATATAGGAGAGAAAACCTAAATAAGTGCTTCTAAAAGAATATGATGTAAAAAGCATAAGATATGCAAATGAAGACTACTCATATTTAGCAAATTTGTTACTGAGTAGATTTTCATAACAAGAAGCAGCTATACCTATAGCTACTCAATATCCATTATTTAAAATTTTAAGAGGAGTGACTAAAAAATTTATGTTTAACGAATTAGAAATCATATTCTTTTTACATATTATTTAAGAACAGAAATGGAGATATGATGATTAAATTATATAAGATTTCTAACCTTACTTTAAATAAGATTTTCTTAGCAGTTAAGAGGTATTAATTTTTCATACAATATTTATTAGAATTAAAATATTGAAGGATTCAAACAATTATTATTGTTTTTAATCTGTTGTGGATATACAATCAAATGTTTTTTTAATGATCCTTGTGATTTAGAAATTATTTAGATAACTGATCATATCTAACAATATTGTTAAAAAGAGTAAAAAAATTTAAATTATAATAGTTTTAAAAAGATACTTCTAGATTAATGGAGATAAAAAAATATGAACAGTTAACTCAAAATTGTACCTAGAAATATAAATAAATTGTATAATAAATTAATGAGAATGCCAAAAGATGGAAAATAAGAGTTTTAATAAGATTATAATGCATTAGTAGATTAAATCATATAAATATCTCCTGCCTATCATAATTAAGAGGAAAAATTGGTAAAGTAGGAAGTTTAAGAAGTTTAACTTAAATAACAACCAATTCAACAATAACCTAATAATTTTTATTAATAAATATAATAACCTTATTAAGAATCTACTTTTATAAAAAATTCAAGTAATATATTTTTTTAATCCTCTTCACCATAAATTCCTTAGTATTAAAATTAACAATTTTTGAATAAATAAGACAATGATCCTCCACCGACATTAATGAGATAATCTTCTAATTTTATGAATGATAAATTATATTAATAACAATGAATTTATCTTCTTGATTCTATTCAAAGATCTTAAAATAAAGTTTAGCATTTATAATCTGATCCACCCTAAAATTATAATAGATGTTCAAGTAATAATAATAACTTGGAATTATGCTAAATCAAAAGGCAAAATCAGATCCATAATTGAATAAATTAGAGTCTTGTTATAATTCTCTTGAGAAGGCATAATAAATGAATCTATTAGTACCTAATCTTAAAGTATATTATAAAATTTACTAGTTTCAAACTTTAAATAATCTAGCTTTAAATCACTAAAAAATTTATTAACCCAAAAGATCTTTAAATTACTTGAATTAACCATTAAAGATTGAATATACGTAATTTATAATTATTTAAATTAAGATAAAATTTTAATTCATCCCTATTAAATACTTATTTAAATATAGGTGCCATTTAATCAATTTAGAATGCCATTACATTACACTTTAAATATATAAAATTAATTGAATCTTTTTAAATTAAAGAGTAATTTATTATCTGATAGGTAAAATACATTTTTCAAATATCAGAACTAATTTTCATTTTGATAAATATAAAAAATAGATCAAACATAAATATTGATTGATCCTTACAACTATTTAAGCCCAGAAATAGAGATTTTCAAAAGAAACAAAGAGACCAAAAATTAAAGATTCTGCTAAAACTTTATACTTTATCAGAGTTTATACAATAATCAACCAATGTTTTAAAATAGAAATGAAAGGAAATTTCAAAAAAATAAATTAGTTATAAAATCTAAAAATCTTATAATTTTAATCAAACTAGCATTTCCTTTGATGATAGAAATAGCAATAATATATATTTAAGTAAATCCTTAAAGTATAATATTTAAAGATAGTTTTCCAAAGATAATTTTAGTTACATATAATTACCTCAAAATTCTAAAATTTTTTAAGAATACTCCACGTTAGCTGATAAAATATTAAAAATTCATCAGAGAAATAAACTCAGTCTAAACTACCCACCAAAATGAATAAAATTATTAATCCATAAGAAATAAGGATTGTTTCATTTATCTAAATTAATTGAAAATTAAATTGATTAAAACATTCACAAATCTGTTAATTCATTTGATTCATACTAAGGACTATATAATTTTTATTGATTCAATAATTATTATTTATTCAGTTGTTACCTGAGCCAACTTTCGTCTACTTCTCTTGTTTTGGAATTACTTAATTCTAACCTTAAATGTGAGACCTTGAATATATTTAAATTTCAATTACTAATTTGTTAAGTCGACTGATTTCATTCTTTAAAGTAGATATTAATCCTTCTGAGTTATCTTTTTCTGGAGATGAATATTTTTGATCAAATCTTATGTCACTTACATATATACTTAAATTTTAATTTTTCATATTCAATTTAGCTCTGTTTTAATTATTCTTGCATTCTCGAATTTTAATCTTAAAGGCTTTTAATTAATTGTGTTGTTTCAATATCCTCCAAAGCATAAATTTCAATTCTTTCACCTATTTCAGTATCAGATTTATCTTTTTTATTTGATTGACTAGCAGTTGTATGAATATCACTTATTTGCTAATTTTTTTTACAAATTCTCTCATATTTATCTATTAAGATTTGATATTTGCTTTATAGATCATAATGAACTGTTTCAAATTCATGATACCTCGATAACATTTCTTCAAGAGCTAAGCATTTCGATACAAGCTTTGATTAAGGCATTTTCATGAGAGATTTGAAATTCGACATGATAAATAAAATAAAAACAAAATATTATTGTTAAAATTCATAATCAAATAATATTATTTTGAATATTTATTTTTTTATGTCTTTATTGATTTTAAAGTTTTTATTTTTGCATATATCTTCTATAATTATATATATTTATATATATATATTTAT